TAAAATATTGTTTATCATAATATAAAAAAGTTTAAGTTTTTTGACACGCAATATTGTCATTACTATCCCGAAGACTACCCAAGAAATGACTGGGGGAAAATAAAGACCTTACGTGTATTCACTCGCAACATTTCACCTACAATATGTAATTCTAGTTTATATTTCATATATCAATATAACCGAATGTTCAGGAACTTGGTTTTAAAGAATTTTTTAAAAGGTTTTGTAGAAATTTTTTATAATATTAAAGAGATACGGCAATAAAAATTATCTTTGTCAATTTTAAAAGAACGTCATGATTATTGACAAAATTCGTTTACGGATTTTTGTTAACGTTTTTACTTCTCAAGATATTTTCGAATGAAAATGTTCTTGGTCGGATATGTATCACGTCATAAGTTGGATGAAAATTCGTTAAGTGATAGTTTCATGGCATTACAATCCCATGTATCTCAAAATAATTATAACGTTTCGGTTGTTAGAGTTCTAAGTTGTTAGAGTTCTATGCATATGAAGATTAAACAAATTATGAAATATGTAATGGTAAAAAATGATTTATATAAAATTAAGTCTGAAATGGTCGGAAACCAGATTTTGTCTCGCTTGTCGCCAAGTCTGTAGCGCAGCCGCCTAAATGGGGAGCCTTGTCATGTGATTGCATGGCCAGACCGGGATTGGATAATAATGCGCATGGCTCGCTTCTGTTCTTTTTCCACCTCGTCATACAGATACCAAGGTATGGCATAATTCCAAACCTCGCAACACTATTCTAGACTAGAGCGAATAAGCACGAGGTGGACGATGATATATGAATAATTTGACTCACTCTCATGCACAAAGCCGAAATGCAAAATTACCTTGAAAGCAGGCGACATAACTTAGTCGATTCAATCGCGCCCCTTAATAATTGTTCAAATTTCCAATGTTTCGAGAATTTTTCTAAATTCTATCTCGTAATCATCTAGAAGTAAGTAACGAACCAAAACTGTTACGTAAATATATAGTTTGACCGTGATATATTTCAAGAAACTGAAAAGTTTAAAATTATTACAAAGCGCTTGCTTACACTAAGAACTGCATGCAACTAGAGTTTCTTTCGAATAAATCCTATATTGTTTTTTTTGCCTGTGTTTAAAGATGAAGGGCATGCATTTTCACTGCAAGGGAGAAAGTAATTAGCGCCGTACGAATTCTTAGGGGACATTTAGTGGCCCGTATAATATTATATGTCCTTGAGATATTCCCACCTTAAATCCGAGGGCAGAAAGGTTTCTCAAACAAAATAAACCATCTTAACTCACAGAATTTTACTTGGGAAATGTCCATCAGTATAAGGCGTATACATGCATCGGATATTCTCCAGTTGAAATACTTTGAATGACTGCATGCTTTACTACACTGTGCAGACTATACCTACCATTGTAGTGAGAGTTTTAAATACCTATACTGTTGAAATCAGGGGCGTCGGAAGCGGGGGGGCCGTGGGGGCTCAGGCCCCCTCACTTTTTTATTTGGGGGGGCCTAAGTATCATTGGGCCCCCCCACTTTTTGACAAAGGTAAGTTGTTAATTGGTAAATTGTTAGAATTCTGGTAAATCTTCTCCCAAAGTACAGGATATGGCGTTTCAGTGTTCAGACTCTGGTTTTAAAAATTTCCCAGAGGGAAGGCATGCCCCTGTAACAGTGTAACCTCTTAGAAAGTTGCCCACATTTGGCACTCGGCAGGCACTTTGTGGGCCCCCTCACTTCTGGCGGCGTTCCGACGCCCCTGGTTGAAATGAGTCCTTTTCTTTACTTTTGCTTTCGTTTTGGAAGAAAGGGCTGATTTTCTCTGCATGGAAGAAAATAATTAATGAAATATTCCGCATGAGGCACAACGATACAATTATAGTGGGAAAAAGTTGGGGGTAGAAAGAGGAAATATCACGGAACTATACATGCATGCGTCTTTAATTCCAACTATATATTTACCCACGCACAATATATTGATTTGATTTTCATTCCGCTAATATCACGGTAGTACCTTCGAATCTCAGAGCGTGAATAAGATGCTTTCCAATCCAAATACATATCATATACGTGCATCATTGTTTAAATCTCAGAATATTACTCCGAGAATATCGCCAGTGTCGTACATACGCAAGGTATTTTTAAAATCAAAATAACATTGCTTGAATGCTGCACCTGCTGCTCTTGTGCTTTCAATCGGGTAGGTGCATGATGATGGTTTATTGAACACATTACAATATAGCTATATATACAGCTAAATTATTAATTTTAGATACATATAATATAGTATTGTAAAATTGTAGATATACATATGTATACAGGATTGTAATTAATATATCACAAATGTAACACGCTAAAATTATTAAGAAGTATTCAGTATAATAAAATATATGTGTGTATATATATAAGTATAGTAAAATCTAAAACTTTAATTATATACACTTGCTATACCCTATAGGTCAAGTTCTTGAAGCAAAATTTTCATTAATATTATACTTATCAATCGCATATAGTAAAAGCTAGCACACTAGAAGTATTAAAACTGTTATGAAATTTGTGCTACATAAATTATATGTATATGAATGTATGTAAATGAACTACCTGCTGTCTTATGAAATGAAAATACCTGCATGCTGTCTACTCAAAATATTCTGTGTAATTTATATTCTCTCATAAGTATAGTGTACAAAATCAGATTCTATATCATCTCAAGATACTTAAGAAAATAGTAAAATGCACAAGAGTCTAAAATTTTAACACGAATCCAGGATGGCCGAAAGATCCGACGGATCTAAAACTGGAGTTGCGGTTTTGAAAATATAATTGAAACTGGTACAATAGCGACTGTAAACATCCTAGTTGTGGGCATATTAAGTGAAGCGCTCTTTGGCATAAACCGTAATATGAGCTCTAAGAGAAAGGAGGTAAATCAAAGTCAATATGAAGAAGTGAAGAAAATTAAAAAGGAAGTAAAAGGAATGAAAGAAAATTTGTCAAAAATAAACAACATGGTGACTGAAATATTTGAGAAATTAATATTGCCTAACAGGGACATACTGGTTGCAGGAGGCGTTGGAGATTTGATTGAAACTCCTAAAAGTGCCGAGATATTTTCCTGGAGGGAAAATCGTTGGGTATGTTTGGAGTCTACAATGACTGCAGATCATTGGGGAGCTGCATCGTTTGTTTGTCATAATCAGTTATTCGTCGTTGGCGGAGACCATTGTAGGAAAATGGAGATCATGCATTTCTATGAAACACCTTTAAAATGGGTGGAAAACGGCGCAGAAATTCGTGATAAATGTGCCGATCATCAAATGGTTGTTTGCGAACAGCGTGTTTTTAACATAGGTGGATATTTCTACAGCACACAACGACGGTCTGATCTGATATGCGAGTTTCATCCCCGCCAATCTATACCGATGATAGAATTATGTCGTATGCCTGGAGCGGCACGAGATTGCCATCGGGCTGAGATTTTTGAAGATAAAGTTCTCATTCTAGGGGGACAGAAATCCATCAATTATATCGATGCTCTTGATAGTGTGTTAGAGTTTGATCCTAATAAGCTGGTAATTAAAGTGATGCCACCATTACCATATCCCTTGACGCAAATGGCCACAGTGCGCTGGAGAGATCAAGTGGTTGTGCTCGGAGGTCGTGATAAGGATGGACTTGTGCCTAGTGATGTTTTCATGTATGACTGCAATACGGGAAATATCACAAATTTACCATCCATGCTAGAGAAACGATGCAGGTCTTGTGCAGTGATCACTGGAAATAATATTGTGGTCATGGGAGGCTATGGTCAGAGCGAGGGTGAATATCTCAGATCAGTCGAGTGTCTGACAATGGGAAATAACTCAAGATGGAAGAATCTTGTTGCTGAGGTTTTACCTTTTCTAGTTTAGTAAAACGAATAATCGAATGCAAATTCCACCCGAAATTCATTGAGAATAGCTGAAAAGAATTTGAACAATTGCAATTTTTTTTAAATTTCCAAGTGTACAGTTATAGAAGAATATTTTGTAAACATGAGTTATAGCAGTTATGTTATCCGTAAAACGAAAGTTACTTATATAACTATATTGACTATATATTTCTCCAACAGCGTGTTCCAGTGAATGAAGACTGTTGCTTTGTATACCTATAAAAATGCTTGCGTCTAAAAAACTTGTTTGAATTCATATACCAACATAGCTGGATGTTTTGCAATTTAATTGAATACATGAAAGAAAAAATAAAAGAATTTTAGAAGATATAGATCATCATGATCGATGATATTTAAACATAAAAGATGTGTCGCACATCCATGCCTAATTCGTCATGGTTTTATGAAACGGTCAAAACAAATCGAAATGAAAGATCGGAACAAATATTAACTCGTTAGGGGACCTTTAAATGCCAGGTTACTTTTTAGATATAATTGGTGGAACAGTCACTTTCTTTAATTTGCCCTTAGAGTGCGTTTGTAATTTATCTTCCTCGTCGCTTCCATAGCTGCAATACAAATGTATCTTTTAATAAGAAACTTAAAAAGCATGTAATATAGCTTGGTCCATGCAATCAGCGCTAGATAAAAAGTTTTAGAGATCGCCCTTGGACGCATTTACATGCATGCAGTTTGATAAATCAACATTTGACACACGTTGCGTATGCAATTTTGTTTGTTGAAAATTAAAAGTAATATTCGTTCTATAATTTCGTTTTAGCGAAATCAAAGATACTTTGGAGAATGATATTATATTTATATTACAGTATACCTTGAAATCTAGGACTCTGCATGAGTGAGAGGTTTCCCGATCAGGTACTATATAACCCAGAGATTATCAGTACCGTTCTTAAAGAGAATTTTTTCCAAAATTCATTGCATGACTGCTCCACTGCACGTGTGCAGTATTTTGAAACACATACTGTGAATCGCTACTCACAAGTCACGCATAATGAACTCATGTTATTTAACAAATAAAGAAGACCGTGGGAAGTTAAGAGTGCGAGTCTATCCGCAGACATGCAGCAGTAACAACCAGTATCCTCAAATCGTCTCAGTTTCACCTGTCGGCATAAAGAGTTGAGTATACTTTTCTATACAATTATTTGAACAGATTGTCATAAATATAAAATGCCATGCCCACATTAATTATCAATTATACCATTGTTGGTAGTCGTTCTTCCCTATATATAATCCCAATTGATTTACTTAACCAGTTCTTAGATTGATGAAAAATGAAGTTTGCATAAAATTTCTTTTTCAGTGAAGAAGGTTATAGAAGTAAATACGACACCAGATATTTCAGGAGTCATTTTCTTCACTTCGATATAACCAGATATAAAATGAGTCCTTTTCTTTACTTTTGCTTTCGTTTTAGAAGAAAGGGCTAATTTTCTCTGCATGGAAGAGAATAATTAATGAAATATTCCGCATGGGGCACAACGATGCAATTAGTGGGAAAAAGTTGGAGGACATATCACGGAACTATATATGCATGCGTTCCTCCAACTATCTACGCACAATAAAATTATGCTGATTTTATTCCGTTTATATTACAGTACATTTGAATCTCAGAGCGTGAATAAGATGTTTTTCAATCAAATTACATAACCATGCATGCGTGCATCATGGTTGAATCTCGGAATATTACTCTAAGAGTATCGCCAGTGTCGTATATCCAGGGGATATTTTTTAATCAAAATACATTGTTTGGATGCTTCAGTGCATTGTATGCAGTATTTTGAAATAAATACTGTGGATCACTATAGTCACGCGTCTCAAACTTATGTTAATTATATATAGGCGTTTAAAAAGAGACCGTGAGAAGTTGTGAGTGTGAGACCATCCTCAGACAGCAGTATAACAAACAGTATTCCCATATCGTATCAGTTAGACAACGAAGCTTTGTTGGCCTTTTAAACATTCATAAAGAGTTGAGTATCTACATGCATTTATTGCCTATCATATTTATACTAAAATTTAGTCGTTCATGGACGTATATATATACTTATATCAATAGCAGTATAGTATCCTATCAGTATACTCGTACAATACAGTGTTAGAAAAAAATTGGTAAGGATAATGAAATTATATATTTTCCTTTTCTATAGTAAAGCAAATGGCAGAAAATCCCGGAATAGGTAACGTTGCCTTGACTCCACTATATATAGCTAGTTTTTGATTGTCACTTAATAATAACAGGGCATTATTAATATATGATTTTTCAAAACAGATACATATAGATAGATAAACCTACTATATATATATATATATATATATATATATATATATATATATATATATATATATATATATATATATATATATATATATTTTGGTGGAGATAGCTATAAGAAAATTGAAAAACATATATCCTATTAAAAAGGAATTCACCCCGGCTTTCCTCTCTTTTTTCCACTTTGAAATGCTAATATAGTTGATACATTTCAGACGGTTCGTATCTCAAAAAAGGTAACTGATACAGCTACAGAACGTATTGTGCGTAAATTCCTCCGTCAACTAGCCAGCACCATTTTTATGAGTTACATATATACTGCTCTACCCCTTCTTCAAGCTCTGGAATGGCTGTGCCCTTATTAATATTACCACGCAAAACAGACTCTACTTGTTAGGTCCTTCAGTTCTGATCATGCAAACGAAGGAGGCATGAACAGAGCGCTGTGGAATGTGATAGAATTCTACGCAAGCACCTGGAAAAGTGAACCAAGAATTATTCCTTTTAACTCACGGATACTCCGTAAGAGTATCAGGGAGTCATTGCTAACGGTCCATCAACTCGACCAACTGCTTTGCGCGCTTAGTATTAAAAACTTGTTTGTCTGGTTAGTCTACTAGCCAACAATTAAACGGCTATTCCCGTGCATCCGTGAGTCGTCTCATTGAGACCTTTGATATGTCAGTTTGCGAGCCCGCTGTTCTTAACAAACATGAATACTTCATTATTATTGATTTGGGTCCTACAGTGGATATTTTGTTGTTGTGGCCAAAGCTCAGTCCTCAACTCACGCTAGAAGTATTTTTTACTATGGTTTTTCAGTATTATGTGGGCTAATAAGCAAAAAAGTTGGTGGCCTCTAACATATCGAAAATAGCTAGTACACGTGCATCCGTGAGTCGTCTCATTGAGACCTTTGATTAAACAGGGCAAGGAGGACCTAGAATTATTGTTCAGGGTGGTGCGTTTAACCCGTATCAGGACCGACCGGGACGAAAAGAAGATTTTATGACAGGAGTAAAAGAATCTGCCAAGGCGGGAAACGCTATTTTGACCGTACGTTTTCATATTAAAGAATGTTTTTATTCCATACGGTTTCTGTTCAAACCCTTCCCACACTTTATTTGTTTGATATATGGAAAAAAGCCTGATCTGCACGCAGAAACGCAGACATTCTTCCATCATTAATATTTTTCACAGGACGGTGGCACGGCGGTCAATGCTGTAGAAGCAGCAGTTCGTGAACTGGAGAACAATGGGAATTTTAATGCTGGCTATGGATCGTATTTGAACAACAATGGTGAAGTGGAATGCGATGCATTGATTATGGATGGCAACACATTAAATACTGGTACGGTATGTCGAGTGACAAAGCGCACAGATAACGTCAATTTATTACATTTGTTGGTGTTTATAACTAATTGAAGAAAAAGTTTCATCCAGTTGACTGGGCAATGCAACAGACCTAAATAGCAGGCGAACTCTCGAATTTATATGCCATAATGCCTTTTCAGGTCGCTTCTGAAGCTTCGTCCTCAATACAAATTTGCCTAATAGGCTTGCCACTCCATTTTTTTGTTTTCTACATACATGCCTAGTAATTATTTATAATACACATGCATACAAGATGTTTGCGAGACTGTCGTGCTCCGTTGTCGAAGCCTATATATATATATATAGTTTCTATTTCACGCGCACGACAAATGTGACAAATGGGCGCTTGACAAATTATGATTATTTCTCTAGCAAATGCGTTATTGATATCTCTAATCAAAAAATCTTATTAAGTATGGACAAAATCGTAGTAAACTGATTACAGAAGTAAATATCTTAATTCGACCAAATATATCATGCACATTGGGCCTGCGGATCGAGTGCAAACTAGGAATGGGAGTAGGTCAAATTGTGACGACTCCAATGACATAATTATATGCATGCTAAGTTTAACAACTAACAATACAAAGCCACTTCAAGCAAAAGACGCGCCGCGAGTTTTTCAACATTACCATTTGCTGATTTCACACTTTTTTGGGTCCAAATAAGTATATTCACGAAACATATCGTTTTTCACATTTAACCTTCACACTTTCTATATCCATTATTTGCTATCCAAACCAGGGTGCGGTTGTTCGATTAAACGGTATACATAAGGCAAAGTTAAAAAAACACTCTATTACATCTTGCGAGTGACTGAATCTACGTCTTATGAATTGAATATGTATAATTTCATTGAAAATCAAAATATGTACCTCAAAATATTTCAGCTCACGCAGTTGCTCAATAAATATATCATTTTTGTTTTCCATTTTAAACTTATTTGCTGTTTATGCTAAACGCATTTAGAACGCAACCCGGCCCAGACCCTTAAAAACCCTTACGTATTTAACGAAATATCTAGGTGCAGTGATGAATGGACGTTATTTTCGTAATCCTGTTTCTCTTGCCAAAAAGATCATGGAGGATTCGCATCATTGTGCGTTGTCTGGTGATGGAGCGCTGGAATTTGCTTTGCGCCATGTGGTAACACTCTATGATCCGCCGAAATTGATCAGCGAGCGTGCCCGTGAGAAAATTTGTAAATACGAAGACTTTCCAAATACTGTTCGCACTATCTATCCGGGAGGCCCCTTCGAAGAAGAGGGCGGCGAATATGGCGGTGAATATGATACTGTTTCAGCTGTTGCTATGGATGCCGAGGGCCATCTGGCGTGTGCGACGTCATCAGGTACACATCTCCGGCAGGACGTGCACCAGTGGTGCACGTTAGATTATATAAAGCGTTAATTTACGTACATTGTGGGCAGCTACAGGCATTTTCCTGATGGATCCCAAGGGAAAGCCACCCATAACTTCACACCTAACGAAATTGCATTGTTTACATTGAATTTAAAGCGTATAACCGCAAAGTTTGTCCAGCACACTATTGACTGTTAAAACCATATGGTAGTATAACACTAACAAACTATAAGGTGATTATTGTAAAATGGTCTGACTAGCCAGTTGCAAACGACTAAGATTATTAAGCGATCAGTTTTGGTCACCCTATGCGGCCACTAAATGGCCATCTTATATCATTACTTAGCGTTTACAATCACAATATAAGAGCTAATTTGTGCTGAAAATGTTTATAGTAACACATATAATACAATACATTTAAAGCGTATAACCGCAAAGTTTGTCCAGCACTGTGATGAATATGTTAAAACCATATGGTAGTATAACACTAACAAACTATAAGGTGATTATTGTAAATGGTCTTGTCTCATTTGACTGGACAATTGCAAACGACTAAGATTATTAGGCGATCGGGTCATCCTATAAGCCTCCTTTTGTGCATGTGGAAAATTTTTGCTCAATTTTCCAAAGCGGCCAATAAATCTTATATTATTACTTAACGTTTACAATCACAAGATAAAAGCTGATTTGTGCTGAAAGATTTATAGTAATATATAACACAAATAAAAATCTTCCAATTATTATATATAGGTGGTATACCTGGCAAGTTGAAAGGTCGGGTTGGCGATGCAGCGCTGGTTGGTTGTGGGGGTTACGCAAATAAACACGGAGCAGCCACTGTTAGTGGACATGGAGAGTCGATAATGAAAATGACTCTGGCAAGAGAAGTTGTTTCCATGATGGAAGAAAATGAGGAAAAAGAACCAAAAGATGCTCAGGTTAGAATCCTAAACTTTTAAATCAGGTAAAATTTTTGTAAACGAACCAACAAAAAGGTAAATTCTCATGGAATATATTGATTGTTTAAACATAGTCCTATTAACTTATTACTCTCCCCTACCGTATAGTCGTTTATATTAACTATGGTTGTATATACTACTTTGGTTATATACTACCATGGTTATATACTACTATGGTTGTATACTATTTTTGAAGGTTTCATCTTTTCTATACCTTATAAATGAAAGACCTTTATAGTTTCACGTGCGGATATTTAATATCCGCGCTGATATTACATACCATCTGTTTCTTAGGAATCTGCAGAAATTGCTTCAAAGAATTTGCTTGACTACAATAAATATTGCGGTGCTTGTGGTGTAATTGCTATAGATAAAAATGGAAAATTTGGGAGAAAATTCACAACCAAAGCTATGCCATGGGCGAGCATCGTGGGAAAGCAAATGGAATATGGTATGGATCCAAATGAAAGAAAAACTGAGTTCCTTTGAAACAATTTACATGAACAATTTTATATTTTATTTTTATATACTAAGTTTATTTTCTTTCAAAATAATATGTTTCATCGTATACTTACCTAGCTATTAAATTCAATGAGGAATTTGTTCACGCCAATTTCAAATTCAGTGAAATAATTTATATATTATATTGTTAAGCCCTGTTTGCAGTTTATACTGACAAAAATAACTTTCAAATAAAAAAATAAGAGAACAAATGCCTTTTGTATAATCAAATTTGTGCATGTGAGTTTGAGGGAGAGGCTATAACTATACAATAATACAACACATACAACACTAGAAGTAATCAAAGATAAGTAAGTGCGTTGACCCGTTCGAGAGACTTATAGTCGGTATAAATGCTAGACATACACTGAACATTTATTGTGCACAGAGAATAGCCTAGTCTGATGTGTACCCAAATCGTCCCAGATCGAGGAACGAAGTTAAAGCCGCTGTGAACTCCAGGGGCCGGTTGTTCAAAGCTAGGTTAGCGCTAACCCTGGGTTAAATTTTACTCCGCTGTTTTGGTTTATATGCTTCTGCACCGCTGTTCGAACAACCGGCCCTAGCTGAAAAAAGGCATGCGGTTTGACTTTGTAAGCGATTTGAAATTCCGGATTTCTCATCAGGAGATGTTCCATAGTTAAACAAAAATATGAACAAGGAAACACTGCAAGATATACATCACCTGATGCTTTGATAAGTATCCTCTTTCATATGTTAAACTGACTTCAGGATCAAAATAATCAAAATTGAAAACCCCTAAATGCTTCCCAAACAACAGCTGTTCACCGCAAGATGTGGGGAAGAACATAAAATTAGGAGTGACGCGGTACGAAACCCGAAATCAGAGCAAATCCGAACACATGAAAGCGAGGCAAATATCTCGGTGAATCTAAAAACGATATAGCATCCAGCGTGACGTCACGATTAGGATTTAGCAAGCGTTTTCCTGTGTCGGAATACAATAAGCGAGGGAAAAAAAGTCTGATGCGTTTAGCCATGTACTATGAAATGATCGAGAAGAGTTCGAGAGAATACCAAAAATATCAGCCAAAGAAGGATACTACATATTGATGGTATACACATGCATGTCTTCATGATACAGTCGAACCTCTATTTAGCAGCCCTCCATTAAGCAGCCACCCTCTATTAAACGGCCACATATCGAAGTCCCGAAATTTTTGTACTACAAATACTACTAATTAATTAACTATCCCTCTATTAAACGGCAACCTCTATTAATCGGCCGCGGCTACCCAAAGAACCGTCCCAAATGATGTTTTCTATCAATAAAAACCTCTATTAAGCGGCCATCTAATTTCTGTTACTTCGCTTTAGCTAACAAATCTGCCATGCATATGCGTGGATATAATCATGCTTTGTGCCGCTAATTAATATTTATTATTATGCATTGCTAACGCAATCTCGATTGTGATTGGCTAAAAACCTACAGATAATTCTCAATGTCTTGCCACCTACACGACATTAAAAATTATCCGTAGGTGACGTAATTTTTACCGCTAGTTTGTTGTCAAACTTCGTCTTTAAAAAGGAAATACATAATAAAACAATTATTGAATTCGGTTTTCGCATGATATCGAGAATTATCAAGCCTCAGTTTGCGTTATCCGCCTCAGCTTCGCTTCAGCAAATAACGCAAACTTCGGCTTGATAATTCTCGATATCACACTCAACCTCATCCAATAATTGTTAAATGTTTACTGCAATAATAGCTAAATATTCTCCGGAATTCTAAAAATTTAGACGTTTGCGTGACATTTTGAGGGGTTTACTTTCAAGCTTTTTTTTAGTTTTAAACGCCAAGGCACGTAAATATACATATAACAACTCTCCCACCCGCTGATGTTAAATAATTTTTGATCATTTAAATTTTTAACTCTTTGAAATTATTGCCCCCCTGTGTTGTAAGAATTTCACCTTAAGATTTCTTCATATTTCCTCACACTGATGCATCAAAACATTAATTCAACCTATATCAACAAAAAAACCTCGTTCCTGTAGCGATTATAAACTTACACATCTTTATGTACACTGGTTGTAAACTTTTTAAATATCGGTATACGAAGTTAGTACAGTGCTAGCTGTATTATATAACATACAGTAATTAGTTTTGCCAGTCATGCATCGTAATTGAGTTAAGTGTTTGTCGCGCAAGTAAAGTGCTAGTGAAGATTCATATGTTCAGCGCAGAGCCACAAACAAAGAGCTCTTGAGTGATCGTCGTTGGAGAATTTTAGAAGTTCTTGCAAGGTGAAGCATTTAACTTTTCAAACATTCATAAAGAGTTAAGTAGCTATATGTTTCTGTTTTTATTTACAACTCTTCAATTCAATACACGTTTCATGGCATGATACATAGTTCACGTATATAACTAATCCATAAATTTGTTTCCTTCACGAAAGTTTCCCTATCATATATTTCACTGCAAGTGTAGTATTGAAGCCGGTGGTACTTCAAATTACATCTTTCTTTTAGCAAAGAAAGGTATATGGCTGAAAATATAACCCCAGGAATGTCGGAACTTTCCATAAGCTCAGGTAATACTTTCGTCAGCAAGAAAATACATGTCTAGCACTGATTGATTTTATTAATCTACGAATTCATTTGATGGTGAATTTACTACAATCGTTAAACTCGTGGTATCTATGGAGGTCTTAAGTTGCCATACTAAGAGTATGTGATTTTCATAAATGTGTAAGCATAAACATGAACGCCAGTTTTATTTGGTCCTAATACATCGATGTGCAGTTGGTTGCATATTTCTTGCAAGGCCATATAATGCTAATAAACCTTATCTTTGAAATTCGTCATCAGTTCCCGATTGATCGTGATTGTTTTCCTGGATGAAATATGCCCGGAATCATACCCAGTACAAACGAATCTTGCAACATACATTATATGGGATTTTTCGTGGGGTTTTTTTTAAATCAAATGATAGAAATACACATTTTCAGTCACCAAGATGCAAAGGCTAGATAGATCTCCCCTAAATGGTTGAAGTTTAGAATCGCATGTACAGCAACAAGAATGTTTTGTAGCAGGAATTAAAAAATTACAAACGCGCCCACAGCAGGTGGTCACTCGCTCTTTATGTATGTTGTTTAGAGCAATGCTGTATCACTATAGTTTTAAACCTAATAGTAATTAGAATAAACTGGTCAGGTTGTATTATCATTCCCATGCAATAATGTAGAACTGAACACGTTCTTCAGTAACCTCTCGTAGATTTTTACCGAGCGCGAGTGAAAGGTTTCACTTTTAGAGCTAAGCTAAACGTTTACTTCAAAGAATTGTAATCGGAATGTTCTTTCTGGAAGACTATATATCTAGCTACAATCGCTCACAGCTGGTGACCAATTACCCAGCATGCATGTTTGGTGTACACTCATAGATATATAATAGGTTAGAAAGTTAGTATCGCTTTCGAAATACATGGATGGTTGGTTATGGTTCTAGTTCCTTCCAAATTAATTTAAATCGATTATTTTAAATTTTTAAGTGGTGTATGTTAAAGTTCAGTCCACCCAAGCAGTATATCAGTAAGCAAAAAAGATCGTAAACTCGTATTCAAACTATATGGCACTCCTTTTTTCGTACATTTTGGTGGAGATAGCCATATTGATTTCGAGCAACAATTTTTAAAAGACGATAACTCGGCCAGTTTTGGTCGTGTCGATATAAGAACGGTATAATCGCAAACTAAATAAGCTAATCTTTGTCGCTATATAAAAATTATATCGTTTACTTTAGAATTTATTACACAGCAGCCTGTCAAAGTTGGATTCGAATTTTTTTGATACACATTGTAGTTGATACATTTCAGACGGTTCGTATCTCAAAAAGGGGTAACTGACAAAACTACAGAACATATTGTGCCTAAATTCCTCCGTCAACTAGCCAGCACCATTTTTATTAGTTACATCTATTGTTCTACCCCTTCTTCAAGCTCTGGAATGGCTGTGCCCTTCTTATACTCTGCTTGTTAGGTCCTTCAGTTCTGATCATGCAAACGAAGGAGGCATAAACAGAGCGCTGTGGAATGTGATAGAATTTTACCCAAGCACTGGAAAAGAGAACCAAGAATTATTGCTTTTTTACTCACGGATACTCCGTAGGAGTATCAGGGAGTCATTGCTAACGGTCTCGTATTCTTTAGTGCCATCAACTCGACCAACTTCTTTGCGCGCTTAGTATTGAAAACTTGTTTATCTGGTTATATATCTACTAGCCAACAATTAAACGGCTGTTCGCGTGCATCCGTGAGTCGTTTCTTCGAGACCTATGATATGTCAGTTTGCGAGCCCGTTGTTCTTAACAAACATGAATACTTCATTATTATTGATTTGGGTCCTACAGTGGATCAGTCCTCAACTCACGCTATAGAAGTATTTTTTATTATGGTTTTTCAGTATTATGTGGGCCAATACGCAAAAAAGTTGGTGGCCTCTAAGATATCGAAAATAGCTAGTGTATACACGTGCATCCGTGAGTCGTCTCACTGAGACCTTTGATTAAACAGGGCAAGGAGGACCTAGAATTATTGTTCAGGGTGGTGCGTTTAAATCGTATCAGGACCGACCGGGACGAAAAGAAGATTTTATGATAGGAGTAAAAGAATCTGCCAAGGCGGGATACGCTATTTTGACCGTAAGTTTTCATATTAAAGAATGTTTTTATTCCATACGGTTTCTGTCCAAACCCTTCCCACACTTTATTTGTTTCATATATGGAAAAACGCCTGATTTGCACGCAGACATTCTTCCGTCATTAATATTTTTCACAGAACGGTGGCACGGCGGTCGATGCTGTAGAAGCAGCAGTTCGTGAACTGGAAAACAATGGGAATTTTAATGCTGGTTATGGATCGTATTTGAACAACAATGGTGAGGTGGAATGCGATGCATTGATTATGGATGGCAACACATTAGATACTGGTACGGTATGTTGAGCGCACAGATAACGTCAATTTATTACATTTGTTGGTGTTTATAACTAATTAAAAGAAAAAGTTTCATCCAGTTGACTGGGCAATGCAGCAGACCTAAATAGCAGGCGAACAACTCTCGATTTTATATGCCATAATGCCCTTTTAGGTCGCTTTGGAAGCTCGTCCTCAATACAAATCTGCCTAATAGGCTTGCCACACCATTTTTTTGTATTCTGCATACATGCCTAGTAATTATCCCCGAGCCGGTGCGGAGCAACGTGCGATGGTACTAATTCCGCTCAGATATTTACACCCACGATTTGCAAATGTGAAATCAAAGTTGTCCGCCATTATGCAATGGACCTCACGCCATGGACCTTCTACGTTATGCGCATGCGCCAGTGTGAACCACTAAGCTCTTGATTGGTCGAGACAAAAATTTGTATTTTCAAACGTCAAAAAATAACTGTCATTTTGCAAAATTTTGATGAGATTTATAAATTTTATGTTTTCATAAAATAAAGAAGATATGTATTTTATTAAATTAGAGGGAAACTCGAATGTGGTCAGGACTTTTCACGGTTTAACAAATAACAAGACCAAATTTTTGACCGAATTCACCGTGTATAATAAAGTCGGAAGATTTTACACTTGATAATATTTAAATATAATATGAAAATCCACAGCTTTAAAAAGTAATTTTTTTGTGGTAAACACAACTTTAACATTCTCAAATGTATTTCACTATAAATCTGAATGTGTAATGTGATAAACGACATTATAATTTCATTTATAAACTCCGTTTCCATATTGACAAAAAGAAAAAAAAATCAAAACATTCCCGTGCAAAAACCAATCGAGCCAATCGTTATATGAGACGTCTGATGTTATATTCCATGGTAATTAATAATTAAAATAATTTACTATAACACTGACTATAGATAAGTAACTTAACTTCCAGAAAAAGGTAAGAATCTTGTCGTATTTTTGCCATTTTTTCACAAAAATATGAGGGTAAACTTTGATTCTTTAAAAATAAACGGCCGTTGCGAGTTGCTTTGACTACAGTCACAGAGCATACAGAGGTTTGACTGCCGTTAATTTTGCGTACCCCTGGCTTAGCCAGTGCGCTCAAGAGAGGCCTTTTCCCCCCGGGAAATCATGCATATGGCGGCGGCTTGAACACATGTATGGAATATAAACAGCCGAGACAGAACTATCTGGAAAAATCGTATTTTTGACAAAAACGTTGCTCAATTTTTTCTCAAAACCAGATTTTGTTAGTTCTTATCCTTTAGAAGAGTATAGAAGAGTATAAAAGTGGGAGCGATCTGATTCTGGGTGTCCCTGAAAAAAAGTACTCCAGTTTGATTCATAATAGCTTCTAAACTAGCTAGGCTATTAAACTGAAATAACTTTCACTAGATAGAGGAAAGACTAACTTAGATTTTGATATATTACAGTTGTATTTTACTTAAAAATTAATGGAGATATCAATGTTCAAAATTGGTAGCATATTTCTGGATGTGTCTAAATTATGCAAAAAACGCCGTATCAAATATTAACTGAAGCTTTTCTCAACTGAAACATGCACTATTAGCAGTAAATAAATGACACTTGACAAATTGTTTATTATGAAACGAAGTATTATTAGTTACAGAAAACAAGGAAGATTTATTCGTTCGGAATCGCGTGTCCCCCCAACACGAATGCACTGCCTAGCCTGTGAAACCATTGTGACGAAGGAGTCATGGATCATTCGTTGTTCTAGATTGCTGTTACGATTGAGTTGCGAAGCTCTTCTAAATTCTGCGGTTGCTGATCGTGTGATACATTCCAAATTTGCTGCTTAAGGTATCCCCAAAGAAAAAATCGCATATTGCATTATTTACTGCTAATAGTGCATGTTTCAGTTGAGAAAAGCTTGATTAATAAAATTATTTGATACGGCATTTTTTGCATAATTTAGACACATCCAGAAATATGCCACCAAATTTTAACATTGATATCTCCGTAAATTTGTAAGTAAAATACAACTGTAATATATGAAAATCTAAGTTAGTCTTCCCTTTATCTAGTGAAAGTTATTTCAGTTTAATAGCTTAGCTAATTTAGAAGCTATTATGAATCAAACTGGAGTACTTTTTTCTGGGACACCCGGTAGCGATGGCTATTTATAATGTTCGGGGGGGATAGGACCTCTCTTTAGCGCACTGGCTAACAACATGGCCGCTAGGAACGCATAATTAATGCAAGGTCAAACCCCTGTATGCTCTGTGCTACAGTGCTTCCACGTGCGGAATATGTTACCATCCCTATGCTTAACTAATTTTGTTAATCCGAGGCGTAATACACATGCATACAAGATTTTTGCGACACTGTCGTGCTCCGTTGATTTCACGCGCATGACTATCAAACTTTTCGCCATGATTTTGAACATTTGCTACCAAGTAGTGCCAAGCCCCCGCAGACGCAAAAATTGCGTAATTGTTGCGTGATCAGGTATTAAAAGCAAACATGATAAAGCGTTTAATATATGAATCTAGCGTTTCCTCGAGTGCTGAAGTTGTAAAAAAGATTGAAAAGGATAAAAATTTGTATTAGGTAGAAGTAACAGAAGTCGATGAGGCGCGGAATTTGGTGCGAATTCATTATAAAGGCTACAGTGAAAAGTATGACGAGTGGAGGCCATTCGGTGTTGATCGCGAGCTAGTCAGCTAGAATCATATTTCCCCTTTGTGCGACGAGAGAATGCCAATACCTGACGCGGACTCCCTCGAGCAAATGGCGGAATTATTTAAACATAAACTGTATACCGAAGTTAAAAGGAAGCTATATTCCGGTTATACAAAAATATATTCAAAACACGACCCATAACCTATATTTTTATATTCCAATGGAAACTCATGAATAGCCGGCATGCAGAAACGGCAAGAAGCAAAAAACTACAAAATTTCCTCTTATATTGCCGCATATCTAGAGAAATATGACCTCGCGTAATACGAGTAGACTTTTTGTTCAGCAAAAGTTTGATATTGAATGGCCGCTTTTTAAATGCAGATTCAACCTCGCAAGCCAGGCTCTTTTACCTACGCTCCACGGCCCACGCTGCGGCAAAGACCCTGGTCAAGGCTGGTCATGTGACCTCCCAAAATATGGGAGGTTTTTAATTAGCGCTTAGTTCATATCCATGGGAGGAGTGGGAAAGTCGATATACCATTTCTGCTATTTTTAGCACTTGTCACAATCCAGATGACTTTGTACTAACGCAACTAAAAATAGCGGTTCACGCTATAAACTAAATAAATACAGCTAGTGTGGCGCAGCAAAAAACTAAAAAGAGCAATAAACCGAATTTAGATTCAAGTGCTATGTGTAGACTGTATCATCGTCGATAGAATCGGTTTAAGTATCGTCACAAGTTCTGTTGACATTCAATACAGACACTCGAAGGCCTGTGCTATCTTCTAAATTTGGGCGTTGATGAGCGAATTTAGAGGTCAAATAACAATAAAGACACAGGTTATTTCACTTTGCGGTACAACAGCGCTCAATATTCAGTCCTTAGAAACACGCTGTTTTAACTAATGTGATCTATGCGCTACTTGTGTCCCACCCATCCCCACACGGGAGAAGCGTAACAAAAGAATCACGTGACCAGCCTTGACCAGGGTCTTTGCCGCAGCGTGGGCCGTGGAGCGTAGGTAAAAGAGCCTGGCTTGCGAGGTTGATGCAGATTGGGCCTGCGGATCGAGTGCAGACTAGGAATGGGTGTAGGTCAAATTGTCATAACTCCAATGACATAATTATATGCATAATAAGTTTAACAACTAACAAAGCCACTTCCAGCAAAAGAGGCGCCGCGAGTTTTGTTTCGTTGTATAGTTTCATTGAAAATCAAAATATATACCTCAAAATATTTCAGCTCAGTTGCTCAATAGATAGAATGTAGATGTTTTCCATTCTAAACTTATTTGCTGTTTATGCTAAACGCATTTAGAACCCTTAATCCCTTATGTATTTAAAGAGAATTGCCTTTGAAATATCTAGGTGCAGTGATGAATGGACGCTATTTTCGTAATCTTGTTTCGCTGGCCAAAAAGATCATGCAGGATTCGCATCATTGTGCGTTGTCTGGTGATGGAGCGCTGGAATTTGCTTTGCGCCATGGGGTAAGACTCTATGATCCGTCGAAATTGATCAGCGAGCGTGCCCGTGAGAAAATTTATAAGTACGAAGACTTTCCAAAAACTGTTCGCACTATCTATCCGGGAGGCCCCTTCGAAGAAGTGGGCGGTGAACATGATACTGTTTCACCTAATGCTATGGATGCCGAGGGCGGTGAATATGATACTGTTTCAGCTGTTGCTATGGATGCCGAGGGCCATCTGGCGTGTGCGACGCCATCAGGTACGCATCTGCGGCAGGACGTGCAACAGTGGTGGACGTTAGATTATATAAAGCGTTAATTTACGTACATTGTGGGCGGCTACAGGCATTTTCCTGATGGATCCCAAGGGAAAGCCACCCATGACTTCGCACCTAACGAAATTGCATTGTTTATATTGAATTTAAAGCGTATAACCGCAAAGTTTGTCCAGCACTCTATTGAATGTTAAAACTATATGATAGTATAACACTAACAAACTATAAGGTGATTATTGTAAAATGGTCTGACTGGCCAATTGCAAACGACTAAGATTATCAGCCGATCGGTTTTGGTCACCTTATGCGGCCACTAAGGGCCTGTTTACATGGAGCCGAGTTACCCGGGTAACCGAGTTACTCGCCTTGCAGGGACAAAACGGTACTGTGTTTATATGGAACCGGGTAACTCGGTATTTGTTACGGTACATTGTAATTACACGACGTACTTACTATGTAGGGTGCGAAATTTCAAAAAGTTTTTTACAATGGTGGTAAATGAAACGTAAACGCGCATGCGTGTTTGGCGAATATTCTGCTCGCCTAGCCGAGTTTCCCGTTGCAAAGTGTTTATATGGTATAACCGAGTAACTCGCCTTGCCGAGAACCCGGCACCGTTTGCCGAGAACTCGGCACGCCGAGTTACTCGGATGCGCCATATAAATAGTCAACCGAGATATGCATACAATATATAGAACAAGCGAGAACTCGGTGCTGCCGAGTAACTCGGTTAGCCGGGTAACTCGGCTCCATGTAAACAGGCCCTAATTGGCTATCTTATATCATTACTTAGCGTTTACAATCACAATATAAGAGCCGTAATTTGTGCTGAAAATATTTATAGTAACACGTATAATACAATACATTTAAAGCGTATAACCGCAAAGTTTGTCCAGCACTCTATTGAATATGTTAAAACCATATGGTAGTATAACACTAACAAACTATAAGGTGATTATTGTAAAATGGTCTGACTGGCCAATTGCAAACGACTAAGATTATTATAGACGATCGGTTTTGGTCACCCTATACGGCCACTAAATGGCCATCTTATATCATTACTTAGCGTTTACAATCACAATATATTAAGAGCTAATTTGTGCAAAATATTTCCAATTCTGAAGATGTTTTGTTATCCGAAATAACACGCCTTAATGAGGAGCTTTCTAAAGAAAGAGAAAAAACACGGGAAATAGAACGCAAACTACAGTCCCTCACGGATAAACATCCGGGAGGCCCCTTCGAAGGAGAGGGCGGTGAATATGATACTGTTTCAGCTGTTGCTATGGATGCCGAGGGCCATTTGGCGTGTGCGACGTCATCAGGTACGCATCTCCGGCAGGACGTGCACCAGTGGAGATTATATAAAGCGTTAATTGACTCACGTACATTGTGAGCAACTACAAACATGAATCCCAAGGGATAGCCACCCATCACTTCGCACCTAACGAAATTGCATTGTTTACATTGAATTTGTAATTATTGTAAATGGTCTTGTCTCATTTGACTGCTCAATTGCAAACGACTAAGATTATTAAGCGATCGGGTCATCCTATAAGCCTCCTTTTGTGCATGTGGAAAATTTTTGCTCAATTTTCCAATGCGGCCACTAAATGGCCATCTTATATTATTACTTAGCGTTTACAATCACAATATAAGAGCTGATTTGTGCTGAAAGGTGATTGTTATAAATGGTCTTGTCTCATCTGACTGGCCAATGCAAACGACTAAGATTATTAGGCGATCGGTTTTGGTCATCCTATAAGCCTCCCTTTTTGCATGTGGAAAATTTTTGTTCAATTGTCCAATGTGGGCATATGCGCCACTAAATGGCCATCTTATATTATTACTTAGCGTTTACAATCACAATTTAAGAGCTTATTTGTGCTGAAAATATTTATAGAGTAACACATAACACAAACAAATATCTTCCAATTATTATAGGTGGTATACCTGGCAAGCTGAAAGGTCGGGTTGGCGATGCAGCGCTTGTTGGTTGTGGAGGTTACGCAAATAAACACGGAGCAGCCACTGTAACTGGACATGGAGAGTCAATAATGAAAATGACTCTGGCAAGAGAAGTTGTTTCCATGATGGAAGAAGACGAGGGAAAAGAATCAAAAGATGCTCAGGTTAGAATCCCAAACTTTTAAATCAGGTAAAATTTTTGAAAACGAACGGAATGAACCAACAAAAAGGTAAATTGAAATGGAATATATTTATTATATTAGAATATCCAAATAATTTTTTACTCTCCCCTACCGTATATATAGTCGTTTATATTAACTATGGTTGTATTCTACTTTTGTTATATACTGCTATAGTTGTATACTACTTTAGTTGTATACTACTTTGGTTATATGCTACTATGGTTGCCGGTATACTACTATGGGTTGTGACGGTTTCAACTTTTCTTTACCTAATAAATGAAAGACCTTTATAGTTTCACACGGATATTTAATATCCGCGCTGATATTATATGCTATCTGTTTCTTAGGAATCTGCAGAAATCGCTTCAAAGAAATTGCTTAAACACTTTGGTTTTTGCGGTGCTTGTGGTGTAATTGCTATAGATAAAAATGGAAAATTTGGGAGAGAATTCACAACTAAAGCTATGCCATGGGCGAGCATCGTGGGAAAGCAAATGGAATATGGTATGGATCCAAATGAAAGAAAAACTGAGTTCCTATGAAACAATTTTTATGAACAATAAAGGCCTATATGAGTTTCATACTTATTTTCTTTCAAAATAATATGTTTCATCGTATACTTATACCTATTAAATTCAATGAGGAATTTGTTCACGCCAATTTCAAATTCAGTGAAATATATATATATATATATATATATATATATATATATATATATATATTATATATATAATTATATATATATAATATATAATATTATATATATATAATATATAATATATATATATATATGTATGTATACATTGTTAAGCCCCGTTTGCAGTTTATACTGACAAAAATAACTTTCAAATGAAGAAATAAGAGAACAAATGCCTTTTGTATAATCAAATCTTTGCATGTGAGTTTGAGGAAGAGGCTATAACTCTATGATAATACAACACATACAAAACTGGAATTAATCAAAGATAAGTAAGTGCGTTGACCTGTTTCAGAGACTTATAGTCGGTATAAATGCAAGACATACACTGGACATTTACTGTGCACAGAGAATATCCTAGTCTGATGTGTACCCAAATCGACCCAGATCGAGGAACGAAGTTAAAGCCGCTGTGAACTCCACTGAGCTGAAAAAAGGCACGCGGTTTGACTTTGTAAGCGATTTGAAATTCCGGTTTTCTACCCCAAACGCTTCCCAAACAACAGCTTTTCACCGCAGTTGCAAGATGTAGGAGTGACGCGGTACTGAAACCAGAAATCGGAGCAAATCCGAACACATGAAAGCGAGGTAAATATTTCGGTCACTTATTATGGATAACTTATTTACTCTATGGTATGGTATCGTGCGACAACTCCTTTTTATATGTCAGTTTGCGAGCCCGCTGTTCTTAACAAACATGCATGAATATTTAGTTACTAGAAATACATGCATGCAGCAACCCCTCGCCATTTTAAACGAAGCAAAATATTTCGTGCTCTACCCAGACCTAACTTTCTACGCTAATGTTATGAAATAACTCGTGCAAATTTTTCGGAAACAAAGACAGTCGTAAAGGTGAACAGAAATCACCTGTTTGCCTGCTGCATTACGTTGCAGTTTAAGTGAGTGTTAAACTTTTCTATAGCTAAACCTTCAAAACATCAAAACAGCACAAATAATTATAATAACCATACAAGCACTAAACGTCGAATGTTGTTTTTCTATTATTTATTTTGTTCAATGATTTTAGCAAATACATAAGCTGCAAAGTGATATTTGTTTTATCAAAACTCTGCAGTACACTTTTGAGAACTCTTTAAAGTTTAAGCGATGATGTAAAGCCTTAAACGGTCGGTTAGCTCCTTGTAAAACGACACATCAAGCTCGTACTTGTCAAAATAACAATGCATTCTTACAGCAAACACTGAATAAGCAAAATATAGACACCTACCACTTCAAAGATTATAAACTACGAGTCGTTCCTATTTCACCAACTGTTTCTGTGCTGTGATGATCTTTAAATCTTTTATTATTGTTTTAATATTTGACTCCATGATTTCATTTGATATTTTTAAAAAATAGTTTGCAAAATGACGTTAAAATGCTGACGCTCTCATGCATGCTCTCTTTTTGTCTTAGCCAATCAGCAAGTTGTAGACGACCGTTCTTTCTTCGCTCAAATTTCGCGCATGCGCACAACTACCATGACCATTGAACGTCCATGACATTTGGGCAACTTTGGATCAAAGAGTAGATATTATATAATATCTACTCTTTGTTTGGATTCGCCTATGTTCTGTCAGAATACCCGGGTGTAATTCCTAATCTCCGGGCGGAACTAGTACCCTCGCACGGTGCTCCGCACCGGCTCGGGGATTATTGATTTGGGTCCTACAGTGGATATTTTGTTGTTGTGGCCAAAGCTATATCAGTCCTCAACTCACGCTAGAAGTACTTTTTATTATGGTTTTTCAGTATTATATGGGCCGAAAAGCAAAAGAGTTGATGGTCTCTAAGATATCGAAAATAGCTAATACACGAAATTTGAATCTTTTGAGCTTATTTTAAAAAATTAAAGGCGGAATTTGTTGGATTTTAAAACGTTTGCTTAATCTTACGCCCTTCCAAATTTCTGTTAAATTAAGCCATATAGGAAGCCCAGACAAATGAGTTGAAGTTAATAAAAATCCGTAAAACACTTCAGATATCTGTTAAAATGAATTAAAGTGTATATGTAATTTGCTACAAAACTACTGTTAGAACCATGTATGTAGCGCGCTCCAGTGGCGCTGACTATGCAACTATAGTGACGTAACTTACTATATTATTGGAAAGGAAGGAAACTCTCGCCTCAATTTTCAACATGTTGACAAATTAAAACACAAATTACTATAGTAAAACGGCACGTCGACTGCTAAATGCCTACCGTAGGTTTAAGTTGAATAATCAAACTATACTTTCATGATAAAAATAATGCTGAATTCAAACGAAAGCGCTGGAAAAACGTACACAATTTTTGTGAATTGGCCGAAATTTTCGTGAATACATACGGGATGTAAGTACCTACCCAAAATGACGGCGGCGGAAGAATCTGATTGGTCGAGAAAAGTAAGCAAAGTATGATCGACCAATCAGATTGGTCGAGAAAGGTAAACAAAGAATGATCGACCAATCAGATTCTTCCGCCGCCCCCATTTTGGGTAGGTACTTACATCCCGCATGTATTCATGAAAATTTCGGCCAATTTACAAAATTTGTGTACGTTTTTCCAGCGCTTTCCTTTGAATTCAGCATTATTTTCATTATGAAAGTATAGTTTGATTGTTCAACTTAAACCTACGGTAGGCATTTAGCAGTCGACGTGCCGTTTTACTATAGTAATTTGTGTTTTAATTTGACAACATGTTGAAAATTGAGGCGAGAGTTTCCTTCCTTCCCAATAATATATATAGTAAGTTACGTCGCTAGTTGCTTAGTCAAATGGCAGCGGCACTGGAGCACGCTACATACATAGTTCTAACAGTAGTTTTGTAACAAATTACATATACTTTAATTTATTTTAACACATATCTCAAGCGTTTTACGGATTTTTATTAACTTCAACTCATTTGTCTGGGCTTCCTATGATTAATATTTAATGTTTAATGCAATAGTGCAATAGAATGCAATAAATATTCTCTGGAATTCTAAAAATTTAGACGTTTGAGTGACATTTTGAAGGGTTTCTCTAATTTTAACAGCTTTCTCTAATTTTAAATACCAAGGCACGTAAATACATATAACAACTCTCCCACCCGCTGATGTTAAATAACTTTTGATCATTTAAATTTTAAACTGTCTGAAATAAATGTCTCCTGTGTTGTGAGAATTTCACCTTAAGATTTCTTCATATTTCCTCACACTGCTGCATCAAAACATTCAACCTATATCAACAAAAAAACTCGTTCCTGTAGCGATTATAAACTTACACATCTTTATGTACACTTGTTGTAAACTTTTAAACATCGGTATACGAAGTTAGTACAGTGTTAGCTGCATATATATAACATACAGTAATTAGTTTTGCCAGTCATGCATCATAATTGAGTTGAATGTTTGTCGCGCAACTAAAAAGGGAAGTGCGAGTGCTAGTTAAGATTCATATGTTCAGCGCAGAGACACAAAGAAGCAGCTCTTGAGTGTCGTCTTTGGAGAATTTTGGAAGTTCCTGCAAGGTGAAGCATTTAACTTTTCAAACATTCATAAAGAGTTGAGTAGCTATGTTTCTGTTTTTATTTACAACTCTTCAATTTAATACACGTTTCCTTGCATGATACATAGTTCACGTATATAACTAATCCATAAATTTGTTTTCTTCTAGAAAGTTTCCCTATCATATATTTCACTGCAAGTATAGTAATAAAGCCGGTGGTACTTCAAATTACGTCTTTCTTTTCGGAAAGAAAGGTATATGGCTGAAAATATAACTTCGGGAATGTCGGAACTTTCCATAAGCTCTGCTGATGCAGGTAATACTTTCGTCAGCAAGAAATTACATGTCTTGCACTGATTGCTTTTATTAATCTACGAATTCATTTGATGGTGAATTTACTACCATCGTTAAACTCGTGGTATGTATAGAGATCTTAAGTTGCCATATACTAAGAGTATGTGATTTTCATAAATGTGTAAGCATAAACATAAGACATGAACGCCAGTTTTATTTTGTCCTAATATATCGATGTGCAGTTGGTTGCATATTTCTTGCAAGACCATATAATGCTAATAAACATTATCTTTGGAATTCGTCATCAGTTCCCAATTGATCGTGATTGTTTTCCTGGATAAAATATGCCCGGAATTATACCCAGTATAAACGAATCTTGCAACATACATTATATAGGATTTTTCATGTTTTTTTTCACGTGCCAAAGAGGCAAAAGCTATAGGTAGATTTCCCCTAAGCCGTTGAAGTTTAGAATTGCATGTACAGCAACAGGAATGTTCTATAGCAAGAATTAAAAAATCACAAACGCCCACAGCTCTTTATGTATGTTGTTTAGAGCAATGCTGTATCACTATAGTTTTAAACTTAATAGTAGTTAGAATAAACTGGTTAGGTTGTATTATCATTCCCATGCAATAATGTAGAAAACACGTTCTTCAGTAAACTCTCGTAGATTTTAACCAGCGCGAGTGAAAGGTTTCACTTTTAGAAGAGAGCTAAAGGTTTATTTCAAAGAATTGTAATCGGAATGTTCTTCCTGGAAGACTATATATATATACAATCGCTCACAGCTGGTGACCAATTACCCAGCACGCATGTATGGTGTACACTCATAGATATATACTAGGTTAGAAAGTTAGTATCACTTTCGAAATGCATGGATGGTTGGCTATGGTTCTAGTTCCTTCGAAACTAATTTGAATCGATTATTTTAAATGTTTAAGTGGTGTTAAACTTCAGCCTTTCTTATGCTTCTTCTAGCCCTTCTTATGCTTTTTAAAGTGGATAATTTTTTATGAAAATAAATATTACCAAGCAAAACAGGCTCTAACTGTTAGGTCCCTTTCTGATCATGACCTAGCTTCCCTCACCCTAACATAACGAAGGAGGCCTGAACAGAGCGCTCCGAAATGTGATCAGACCAAGAATTATTGCCTTTTAAATAGGGCAAAGAGGACCTAGAATTATTGTTCAGGGTGGTGCGTTTAACCCGTATCAGGAACCATCGGGACGAAAAGAAGATTTTATGACAGGAGTAAAAGAATCTGCCAAGGCGGGATACGCCATTTTGACCGTACGTTTTCATATTAAAAAATGTTTTTATTCCATACAGTTTCTGTCCAAACCCTTCCCACACTTTATTTGTTTGATATATATGGAAAAAAGCCTGATCTGCGCGCAGAAACGCAGACATTCTTCCATCATTAATATTTTTCACAGAACGGTGGCACGGCGGTCGATGCTGTAGAAGCAGCAGTTCGTGAACTGGAAGACAATGGGAATTTTAATGCTGGTTATGGATCGTATTTGAACAACAATGGTGAGGTGGAATGCGATGCATTGATTATGGATGGCAACACATTAGATACTGGTACGGTATGTTGACTGACAAAGCGCACAGATAACGTCAATTTATTACATTTGTTGGCGTTTATAACTAATTAAAGAAAAAGTTTCATCCAGTTGACTGGGCAATGCAACAGACCTAAATGTAAAGCGAACTCTCGATTTATATACCATGATGCCCTCTCAGGTCGCTTCTGAAGCTTCGTCCTCAATACAAATCTGCCTAATAGGCTTGCCACACCATTTTTTTGTATTCTGCATACATGCCTAGTAATTATTTATAATACACATGCATACAAGATTTGTGCGACACTGTCGTGCTCCGTTGTCGAAGCCTAGTTTCTATTTCGCGCGCATGACAAATGTGACAAGTGGGCGCTTGATAAATGATGATTATTTCTCTAGCAAATACGTGATTGATATCTCTAATCGAAAAATCTTATTAAGTACGGACAAAATCGTAGTAAACTGATCGCAGAAGTAAATATCCTAATTCGACCAAATATTTCATGCAGATTGGTCCTATACGGATTGAGTGCAGACTAGGAATGGGTGTAGCTCAAAATTGTCACGACTTCAATGACATATGTGCATGCTAAAGCCCCGTTTACACTACACTCAATTTTATGGCACGGCACGGCTAAAATTGGTACCCGTGCCCAATTTTATTAGTGTTCAGGCTAAGAAAACAAAGGTCGAGCACGGATGAAATGAGCACGGGTACCCATGCATCTTAGCCGTGCAGTGCCAATAAATCGAGTGTAGGGTAAACGGGGCTTAAATTTATCAACTAACAAAGCCACTGAAGCAAAACACGCGCCACGAGTTTTTCAACATTAGTATTTGCTGATTTCACACTTTTTTAGGTCCAAATAAGTATATTCACGAAATATATCATTTTTCGCATTTAACCTTCGCACTCTTTGTATCCATTTTTTTGCCATCCAAACCAGGGGGCGGTTTTTCGAGTAAACGGTATATAGATAAGGCGAATTTAAAAAACACTCTGTTACATCTTGCGAATGACTGAATCTACGTCTTATGAATTGAATATGTATAGTTTTAATGAAAATCGAAATATATACCTCAAAATATTTTAGCTCAGTTGCTCAATAAATATATCATTTTTGTTTTCCATTTTAAACTTATTTGCTGTTTATGCTAAACGCAGAACAACCCGGCCCAGACCCTTAAACCCTTATGTATTTAAAGAGAATTGCCTTTGAAATATCTAGGTGCAGTGATGAATGGACGTTATTTTCGTAATCCTGTTTCGCTTGCCAAAAAGATCATGCAAGATTCGTATCATTGTGCATTGTCTGGTGATGGAGCGCTGGAATTTGCTTTGCGCCATGGGGTAAGACTCTATGATCCGTCGAAATTGATCAGCGAGCGTGCCCGTGAGAAAACTTATAAGTACGAAAACTTTCCAAAAACTGTTCGCACTATCTATCCGGGAGGCCCCTTCGAAGAAGAACATGATACTGTTTCAGCTGTTGCTATGGATGCCAAGGGCAATCTGGCGTGTGCGATGTCATCAGGTACGCATCTGCGGCAGGACGTGCACCAGTGGTGGACGTTGAATTACATAAAGCGTAGATTTACGTACGTTGTGGGCGGTTACAGGCATTTTCCTGATGGATCCCAAGGGAAAGCCACCCATGACTTCACACCTAACGAAATTGCATTGTTTACATTGAATTTAAAGCGTATAACCGCAAAGTTTGTCCAGCATTCTATTGAATGTTAAAACCATATGGTAGTATAACACTAACAAACTATAAGGTGATTATTGTAAAATGTATTTGTAATACATACATATTACAAATATTTATAGAGTAACACATAACACAAACAAATATCTTCCAATTATTATTATAGGTGGTATACCTGGCAAGTTGAAAGGTCGGGTTGGCGATGCAGCGCTGGTTGGCTGTGGGGGCTACGCAAATAAACACGGAGCAGCCACTGTAAGTGGACATGGAGAGTCAATAATGAAAATGACTCTGGCAAGAGAAGTTGTTTCCATGATGGAAGAAGACGAGGGAAAAGAATCAAAAGATGCTCAGGTTAGAATCCCAAACTTTTAAATCAGGCAAAATTTTTGTAAACAAATGGAATGAACCAAAAAAAAGGCAAATTGTCATGGAATATATTAATTGTTTAAATATATATCCAAATAATTTATTATACTCTCCCCTACTGTATAGTCGTTTATATTAACTATGATTGTATACTATTCCGGTTATATACTACAAAGGTTGTATACTATTTGTGACGGTTTCATCTTTTCTATACGTAATAAATGAAAGACCTTTATAGTTTCTCACGGATACTTTTTGTATTTGTATTTGTATTTAATATCTTCCTTGCTTCCTAATTCCTAATTACAGGTTAAAGGAGAGCAACTAGTGGTCAAACAGGGCGAGCCCCAATTGAAAATGACTACTAGTATGCTATGACATTAATTACATTACAATAGTTATTATATATAAAAACTCTAAAAATGGTAAATACGTTATTTACACCTAATTATGTGGAAATTCGTAAGAAAAAAGTTCTTTGCAAAATTTTTTATGAAGTTTTGTAGTGAACAGTTTAAGACTACCGATAGTTCTAAGATTACTGTCTAATTTGTAAACCTGATTTGCCTTTAAAAATGCGTATCAAGTACGGATACTTAATATCCGCGCTGATATTACATGCCATCTGTTTCTTAGGAATCTGCAGAAATCGCTTCAAAGAAATTGCTTAAACGCATTGGTTTTTGCGGTGCTTGTGGTATAATTGCTATTGATAAAAATGGAAAATTTGGGAGAGAATTCAAAACCAAAGCTATGCCGTGGGCGAGCATCGTGGGAAAGCAAATGGAATATGGTATGGATCCATATGAAAGGAAAACTGAGTTCCTTTGAAACAACTTTTATGAACAATTTTATATTTAATTTTTTATTTAAGGCCTATATGAGTTTCATACTAAGTTTATTATCTCTCAAGATAATATGTTTCATCGTATAAATACCTATTAAATTCAATTATTCATATTAAATTCATGTTATAGAGAATGCTTTCTTAGCTTCCTTCAGCTTCCATATATATTTTGACAGCTCCGTCTCCTTCGCGTATTTCTTGTTCGCGAAAAATTTTGCGTGGTTTCGGTAGCGCGTTTTGAAATAGTCCGCAGTGACTCCGATGATCTTGGCTGCATGGTGGATCGTTAATTGTTTCACGTGGACACTTCGGCTGTTACACTACGTTTAATGTGAGCTGGGAATTTTTCCGGTTGTCTACAGTTGCATTGTCGTGAGTTGTTTGCATGCGTCGTCTGTGTTCGCGTTTGTCTGTTTTGTGTGGTTACTTTCTTGTTGTGCTTGTACATCTTTATGAATGAGTGCATTTTGCCAAGACAGCCGTATAGCTAATTCGTACGATATTGCATGTCGGTTGAAGATTTTGTGGAGTTGTTGGAAGGTGGGAAGTGTTTGTCTAACAGTTTTCGTTTTTACGCTTTTCGAGTAAGGGGGATTGTACTAGATTGTGTTGCGAAATTTGCCAAATATATTTTGCATTATTACACGCAAAATATAGATTCGAATTTTTTTTTTACCCTGTATAAAGGAAGTCACCCCCAGTCTTTGCATGCAAAAACAAACACGGCCAAAACAAAAGTATTTTGTTGTGATTTTGTAAATCTGATGAAAACTCCAAAAAAAATTTTTAAAAAGATAATAACTGATTTTGTTAGTACTTCCTGATGTAAATAGAATGCATTTTATGGACCTATTTTTGGGAATGCGGAGTATAAGACAGTTCTTTGCTATAGGAAAAAGCGTAGAGCCTATAGCGTGACAATGCAGGAAGATTTGTTCTACTTTATGATTAATACAATTTTTTCCATCTAGTCACTTGAACTTATAATATTAAACAATGTCTATATAGTGTATTTTGCGATGAAATTTTAGCTTTTAGGCTATTCGTTTCGTACAAATATTGTCAGTGTCAAAATTGCAAAACTCGCCACTGCATAATATCCTGTATGTATTTATACTGAATCAGACCACTTTTCTTTTCGCTTTAGAAGAAAGAAAGTAATGAAATATGCTAAGACACAAAGATGCAATTATAGTTAAGAGGCAGATTACATGGTGTCTTTTCAGCCCGGCAAACCGGGGCCAAAGTATTTTTCAATTACATAGCAAGTTTCAGCCCGGGCTGTGTTATGACACGTCAGAATTATTTGAAGACCAGGGGCAGGGCTGAAATTTCAGCCCGGGCTGAGTTTTTAAAGGCTTATTTCGATTCTTCGAGCGCTTTAAAATGCCGAATGACAATAATTGACGTTTAAGGGACTATGACTGTACTTTAAAATGAAATAAACAAACGAAAAAGCATTGTCAAGGCGAATTTTTCTGTTCGTGTTTAAGTTCATTTACGATTACATGACAACAACAGTAAGTTTCCTTAAAGTTAACTTTCAGCCCGGGCTGAAACTCAGCCTGGGCTGAAATTCTTGTCATGTAATCGCGTGCGCGATTATGTTAGGATTTTAAAACAAACCCGGCCTGAAAACACTTAGAAATTACCACAACAGAATGTGGTAATAATTCAATGTTCAGTAAATCCTGATACATATAAATTTGCTCCTGGATAATAAAGGTTATGGACAGGCTAAATTAATGGATAATCTTAGTCAAGCTTATAAACCTACTTTTAAGACCTATTCCTAAGTATAATCCTAATCTATATACTATCAAGGACTAAATTCGGGTATTTATATAGGTTTTACTATATGTATGGATTTGAACTAATAATGCTGAAGCCCAAAGAGAGATATCACGCATGCAAGCAATATATGCATGCATGTGTAAGCCGGTATTTCTGCATATTTTGTTGATCTTGTACTAATTTGAAAACTCTTTTAAGTCTCAGAAGAATTAACAGGAATGAGATGTAACCAATCAAAATACATGCATGCATGGTCCGGCTTATGAACTGTCAAGGCTTAAATGCACGGAATCCAAATTTGAGTTTAAGCAGAGCCGTGTACGTGCTTGCAGGTGATGTTTTTAAATCAAAATATATTTCGTGCCTGGCTTCACTACACAAGTACAGTATTTCGAACTACATTAGAACTACATACTGGGGCCACTAGTCCAGCGTTATTAACTTCTTTTAAAGGCAACAGTAACAAATAGTACCTCAAATCGTATCAGTTGGACAACGAAGTTCTTGTGAAGCTGTCTGTCTGCTTCTCACACATTCCGCATAAAAAGGTGAGAATATCTATATCTGCCTTCATCGTCATTATATTGGCAGCCGTTCGTATCATATTAGTACACAATATGTACAAATGTTGATAAGGACAATATTATTATATATTCTTCTGTTTTCTTTTGCCTTTCTATAGTAGCTAAAGAAAATTATGGCAGAAAATACGCGAGGTGAGTTCATAATAACCTATGTTTATTCGATGGTAAAATTGCGATGTTGCTAAACTTTGATTTAAAGGCCCACTGCAATTCGTTATTTGTTAACAAGTTTCATCTAGCGTTGCAAAAATTCATCTCACAATTATGGGAACCGGTTGCTAATTTCTCGGAACGATAACACTAAAATCGACATTATTGTAGCACAACTCCTATTTAATAATCTATTAGCTCTAAATTAGCCAGAATTTATTTATACGCGTTTTGCGCACTAACCGGTTCAATCAAGACGGTTTTTTCGGTGGTAAAGAGCTGTAGCCTGTGCAGGCTGTGCTACACTTCTTTTACTCTGATAGTTCTTATCTGTTACAATATGTCTATAACTTGTATTAGCGATGTTTCATGAAATCAATGCATGCCGTTGTTACGATAATAGTAAATAATTTAGTTTAAAGGTTTAAAGTTTAAAGTTTATTTAAAAATCTTCATATTGCAGTTACAAAACTGAATTGCATGAAAGATATTTACAATAAGTTATAGTTAAAAATCTAAGATTGTAAGATATTTTAAATACAAATAAAAGTAAATAATTTAATGCATGGATGAACCATAATACCAGAGTAATAATGCAGTAAAGGCCGGTTTACACTAGCAAAGTTTCTGTGCGCACAGTATGCTTTGAATGAAGTGTGTGCAAACGTAAACAGCTTTCAAAGACTATGAACGAAGACTTTGAAGGGCTTTGAACGAAGTGGAGGCTGTGGAGCGTGTTCAACTTCGAACACAGAACTTCAAAGAACCCGCCACTGCGTGGGTTTTGCGAGACTATTGCGTGGGAAATGTGAGCTGTATCTGTGGCAGGAAATTCAATTGAAAAATTAATGATCAAATTGCGCTAGTCTTTGCAGTAATTTCCATCATTGGCGTCAATAGAGCGTTAATTTATGTGGACCATATTCATATATTATTCTCCTTAGCCCTGAAAACAATTTCACTTTCAATACAAACAAATAAGTCTGGCATGAAAGCCGGCGGTTTTCCACGAAATTTTTCGTCTGATATTCTTTTCAATTGTGAGAATTCGACCTTAGGAAAGGAATCTTTCACCTGTCACAATTGACGTCCATGATAATTTTTTTCTAGATATCATTTTAACTGTAAAATATACTCTAATAAACAAAGTGCACAATAGAGTGCATAATAATATTCGGTGAACTTTTCGTTGCTGTGACGCTATAGTTTCCGTTAATGCAAGGCTCGAAATAGACTGCTCTTTAAATAACCCATCATGCTTTGCACGATCAGTATTTATAATTTTACAGCAACGGCCTTTGTGTTTTGATTAAATATAACACAATTCCGATCTTTTTTTAAAGAAATTGATGAAATCGTGCCAAGAATAATTGTTCAGAATGGCGCTTATAATAAGCATATAGCAATGGATAATTTATGTGCAGAAAATATTTCGAAAGGATTAAAAGAATCGGCCAGGAAAGGATACGGCGTTTTAGATGTGAGTTTTTGTGTAAGGACTTACATGTACAGTAGGAGGCAAAAGTTTGAGTCCAGTGACTGTATTTCATTGTTATAGCAGCATATATTAATATCCTACAGAAAACCTTACCGATAAGTGAACTACAAAAAAGTAAATGAGTAAACAGAAAAATACATGCTGTACAACAACTATGAGATGTTATGATATTCATTTTACGTATGTTAATGTGCAAATATGCATTACATGTCAATGCTTAGTGTCCCTCTTTTTTGCTCTTGAAATGACCTTTATTCTTTCTGGCATAGACTCCATAGGTTTTTTAATGTCGCACGTTCAATACCTTGCCAGCATTCGTTGACCACTTGCCTCAAGTCATCCTAGCTGGCGGGTCTGTGCCTCGCCCATTTCCGGTTAAAACGGTCCTATAAGTGCTCCATAGGTTTTAGATCTGGAATTTGAAGAGGAAAGCCATGAGAACGAGATCACCAAAACCAATTTGCTTCTAAAAGATTTCTGGCACATAAAAGATGTGCATGTGCTTAGGGGGATTGTCATGTAGTTAGACGCACGATCATCTTTGTACCAGACGAAATTCCATGTCCTTGAAGAATTGGATGATACTTTTCTTTAATTAGGATCCTATTATATCTTTCAATATTGCCAAACCGAGCATGACCGAAGCAGCTAAAAGTTTGCTTGAGTAGGATTTAGTTTCTTCGAACCTCTCCAAGGTTAGTTGCATACCACCTTTTTAAATTCTCCCTTTTTCTGCGATCTTACGAGGAAAGAATCCTTCAATACTTAATGCAACTATTTGTCCTTGTGCACCATCACTTTGCTTTTTTCCCCACCCATCATGGGCAGTGTAAAGGAATAAGAACTTTATTTTGTTATAATTTAGATCATTAGGACGAAAAAAGTGTGCAATTAATATGGTTTACAGTACTGAAACACTAGCGCGCATGTCTTAACTCGAAAACACTGCCAGGATTTAATACTGGAATTCTACAACGACTGGACTCAAACTTTTGCCTCCTACTGTAATATGTAAAAAAAATCTTGCAAAAATCAACAAGGGCACACTGGCAAGATGACGCCCACCAAGGTTTGGCAAGCCAAGTCGACGATCGATATATAAGTTGAAATGTACATCTCTTTTTTTCCAATGATTCAAAAGGAAAAGGGTGATGTAAATAGCCTTTCTAACGATGACGAAAATGCCGCTATTTTTGGGGTACTTTTTCTCAAAACTATAAGAGCGTATGACCTCGTAACGGCATCTATCTTTATTTGTACGCTGAATTTATTCCTCAAATGGTTTGTTGATTCTAAAAAAATGCTTTTTATATTGTTGTAATTTTTTTAAGCTATTTGAGAAATTGAAAGTACCCCAAAATTGTGATCATGAGAAAGGCTAATTGGCAATTTCGTTCCCTGAGCGTGCGATCCCCTAGCGAGGAAACAGAGGCTATGGGTAATCGCAATCAGAAATTATTCCGATTGGTCGCTGACGCCATGCAGTTCTAAAACATTCCATTGATGTTCGTTTCGCCCGCTTTGTGAATTAGCGAATTAGTGAATTGTGAAGGTGATATTATTAAACGTATACATACTAGCACATGCATGCAATCGATGTTCTGACAGCGCTATTGTAGTTTCAATAGTTCTTTAGGTATTATTGATATTTAAAGGATCTCTGGCTTTCGGTTTGATTATTCCATATATAGCCTTCGTTCTCCCGCTAGAGAATCGCAGTCTTGTAAAACGAGATTGTGCAACTGCAAGCCCCAAAATCAGATTCCTTTTTTCAGATTCTCTAGCTCAAAACTAACTTCCGGTGTTCGTCCAGCTGTCCGATGCAGCATCAAACTGACTTCTATCAAAAGATTCAAAATTTTTATGCATTTCTTATTCTTTCTTCTCGTTTGTCTAACTGTATATCTTAACTCAAAACAACCGTTGGATACAGGAGGAATTTCTGGTCGTGAGAAAAACGGCTACTTAAGGCAAATTAGATTAAAATTTCTTATGTGAGGGTAAATGAATGACTATTTTGTGGCACTTCATTCAAATTGATTACCCTCACCTATTCTCGGCATTACCACCTTAAAATACACACTAACCACGCTTGCTCTTGTCAGCTACCTCTGTAGGTCAGTGGCAATAGCACTGTATCAGCATCGCATTAGCGTAGGTTCGATTCCTAGGTAGGTTCAATTAGCGTAGGACCGACAGCTGACTAATTTGCTCAAATGTTCCTGGCTTGAATTGAGTTGTACCGTATATGATTCCAATCGAAATTAAGACCCATTAAAAAACCTTTAAAATTTCTTATGGTCAAATTTCTTTCAACGCCAGAATGGTGGCACGGCAGTTGATGCTGTAGAAGCTGCAATTCGTGTTTTGGAGGACAATGAAAATTTCAATGCTGGTTTTGGATCATATTTGAACAATAGCAATGAAGTGGAATGCGAAGCAATGATCATGGAGGGCCACACTTTAAACACCGGTATTCAACCTTTGCAAATGACATCATTATCCGTATTTGTAGCATTCCCCCATTTTGTGGCACAGTTATTTAAAACCTAAAAGCAAGGTTATATGGCACTGTATAGCTTACTTTTTCTTTGTTATTTCAGAGGGTTCGTATACTCGTTTCTGCGGGTTTGCCGTAACTATATCGGTTGAATAAAAACCAGTAGCGTAGCCATGCAGAACGATAATTTGGGGGGCCCATATTCATATATCCCTGATACGCAGCAATTTCTTTTTAAATCAATTGTCTTTTCAGTCTGTTAACATGAATATATGAATATGGGTCTCCCAATTAATTATCGATGCTGGCTACGCCAGTGGTAAAAACTTTTTGCACCCAAAATGTCAGTTGCACATGCTGTTGTCCTTATCGTAAAGCCGGTTTTACATGAGTTACATGAATTTAACGTCTATAAGACAGTTAATTCGTCTGTTAAATGCGTTATTTGGACGCACTTAATTTGAGATGTTCATCATGTAGTCGGTTAATAAGACAACTTTAACATCTAGGACGTTAAAGTCGTCTTAGACGTCTAAGCCGTGCCATTATATATATATACTGATATGTATCAGAGATATAGTGCACTACGCCAATACGCTATTAATTCGGGGGCTATTTTTTGGACCTAAGAAAAGCCTTCGCTGGACCAAAAGCCTTCGTTGTTTGCTACAAAATTTTTAGGTGCAGTGATGAATGCCCGCTATTTTCGTCATCCTGTTTCACTCGCAAGACTGATCATGGAGAAATCGGATCATTGTGCCCTGAGTGGCGACGGAGCTCTAGAATTCGCTCTTCGATATCAACAGGGCGAGGCGCCTGAAGTGACTATCTGCATGTCATCCCGAAATGTTAATAAGCCCTCGTGCTTCTAAGTTAACAGGAAAGGTTAAGCAAGAAGGCTACCAAGATTTTATCAACATTTCCTATAACCCTGATGGAGCCTTTATACAACAAATACCGGTAACAGCATTTTTTCCGCACACTTGTTTTTTTTAAACATCGTCAATTTGGTCGAATTTTTTTTATACACAATGTATCTGTGACATCTATCTCAAAATAGGGCGGTGGTGACACGGTATCAGCTGTTGCCATGGATATCTATGGTAATCTTGCATGTGCGACGTCCACAGGTAAGCATAGTCCCGTTTAACGGCATTTTTTGCCACGCGTGTTTGGTTTTTCCGTGTGTTTGCCTGCATTGAAATGAATTGTTTGTTCCCTATTCATATACATATGTATAATGACTGGATAAAAGGTATTTGTGGTTTCTGTCCCGCTGCGTGCAACCGAACAACAATTAAACTTTCGTACTCCCGGTGTGGGAGCTGGTACTGTATGTTCTCTGAACTATGTTGGTGGTATAGGTGGTATAGCTGGGAAAATGAAAGGTCGGGTTGGTGATGCACCGCTGGTTGGCTGTGGGGCGTACGCTAATGAACACGGAGCAGCCACTATAACTGGACATGGAGAATCTATTATGAAAATGACTCTGGCAAGAGAAGTCGTTTCTATGATAGAAAAAAAAAAGTGCACAGGTTAGATTCCAAAGTGTTCATATGTTGGGGAAAAGACTTTGAAAACTTCATCATGTCAGCTTTATTACTTTTTGAGTTATCGTGCACGAAAAAAAAGTGAGAATTTTAGTTTGCTAAGATATAAGCGGGGAAAAATTTTTTACATATATTCACTGTATTATACAGGATGCAACACTTCATATTGCTTATAAGCACAATAGATTTTAGGCCTCCGCCAGCTGATCTGGGTATAAAGCCAGTGGCGTAGCCAGCCTGACGATTTTGTACCGCTATGTAAATTTCGAGTTACTATAACTATACATGTCTTTAGAAATCTATTGTGTTCACAGTCATTGAACACTAAAATATTAGCATAGCGGGACAAATCGACAGGCTGGCTACGCTACTGTATAGCTCAACCAATCAGAAGTCAGATCTTCGACAAAACTGAATTATCATTTCCTTCATTGCATATGACTTCGACACTCGAAAATATCAAGTAATTTTATTATATTTATGTGAAAACACGTTTATTTCTTTTCAAACTGATATTAGAATTTAAATTTTTCACTCTTTATACTATTATTTCGAAGAATAAGGACAAATAACACCAGGCACATGATAACTCAGTTTTGTTGAGACGCTTTATGACGTCATGATCTCAGATCAGCTGGCGGGTCCGGGACCGAGATTACAATGGCTTGTCAACCTTGTCTTTTGTGTTGAAAAACATTGGATATCATGAATATTAATTAAGTGAGTGGTTGCCTTTTTTGATACAGCTTGTACATGGTGTATAAAAAACGCAACCCTCAGTTAATAATTCCCAGAGGCCTACGATCTTCTGTTATTGAATAGAAGCGAACATATATGAATATTAAGTGTTGCAGGGTTTTTTATAACACCCTGTTGTATAATAGAACAACGAAACAATAGAATAAGCCATTTTCCCCTTTTGTTTGCTTGGGGTAAAATCTTAATAAAACCTCGCTTAATTCTCGCGTTTTTTATACATTTTTGGGCGGAAAAAATTCAGGATCATTTATAGATTAAGTTTGCATCCTTGATTTTTTTAAGGCAGAATAAAGCGTGATTTATTTAATATAAGACCACCTTAAAGCCTGGTCCACACTTGTTGTAAAAATCTGCGATTCCCCTTTGTCTGAGGTCACTGGTACGCAAAATTTGTCCGTCGAAAAATCATATACAATGGATCCCGATTCTTAGGACAAGTTTGAACCAGGCCTAAGGCTTTTTTAAAGTTATTTTGTTTGCCAGGATGATTATATTATACTAGAAAATGGTGTTGTCATTTAGAAACACAATTTTTTTAATTACCAAATAATGGTAAGAATATTTTTATTTATAAAAGTGAACTGTTTTATTCAATTCGGCTTCAACTTTTTGGAACATTCTATCTTTCACTCCATGAAAATATTCTTACCATTCAACATTTATTACTAGTATACGTTTAGCATCCTGTGGATCACGTTCACGTTATACAGAATTAAAATTAATTTTTGTTAACTCTGTTACAATATTAAGAGATCAGCCAAAGGAGCTTTAGATAATATGAAAACCAAATTTCCTGCGTACGGCTTTGGAGGTGTAATTGCTATTGGTAAACGTGATGGTAGAAATTTTGGGATCGCGTCCACTACCAAATATATGCCATGGGCAAGCATGGATAGCCGCGGAGTGGAATCTGGTGGTATGAATCCCACTGCAATTTAAATCAAGTCAGGATATTGTACTGATCACTTTGAAACTATATTTAAAGCGACGAATAAATAACGCTATGCATGGATCAATTTGTTCATTTAAAATAGCGACTACCATCACTTAATATAATAATGTACGCCTGTTTCATGTCACATCGTAGAGATGAATTCTTTGTATTCAGGGTTTAAACGACATTTTGAGTTCATTGATTATGAAGCATTTACGATAACTGAAATTTGATGAAGGGGCCAATAACTACCTGGTTCTTTGAATTCCACAATTCACTCCGCGATAAAAAGATGCTTAAACCGGCTGTCCCGGATTAGCAGTTCTTTTTTAACTTGTTTTATCATTCACTTCTAGTATTTTGACTGTTATCAATTTTGATTGGTTGATTTACCTGTAAAGAACGCCTGCAAACAATGCCGAGTATAAGTATTGGCGTCTGCGCGATGATCTCTCGCAGATCGGTATATTATTATTATTTGCCTGCGTTTCTTCGTTTATTATTTGATTATTCAGCCCAAACTCTATAGTTAATAACAACCACATTATTGTGAATAATGACAATTTCAACCACCACACGATAATTCATACTGGTTTTGGTTTTTGTTAGCTCCTTATCTCAGCGGTGAAAAATTTTGCAACATTTCGCCTTTCAGCAATATTCTGAAATTTTAAACACCAGTGCAATAAACCTTACAATATTTCAACCCGCCGACTCAAAATAACTATTAATCATGCAAGTGATTTGATCTGTTTACTAAAATAACGCCCCCCCCTGTGTTGTGAAAATTTCAACCTCAAACTTCTAAATTTCTTTATCATAAAACCAAACTGACAATCTGAATTTTAAAAGAAACATTGTGCCTGCCTGTAGCGTTTTAAGAAATTGGAAGGTTTTTACACACCATGTTGATTTTAAAATATCGGCGCCAAAATTTGTGCAGTATTCCAAAATTACAGTAAGCCGAGTTGCCATAGCACAGGGGCGGCTGGCCCACACAAATTTTAAACGTGACATGGCACCACACACATTTTCAACAACTGTTGCTCATGTTATAGAGCTGCAAATGACGCCCCCTTTTTAGTTTTCCCGGTAAAGGAAAAACCAGTATAGGCCAGTCCGCCCCTGCCATAGGTCATGCATCGGTAAATGTATTTAAATGTTTTAAGCAAATTAAAAATGACATCACCCAGGCATATATATATCAGCCCAGAAATACCCATCTGCATGACAGTGAAAAACTGTTTGTTCCTGAAATCGTTGGAAAATCCATGAATTTCTTGAAATTTTAGATGTAAGTTTTCATATTGAATATTCCAACTCGTATATTTTCCATTTAACTTTTACCATAAATGTATGATATAGCTACATTAATACCTGTTTTGTTTTGACCTTGCATATATATCACCCAAAATACGCCTTCAAAAAAATCAGCCATGCATGCATGTATTTACATTAGCAACCTCGCCCCCATGATCTTGTAAATAGCTGACTAGCGTCCTTCATGAAAATTATTTACATGCATGCATATAAAACATATGAGCAGTACTTAGAATCCAGTACCATGAATCAAATACAGTCGGTACTGTCGGATCGATGCACGCGCAAACAACTATCGCCTACACTGACATCAAAAATAGGACTAATACAGCCGAGTAGGTTAAAATCTACCGTTATCAATACATTTTGTAACGTGCAGAGAGGTGGCACGGTGGTTGATGCTGTAGAAGCTGCTGCCAATGTATTGGAAAACAATGGACTTTCTAATGCTGGTTACGGATCATATATACGGACCATTATTGTAGTGAGAGTTTTATATACCTATATGCTGTTGAGAAACGAGTCCTTTTCTTTACTTTTGCTTTCGTTTTAGAAGAAAGGGCTAATTTTCTCTGCATGGAAGAAAATAATTAATGAAATATTCCGCATGAGGCACAACGATACAATTATAGTGGGAAAAAGTTGGGGGTAGAAAGAGGACATATCACGGAACTACATGCATGCGTCTTTAATTCCAACTATTTTTACCCACACACATGCAGGCAATATGACTTGGTCGATACACACGCGCCTTTTAATATAAGTGTTCAAATTTCCAATGTTTCGAGCATTTTTCTAAATTCTATATCGTAATCATTTAGAAGTAGGTAACGAACCAAAACTGTTAGCTAATTATATAGTTCGACCGTGATAAGTTTTAAGAAACATAAAGGTTTGAAATTATTACAAAGCGCTTGCTTATACATTAAGAACTGCGCACCACTAGAGTTTCTTCTGAATAAATCCTATATTATGATTTTTCTTGCCTTTATTTAAAGATCAAGGGCATTTTCACTGCACAGCAGAAAGTGGTTAGTGTCCTTGAGATATTCCCACGCATTGATTCACACTGTTCTTACTTTGCATTTAAATCTGAAGGCAGGAAGGTTTCTCATGTATTTTCTTTGCCAACAAAATAAACCACCTTAACGTACAGAATTTCACTTCGGAAATATCTATCAGTGTAAGGCGTATACATCTACATACATGGGATGTTTTCCAGTTGAAATACTTTGAATGACTTTACTACACTATATATGCAGGTACCTGAAAAAACCTGCAAATATACCATTATTGTGGTGAGAGTTTTATAATACTTTTGAAATGAGTCCTTTTCTTTACTTTTGCTTTCGCTTTAGAAGAAAGGGCTAATTTCCTCTGCATGGAAGAAAATAATTAATGAAATATTCCGCATGAGGCACAAGGATACAATTAGTGGAAAAAGGTTGGGGGTAGAAAGAGGACATATCACGGAACTACATGCATGCGTCTTTAATTCCAACTATATTTACCAACACACAGGCAGGCAATATAACTTGGTCGATACACTCGCGCCCTTTATAAGTGTTCAAATTTCCACTGTTTCGAGAATTTTTCTAAATTCTATCTCGTAATTATTTAGGAGTAGGTAACGAACCAAAACTGTTAGCTAAATATATAGTTCGACCGTGATAAGTTTTAAGAAACATAAAGGTTTAAAATTATTACAAAGCGCTTGCTTATACATTAAGAACTGCGCACCACTAGAGTTTCTTTTTAATAAATCCTATATTATGATTTTTCTTGCCTTTGTTTAAAGATGAGGGGCATTTTCACTGCACAGCAGAAAGTGGTTGGTCACGAATTCGTAGGCAACATTTAGTGGCCTGTATATGTGTCCTTGAGATATTCCCACGCATTAATTCACACTGTTCTTACTATGCGTTAACACTGAAGACAGGAAGGTTTCTCATGTATTTTGCTTGCAAACAAAATAAGCCACCTTAACGCACAGAATTTTACTTCGGAAATATCCATCAGTGTGAGGCGTATACATCCACATACATCGGATGTTTTCCAATTGAAATACTTTAAATGACTTTACTACACTATATATATGCAGGCTGTACCTAAAAAAACCTGAAAATACCATTATTGTGGTGAGTATTTTATATACCTATATACTGTTGAAATGAGTCCTTTTCTTTACTTTTGCTTTCGTTTTAGAAGGGCTGATTTTCTTTGCATGGAAGAAAATAATTAATGAAATATTGCGCATGGGGCACAACGATGCAATTAGTGGGAAAAGTTGGGGGTAGAAAGAGGACATAAAATTATATCACGAAACTACATAAATGCTTCCCTCCAACTATCTACCCACAATATGCTGATTTCATTCCGTTAATTTTACAGTAAATTTGAATTTCAGAGCGGGAATAAGATGTTTTCCAATCAAAATACATAACTATGCATGCGTGCGTGCATCATGGTTTAACTGATCTCGGAACATTACTCTGGGAGTATCTGCAGGGGATATTTTTTAATAAAAATACATTGCTTGGATGCTTCAATGCACTTGAATGCATCTGCAGTATTTTGAAATACATACTGTGATCACTATAGTCACGCGTCTTGAACTTACGTTAATTCGGCATTTAAAAAGAGACCGTGAGAAGTTGTGAGTGCGAGTCCATCCTCGAGCATTACCTTTAAAACGTTCATAAAAGGTTGAGTATCTACATGCATTCATTGTCTATCATATTTATCTTAAAATTTAGTCGATCATGTATGTATATATTTATTACAATAGCAGTATAGTATCCTATCAGTATACTCATACAATACAGTGTATTTAGAAAAAAATTGGGAAGGGTAATGAAATTATCTATTTTCCTTATCTATAGTAAAGCAAACTTATGGCAGAAAATCTCGGAACAGGTAATGTTGCTTTGACTTCACGTATATATATATATATATATATATATGTATATATATATATTCATAACTTGTCTTGTCATGTCTTAAAAATCTTAAAATCTTAAAATTACAATGATCTTAAAATTACAATGTATCTTGTTGCACGCGCGCACGATGAAATTTTCCAGCTTTGTACCGGTCATTGTGGGGACATTTCTTGAAGAGCTCCGATCGCTTATTTAACAAGTTTTTATGGTTTGATTTCATAATACAAAGATTACAACGTGAATCATACCGGGAGCTGAGGTGTTGAGTGATTCAGAATTGACCAATAGATGGAAAAATCTTTTTCCTTAAATTTAAGTTGCCATATATATATTTAGACAGTTCAGTTTCATTGTGACAATCTGTTCGTCGTTCTGAAATCGTCGTTGCAAAGTGTTGCCCTATATTTAAACTCATTTAGAATTAGCGAAACAGGTGTGTTTCTGTTTTGTTTCGTTTGTGAATTTGATAGCTTTACACGTAGTTCAAATAGTTGTTACCTAACAGCTTTCCAATCACCTGCCAATATCTAGCTATATATAGCTATATCCTTATATGGACAAACTTCAGAGAGATTTAATTGATAAACCTTTTATATAATGGCTTTGATTATTGTATCTATGATCATAAATGGGCTGTAGTTCTCGATAATCCAGGGAGATTTTTACCAAGCGGTGAAGGTTTCACTTTTACTTTCACTTTTAGTAACTCAAAAGTGTTTCCAAGTATAGTCAAATATTAATCCGATGACGACGTGATGTATTATTAAAAATAGTTACCAGGAAAACAAAAAACACCCACAGTCACAGTTGGTGTTCAATCATTTCAGCGATTTTCCCATGTTTTATTTCTTTGACTTTAATTTAAACCAAGTTTATTCATGCATTCAAGTCAATGCCAAATAAATAAACTGGTTTTAATAATTATATTTAAGCATAATGAAAGGAGCGTCGTGCGAAGGTTTTACTTTTAGTCAATTTATTGCATGCTATTCATCTGTTTCCGAGTAACTAGAATGTTCTTCCCAGAAAACGGCTACAAACGTTCACAGGTGGTGATCAAATTGCTCGGCATGCGTCTTGTTTCAGAATAAAAACAGTTTTTACATTATTCAATAATTGAAAAATAAATAGATTATATGTATATAAATTAAACTGGTTCTAATTGTTATATATGCGATCGCGAATAAGTGGTGTTAAAAATGTGTCCAAATGGGACAAATATACGTACTTCAAATTCTATTTTATAAGATAAACCGATAGTCTCATCGTTTTTCTAAAGCGGCCGAAAGAGAAAGGGATCAAGAGAGGGAAGTTAAACCACGAATTTTAGTCCAAGCTGGCGCTTTTAGCCTTGTGCTGGGTGATATAGAAGAGGATTACAGGAGAGCACCAAAATCAGCTGCCAAAGAAGGATATTACATTTTGAGGGTAAGATATATTTTCTACATTTTAGGTGGATGATTATCGCTCTGGAGCCGGTTGTATAATGCAAAAAAAAATGTTTACAATCAACCATTGTAAAATCACCAGCACTTCGTTAAAGCTAACCCCTTGCACTTAGGCACGTAATATACGTTAAAAATGATTCTGCTTTAAGTGATTAGATAAAAAAAATATGCAATGGGTAAAGCTATTGGGGAAATCACATTCATGTTTTGTGATTTATTTTGGAACCATCTTCCATCCAGCCCTCTTTGAACTACAACCAACTCGTGTAAAATATGTGAACAATACAACAACAAAAAACGTACGCCCAAAATTCTGGAAAACCCATCTTGTAAATTATGCAAAAAGAATGAAAAACAGATCTAAAGGCTAAACGCGTTTTATGCATGCCTTTCTTCGCTAGTTAATACGACGTTCTTTAAATCGACTTGCCATAATTTAGTTGCTATGGTAACAATATTAACTTTTTCATTGGTAAAACAGAACGGTGGCACAGCGGTTGATGCTGTAGAAACAGCAGTTCGTGTGTTTGAGGACAATGGATACTGTAATGCTGGTTTTGGATCGTATTTGAACAATGATAATGAAGTGGAATGCGATGCACTTATAATGGACGGCGATACATTAAAAAGTGGTATAGTACAGACTAGTCCCTAGTCCCCTTTAACGCGCCTTGCGTTCTTTTGACGTCACCGGTTTGAACGCGCGGAAGAGGACTAGCCCAAAATGTTTTTAATTCTTAGTTCAAAATGCGGCAGTACTGATCTCAAAATATTGCATCAGGGAAATTTTTGAAATCTCAACATTTTGTGCTAGGCCTCTCAACGCAGGCTGTCCCTGCATAATTTACACAGCGCGCTTACAAGGCCTGGGACCAGGCTGTGTATAAGGGGAAAAGACCCTGGGCACGAGGTTGACAATAGACCTTTCGCAGTTAATCAAACTTTGTGTAACATATCAAGACTTTTCGTGTTTGATGTCATTAAAGTTCGTTTTCCACTAGGCGATTTTAATCGCGCGAACTGCAAATCAGTCTGTAAAGTCTGCAACGTGATTGGCTAGCGGAAACGCTTTTTGCGACGACTTCTTTTCGCTGATCAATCATGATTTTGGATACTGGGTTTCCCTTCGCGTCGCACGAACAAATCTGGTTGAGGAAAACGGGCCTAAAATTTTTACCCTATTTAGTATAGGATTTATATAACCTTATGATATTGGTGCATTCTTTTTATTCTTTTATTTTATACAATTGTACTGTCCTGCAAATTATCGTAGTATATATACAACATCTTATATATATAGCGTAAAGGAGCAGCTAAAAATTAATTTGGTGTTAAAGCTTTTTTTCACAACTTTGTTGTAAAACATTTAGGCGCAGTAATGGCCGGACGCCATTTCCGTAATCCTGTTTCCCTCGCCAAAAAGATCATGAAAGACTGTCACCATAGTGCCTTATCTGGTGAAGGAGCTCTAGAATTTGCTCGCAAATGTTCTTTCCCATGTTATGATCAAGATGAGTTGATAAACCGATATAGTCGTGACAAAACACAAGGAGTGAATTACGAAAATATGCCAAAATTTATAGAACTTCACTATCCGGGAATTCCGCAGATGGCGATGGACACTGTAACTGCTGTTGCCATGGATGCCGATGGTAAAATGGCGTGTGCGGTGTCAACAGGTACGATCGTTGTCGTAACCAGGATCTGTTATGGAAGGATGGAGATGATCCGCTTCTACGGAAATATAAAAATTGCTGTGCTTTGATCCAGTTTATATATCTCTATTATACATAGTGCATAGTGTAGATTGTATTTTTCGTTCAAAAAAAGCCAGACTTTCATTCGGTGGAATTTAGACTTCGATTCGAAAATATGTAGGAGTGAATTGACCTGTTTTTTTACGTCAACCGTATTGTAGCGAACCTAGAAATTAAGAAATATGTACTACGCTACGACTACGTGTCGCTACAGTACGGTTGAAGTGGAAAATAGCTCTTTCACCGGTGCATCCACGTGCATGACTTCTTTCACACTTTCACTAGGTGGTATAGCGGGAAAATTGAAAGGTCGTGTCGGAGACGTGCCGATGGTTGGTTGCGGGGGTTACGCGAACAAAAGCGGTGCAGCAACCACCACTGGACATGGCGAGTCCATAATAAAAATGACTCTGGCAAGAGACGTCGTTTCCATGATGGAAGCAGGAGCCAATGCCCAGGTAACTTTACTGAAAAACATTACATTTTCCCACTCATCAGCTTCATCGAAACTCCGCCAAGTGGAAAATTGCCTTCATGTTCATACTTATTCTGCTATTCATGCAGGGTCATCCGGTGAAATGTCGATCACGGATCACCCCATGACATCGACATATATCGTCGCAGGAGTGCACAGCCTGAGCCTATAACCACTGCGAAAGCTAACTATGCAAAGCCTGTAATGTGACTATTTTTATAGGTATCTATAGCGCCTGGGTATAAGCATAGACAATCCAAGAAACGGAATTTTTGTCTTTTGAATTGTCTATGGTATAAGCAACCAGATGTCTTTTTCAATCGACTGACCCTGGCTACGCCCCTGTGAATTTTATATCCGGCATTATCTCGATCCCTATAGTAGACCTGTAAAACACCCGCTAGACCTTTGAAAGGAATTTGGAAAGAATGATAAGAGTTTTTTTATTATCTGCGTTCTCTTTAGACGTCTGCAGAAAATGCTGTAAGGAAATTGCTGGAGACTAATGGTAACTTTGGTGCAGGTGGTGCAATCGCAATTGATAGAGATGGAAACTTTGGGAAGGCGTGCCGTACCGAGAAGATGCCATGGGCAAGCATCGTGGCCGTCCGAGTTAGGCCAGGCGAAGAAACTGAAATCATACAACACCGAATGGAATCCGGCATGAATCCTGCTGACGAACCTGAAGTTGAATATTGGTAAAATAACTATGTCTGAGAGCACAAACATTTTCATATATAATCTGTTACAACGTAGTTTTTTTCGAGGTTTCATGACCTCAGGTAACTATTAAGTAATATTAACTCCAGTGCAAGGTGGATAATCTTTTAAGCTCGCAATTAATGTTATGCACGCAGTGGCGTAACGGACGTAAGTAGGGTTAGGACAAAAACTAAGGGCCCCCGACCGTTGGGGCCCCAGAGGGCCCCCATTGATTGCCGTTTATCGCCACGATTCTTAAAGAAAAACGGCGTGTCAGTGTATCGCATAAAAAAGTCAGGTTGAAAGCAAATTGTTATGCCAAAGATAGGCCTAGGGTATGAGGTATATTGCAAAGGAAAATGCAGCATTATTGATGGTAGATTAAATAACAGAGTATATCCATCGACCATGACTGAATTTTCTATTCTATTATCAACGTTCGATTGCTTCTATAACTAATGAAGTAATACACTAATGTAAATTTACAAGCTTCAGCTCTCAAATTATTTTTCAAGTGAAAACATGACAAACAGCTAGGGTCCCCACACCAAATAAACCTAAGGGCCCCATCTTCGTCCGTTACACCACTGTATGCACGAATAGTTTTTTGGGGTTAAACTTATTGAGTTTGGCTGTCTTTTTTCTTCAATCATGCATTTGTTACTTTCACCAATGTAATGTTATTAAAATAAATTAAAAAAGAAATAAAACTCAGGAAAAAACTTTTTCATGCTCTTTTGAGCTTTGTATTTTAGAAAAGTAACCTGCTTGTTAAAATGTGATAAATTGACCAAAGAATGCTAAGTATACCGCATTTGGCCTTGAGCATGCGCAAACTGCTTACAATACAACCCTGATTTCGCAATCGCATTAATTTTTTTAAAGAATGCCACGTGGGTAGAGTGGAGCCTGGGCCCTCATGTTGAAAAAATTAATCTCGACTCTCAAAGAAAGGTTGAAGATTCAATAGCTTTTAAAGGCAGATCATATTACAGTGTTATGTTGGCGTCGTTAGACGATCTGGGTGCTGTCGAACGGTAGGTTTTCGTCTCTGTTTATGGCGTTATTTCTTCACGATGGGCACACCATGCAGAACGCCAAATTTTGTTTCTTTTAAAAATGTTAGGACCTGAACAGAATTATTTGCAGGTCGCCGCAGAAGGTTTTTAAGTCGGGGGGGGGGGCAATATTCATATATTAAAAAAAACACCCAACCCCTCAGAATTTTAACCTCAAGACTTTTAAATTTTTATCACAAACACTAAACTGACAGTCTGACAATATGTGTTTTCAAAAAACGTTGTGCCTGCCTGCTTGTTAGCGTTCTAAGACTCGGAACGTTTTTTCACACCGTGTTATTTGAAAAATATCGGAGCCAAAATTAGTGCAGTATTTAAAAATTTACAATAAGAGTTGCCATGGCAGTCATGCATTAGTAAATGCAGTTAAATGTTTATAAGAATTCGAAATTAAAAAAGGCATCACACAGGCATTTATATTTCAGCCCAGAAATACCCTTCTGGCAGTGACAATCTGTTCGTTTCTGAAATCGTCATTTAGAAGGAGCGAAACAGGTGTGTTTCTGTTTTGTTTCGTTTGTGAATGTGATATTTATACACGTAGTTCAAATAGTTGTTACCTAACAGCTTTCCAATCACCTGCCAATATCTAGCTACACATTTCACATATCGTCATGAAACCTCGATAGCTAGTTTAACAAGGCATTTACTAATCACATTTCTTTCTTTCAGAAAAGAAAAGTATGGCTGAAAGTATAACATCAGGAACGTCGAACCTTTCCATAAGCTCCAGCTCAGGTATTGTTTTAAAAGCACTGACAAATTTACTCACTATTCTAAAATATGTTGTTTCCAAGCCCTGCATGCATGTCGCATGACCTATATAACAATAAAATCAATATATACTTCTTATTAAACGCACCGTATATGTATATATAAATATATATATATATATATATATATATATATAATAATATATATATATATATATATATTCAAACTATATCCTAATATATATACAAAAAATCCAAAAATATGCAGCATAAAAGCTTGTCTTATTTGGTGCTGTCGGTTATTTGGTGAAGCCGATACTGTTACTTCCTAGAAAGTAATAAAAAATCCTAGAAATCTATGGCTTTACCGAAGGCATGCAAAGCATTTTTTGAAATAAGAAAATAAAACGACGACGTCTCATGCATTTAGACCGAGGCTATATAAATTAAACTGGTTCTAATTGTTATAATTATATGTGATCGCGAATGCAAGTAGGGAGGGATAAGTGTCCAAATTGAACAAATATAGGTACCTCAAATTCTATTTTATAAGATATAATTATTCTGATAGTCTCATCGTTTTTCTAAAGCGACCGAAAGAGAAAGGGCTCGAGAAAGGGAAATCAAACCACGAATTTTAGTCCAGGCTGGCGCTTTTAGCCATGTGCTGTGTGATATTGATAAAGAATACAAGAGAGCACCAAAATCAGCTGCCAAAGAAGGATATTACATTTTGAGGGTAAGATATATTTTCTACATTTTAGGTGGGTGATTATCGCTCTGGAGCCGGTTGTATAACGCAAAAAAATGTTTACAATCAACCATTGTAAAATCACCAGTACGTCGTTAAAGCTAGCCCCTTGCTCTTAGGCACGTTATATACGTTCAAAATGACTCTGCTCTGTGATTATAGATAAAAAACTTTGCAATGGGTAAAGTCATTGGGGGAATCACATTAATGTTTTGTGATTTATTTTGGAACCATCCTCCATCCAGTCCCCTTTGAACTACAACCGACTCGTGTAAAATATGTGAACAAAAAAAACAACAACAAAAAAAGTATGGCCTATAAATACTGGAAAATTCTTCTTGCAAATACAAAAATAATGTAGAAAAAACAGATCTAAAGGCTAAACACGTTTTATGCATGCCTTTGTTCGCTTGTTAATACGACGTTCTTTAAATCGACTTGCTGTAATTTAGTTGCTATGGTAACAATATTAACTTTTTCATTGGTAAAACAGAACGGTGGCACAGCGGTTGATGCTGTAGAAACAGCAGTTCGTGTCTTGGAGGACAATGGTTATTGTAATGCTGGTTTTGGATCGTATTTGAACAATAATAATGAAGTGGAATGCGATGCACTCATAATGGACGGCGATACGTTAAAAAATGGTATAGTATAGACTAGTCCCTAGCCCCCCTTAGCGCGCCTTGCATTCTTTTGACGTCACCGGTTTGAACGCATGGGAGAGGACTAGCCCAAAATGTTTTTAATTCTTAATTCAAAATGTCGGCAGTACAAATGTTGCATCAGGGAAAAAATCAGGGACAATTATTGAAATCTCAACATTTTGTGCTTGGCCTCTCACCGCGGGCTATCCCTTCACAGCGCGCTTACAAGGCTTGGGACTAGGCTGGGTATAGTATAGGGGGAAAAGACCCTGGGTACGAGGTTGACTATAGACCTTTCGTAGCCAATCAAACCTTGTGTAACATATCAAGATTTCTCGTGTTTGATGTCATTGAAGGTCCGTTTTCCACTAGGCGATTTTAATCGCGCGAACTGCAAATTCTGCAACGTCATTGGCTAGCGTAAACGCTGCTTGCAACGACTTCTTTTCGCTGATCAATCATAATTCTGGATATATATACTGGGTTTCGTTTATCGTCGCACGAACAATTCTAGTAGTAGTATAGGATGTAATAACCTTATGAGATTGGTGCATTCTTTTTATTCTTCTATTTTATACAATTGTACTGTCCTGCAAATTATCCTAGTATATCATACAACATATTAAATATATAGCGTAAAGGAGCAGCCAAAAATTAATTTGGTGTTAAAGCTTTTCTTCACAACTCTGTTGTAAAACATTTAGGCGCAGTGATGGCCGGACGACATTTCCGCAATCCTGTTTCTCTCGCCAAAAAGATCATGAAAGATTGTCACCATAGTGCCTTATCTGGTGAAGGAGCTCTAGAATTTGCTCGCAAATGTTCTTTCCCGTGTTATGATCAAGATGAGTTGATAAGCAAATATAGTCGTGACAAAACACAAGAAGTGAATTACGAAAATATGCCAGAATTTATTGAACATCACTATCCTGGAAAACCCCAGATGGCGATGGACACTGTAACTGCTGTTGCCATGGATGCCGATGGTAAAATGGCGTGTGCGGTGTCAACAGGTACGATCGTTGTCGTAGCCGGGATCTTTTATGGAAGGATGGAGATGATTTGCTTCTACAGAAATATAAAATCGCTGTGCCTTGATCCATTTGATATTATAAATACATTGTGCAGTGAAGATTTTTGATTGTATTTTTCGTTCAAAAAAAGCCAGACTTTCATTCGCGGTGGAATTTAAACATCGATTCGGAAATATGCATCAGTGAGTTAGGCTGTTTCTTATTTCAACCGTATCGTATAGTGAACCGTAGCGTATTCCTTTGTTTCAAAGTCATTAGTTTTATCCGAGGCGCCAGGAAATTAAGAATGATGTACAACGCTACGACTACGTGTCGCTACGGTACGGTTGAAGTGGAAAACAGTCCTTTCACATCAACGTGCATGTCTTCTTTCACTAGGTGGCATAGCAGGAAAGTTGAAAGGTCGTGTCGGAGACGTGCCGATGGTTGGTTGTGGGGGCTACGCGAACAAAAGCGGAGCAGCAACCACCACTGGACATGGCGAGTCCATAATAAAAATGACTCTGGCAAGAGACGTCGTTTCCATGATGGAAGCAGGAACCAATGCCCAGGTAACTTTACAGACAAACATTCTGGGGCATTTTGTGGACATTTGGTTACCCCTATTTTTTAGAGTAATTTTTACGCCTAAAAATCTACTGTGCAACCAGATGTCTTTCTCAACCGACGGACCCTTATTGGCGCCACCTTCCAAAGTCTGGTTCCTGTCTACGCACTTGTGAATTCTATATCCAGCTTTTCTCGATCCCTATAGTAGACTTGTAATACACTCGCTAGACCTTTGAAAGGAATTTGGAAAGAATGATAAGAATTTTTTATTATCTGCGTTCTCTCATAGACGTCTGCAGATAATGCTGTAAGGAAATTGCTGGACACCATTGGTAACTTGGGTGCAGGTGGTGTGATCGCCATTGATAAAGATGGAAACTTTGGGAAGGCGTGCCGTACCGAGAAGATGCCATGGGCAAGCATCATGGCTTTCCGAGTTATGCAAGGCGAAGAAACTGAAATCATGCAACACCGAATGGAATCCGGCGTGAATACAATTGACGAACCTGAAATTGAGTATTGGTAAAATAACTATGTCTGAAAGCACAAACATTTTCAAATATAATCTGTTACAACGTATTTTTATTCGAGGTTTCATGACCTCAGGTAATTATTAAGTAATATTAACGCCAATAAGGCGGCGGTACAAGGTGGATAATCTTTTAAGCTCCGTGTAATCAATTAATGTTATGCACAAATAGTTTTTTGGGGGTGCTTATTGAGTTCAACTGTCTTTTTACTTCAATCATGCATTTGTTACTTTCATCAATGTAATGTTATTAAAATAAATTATAAAAGAAATAAGACTCAGGAAAAAACTTTTTTCATGCTCTTTTGAGCTTTGTATTTTGGAAAAGTAACCTGCTTGTTAAAGTGTGATAAACTGACCAAAGAATGCTAAGTATACCGCATTTGGCCTTGAGCATGCGCAAACTGCTTACAATGCAACTCCTGTTTTTCTGCCCTTGTTTCGCAATCGCATTTAAAGAATGCCACGTGGGTAGAGTGGAGCCTGGGCCCGATTGTTGAAAAAATAAATCTCGACTCTCAAAGAAAGGTATTTTTGTTGAGATAATTCTCGTTTTATGGTTGAAGATTCAATAGCTTTTGAAGGCAGATCATACTACGGTGTTATGTTGGCGTTGTTAGACGATCTGGGCGCCGTCGAACGGTAGGTTTTCGTCTCTGTTTATGGCGTTATTTCTTAACGATGGACCCACCATGCAGAACGCCAAATTTTGTTTCTTTTAAAAAATGTTTGGACCATTACAGAATTATTCGCGGGTCGCCGCGAAAGATTATTAGGTCAGGGGGGGGGGGCAATATTCATATATTAAAAATAACACTCAACCCCTGAGAATTTTAACCTCGAGACTTTTAAATTTCTATTACAAACACTAAACTGACAATCTGTGTTTTCAAAAAACTTTTGCCTGCCTGCATGTATGCGTTCTTAGACTCGGAAGGGTTTTTTTCACACCGTGTCAATAAAATATCCAGAGTTGCCATGGCAGGCATGCATCAGTAAATGCAATTAAAAGTTTATAAGAATTCGAAATTAAAAAAAAAAACATCAAACAGGCATATATATGTCAACCCAGAAATACCCTTATGACAGTGACAATCTGTTCGTTTCTGAAATCGTCGTTGTGAAATCTACGAAGTTCTTGTAAAGTGTTGCCCTATATTTAAAATCATTTAGAAGGAGCGAAACAGGTGTGTTTCTGTTTTGTTTCGTTTGTGAATTTAATAGCTATACACGTAGTTCAAATAGTTGTTACCTAACAGCTTTCCAATCACCTGCCAATATCTAGCTATATACACTTCACATATCGTGATAAAACCTGCGATGGCTAGTTTAACAAGGCATGAATTACTAATCACATTTTTTTCTTTCAGAAAAGAAAAGTATGGCTGAAAGTATAACATCAGGAACGTCAAACATTTCCTTAAGCTCCAGCTCAGGTATTATTTCAAGCTGCACGGACAAATTTTACTCGTTATCGTAAAGCATGTTGTCTCCAAGCCCTGCATGACCCAACCATATATAAAATATAATTCTTATTACACGCGCGTATATATATAGATTAAAACTATATCCTAGCTTATATATTGCTATACAAAAATATGCATTATGCAGCATAAAAGCTTGTCTTATTTTGTGCTGTCGGTTAATATTTGGTGAAGCCGATACTGTTACTTCCTAACAAACCGGCTAAAGCAAATAAAAAATCCTAGAAATCTATGGCTTTACCGAAGGCGGCAAAGCAGTTTTTACAATAAGAAAATAAAACGACGAAGTCTCATGCATTTAGCCTTTTAGGCCGTGGACCGTGGCTCAATTGAATCAGTATATCGCGAACGACTCGCATAAACAGTCAAAAGTTGCTCTCAACATACCGTTAGTTGAAATAAGTTACAGTCAGCCAGGCATAAAAAATAAACCTTGACTTATTGTGAATCGGTCGCGTATATATATTAGGCGTTATATATATAGATGTTTTTCTCGCACAATTAATTCCGGCTACAATTGCATAGCGTCTGTGACAGCGCTTATATATATTATATATATATAGCTATATCCTTATATCGATAAACTTCAGTGAGGTTTAATTTATAAACCTTATATAATGGCTTTGATTATTATATCTATAATCATGAATGGCGGTACAGTTCTCGATAATCCAGGTAGATTTTTACTAAGACGTGTGAAGGTTTCACTTTTACTTTTAGTGCATGACTGAAAAGTGTTTCCAAGTTTAGCCAAGGCAATTATTATAGTCTAATGACGCCGTGATTCATCATTATATAGCTACCAGGAAAACAACAAACACCCACAGTCACAGTTGGTGTTCAATCATTTCACCGATATTCGCATGTTTTATTTCTTTGACATTAATTTAAACCAAGTTTATTCATAAACTGGTTTGGACAATTATATTTAAGCATAACGAAAAGCCGTTTCTTATTACAATATATTAGCCCGGAGAGTTTGAGCGTCGATCGAAGGTTTCACTTTTAGTGCATTCAAAGAATTTGTTTCCGGGTAACTGGAATGTTCTTCCCAGAAACTACAAACACTCACAGTTGGTGATCAAATTACTCGGCATGCGTGTTCTTTCAGAATAAAAACAGTTTTTATCTTATTCAATAATTGAAAAATAAATAGACTATATAAATTAAACAGGTTCTAATTGTTGTATATGCGATCGCGAATGCAAGTATACAGGGATAAGTGGTGGTTAGAAATTTGTCAAAATTGGACAAATATAGGTACCTCAAATTCTATTTTATAAGATATGCCGATAGTCTCATCGTTTTTCTAAAGCGACCGAAAGAGAAAGGGCTCGAGAACGGGAAGTCAAACCACGAATTTTAGTCCAGGCTGGCGCTTTTAGCCTTGCGCTGGGTGATATAGATGAGGAGTACAAGAGAGCACCAAAATCAGCTGCCAAAGAAGGATATTACATTTTGAGGGTAAGATATATTTTCTACATTTTAGGTGGGTGATCGCTCTAGAGTTGACCTCTAGAGTTGTATAACTCTTTAACTACACTTTGCATAGTTAAATCCTAGTTATAACTCAGAAATACACAACTCTGATTGGCTGATTCTGTCCTTAACTACACTACATTTACAAGGCCCGTTTACACTACACTCGATTTATTGGCACGGCACGGCTAAAATTGGTACCCGTACCATATTTTATTAGTGTTCAGGCTACCAAAACAAAGGCCGAGCATAGATAAAATAGGGAACGGATACCCATTTTAGCCGTGCCGTACTGAAGCGGTTAGATAAAAAACTTTGCTATGGGTGAAGCCGTTGGGGGAATCACATTCCTGTTTTGTGATTTCTTTTGGAAGCGTTTAGTCTTCCATCCAGCCCGCTTTGAACTACAAGCGGCCCGTGTAAAATATGTGAAAAAAACAATAACAAAAAAACGTATGGTCTATAAATACTGGAAAACCCTTCTTGCAAATACAAAAACAATGTAGCCGAAAAAACGGATCTAAAGGCTAAACACGTTTTATGCATGCCTTTGTTCGCTTGTTAATACGACGTTCTTTAAATCGACTTGCCGTAATTCAGTTGCTATGGTAACAATATTAACTTTTTCATTGGTAAAACAGAACGGTGGCACAGCGGTTGACGCTGTAGAAACAGCAGTTCGTGTGTTGGAGGACAATGGACACTGTAACGCCGGTTTTGGATCGTATTTGAACAATAATAATGAAGTGGAATGCGATGCACTCATAATGGACGGCGATACCTTAAAAAATGGTATAGTACAGACTAGTCCTTAGTCCGCCTTAGCCCGCCTTGCATTCTTTTGACGTCACCGGTTTGAACGCGCGGAAGAGGACTAGCCCAAAATGTTTTTAATTCTTAATTCAAAATGGCGGCAGTACTGATCTCAAAATATTGCATCAGGAAAAATTTTTGAAATCTCAACATTTTGTGCTAGGCCTCTCAACGCGGGCTGTCCCTGCATAATTTACACAGGGCGCTTACAAGGCCTGGGACCAGGCTGGGTATAGGGGGAAGACCCTAGGTATGATGTTGACAATAGACCTTTCGTAGTTAATCAAACTTTGTGTAATATATCAAGACTTTTCGTGTTTGATGTCTTTAAGGTCCGTTTTCCACTAGGCGATTTTAATCGGGTGAACTGCAAATTCTGTAACGTGATTGGCTACTGGAAATGCTTTTTGCGACGACTTCTTTTCGCTGATCTATCATGATTTTGGATACTGGGTTTCGCTTAGCGTCGCACGAACAAATCTGGTTGTGGAAAACGGGCCTAAAATTTTTACCCTATTTACTATAGGATATATATAACCTTATGAGATTGGTGCATTCTTTTTATTTTATACAATTGTATTGTCCTGCAAATTATCGTAGTATAGTATACAACATATTAAATATATAGCGTAAAGGAGGAACTAAAAATTAATTTGGTGTTAAAGCTTTTCCTCACAACTCTGTTGTAAAACATTTAGGCGCAGTGATGGCCGGACGCCATTTCCGCAATCCTGTTTCCCTCGCCAGAAAGATCATGGAAGACTGTCACCATAGTGCCTTATCTGGTGAAGGAGCTCTAGAATTTGCTCGCAAATGTTCTTTCCCATGCTATGATCAAGATGAATTGATAAGCCGATATAGTCGTGACAAAACACAAGGAGTGAATTACGAAAATATGGTTGATTTTATAGAACTTTACTATCCGGGAATTCCCCAGATGGCGATGGACACTGTAACTGCTGTTGCCATGGATGCCGATGGTAAAATGGCGTGTGCGGTGTCAACAGGTACGATCGTTGTCGTAGCCAGGATCTGTTATGGAAGGATGGAGATGATCCGCTTCTACGGAATGATAAAAATCGCTGTGCTTTGATCCAGTTGATATATCTCTATTATACATAGTGCAGTGAAGATTTTAGATTGTGTTTTTCGCTTAAATTAAGCCCGACTTTATATTTTCATTCGGTGGAATTTAGACTTCGATTCAAAAATATGCATGAGTGAATTGGCCTGTTTTTTTTACGTCAACCGTATCGTAGCGAACCGTAACGTATTCCTTAGTTTCAAAGTCATTAGTTTTATCCGAGGCGCCAGGAAATTAAGAATGATGTACTACGTTACGACTATACGTGTCGCTACGGTACGGTTGAAGTGGAAAACAGCCCTTTCACATCAACGTGCATGTCTTCTTTCACTAGGTGGTATAGCGGGAAAATTGAAAGGTCGTGTCGGAGACGTGCCGATGGTTGGTTGCGGGGGTTACGCGAACAAAAGCGGAGCAGCAACCGCCACTGGACATGGCGAGTCCATAATAAAAATGACTCTGGCAAGAGACGTCGTTTCCATGATGGAAGCAGGAGACAATGCCCAGGTAACTTTACTGAAAAACATTACATTTTCCCACTCATCAGCTAGGTATCTCAAAGCGGTTCTTTATGAGGGGAGTCCGCTCCGGTAGAATTCTCACAATCCAATATAGAAAGTCAGGTGAAAATATTTGTTTCATCGAAAAACTCCGTCAAGTGGAAAACCGCCTTCATGTTCATACTTATTCTGTTATTCATGCATGGTCACCCCAGGGAAATGTCGATCACGGATCACCCCATGACATTGATATATGTCGTCGCAGGAGTGCACAGCCTATAACCACTGTAAAAGCTAATTATGCAAAGCCTGTAATGTGCCTATTTTTATAGGTATCTATAACGCCTGGGTATGAGTATATAGACAATCGGCCAGAAGACAGAATTTTTGTCTTCTGAATTGTCTATGGTATAAGCAACCAGATGTCTTTCTCAACCGACGGACCCAGTAATTGGCGCCCCCTTCCAAAGTCAAGTTCCTGGTTACGCCCTTGTGAATTGTATATTCAGCTTTTCTCGATCCCTATAGTAGACCTATAAAACACTAGTCCTTTGAAAGGAATTTGGAAAGAATGATAAGAATTTTTTTATTATCTGCGTTCTCTCATAGACGTCTGCAGAAAATGCCGTAAAGAAATTGCTGGGCAGTATTGGTAACTGGGGTGCAGGTGGTGCAATCGCCATTGATAAAGATGGAAACTTTGGGAAGGCGTGCCGTACCGAAAAGATGCCATGGGCAAGCATCGTGGCCGTCCGAGTTAGGGAAGGCGAAGAAACTGAAATTATAAAACACCGAATGGAATCCGGCATGAATCCAACTGACGAACCTGAAATTGAGTATTGGTAAATTAACCATGTTTGAGAGCACAAACATTTTCAAATATAATCTGTCACAACGTAGTTTTATTCGAGGTTTCATGCGGACCTCAGGTAATTATTAAGTAATATTAAGTAATAACGCCAATAAGGCGGTGCAAGGTGGATAATCTTTTAAGCTCGTAATTAATGTTATGCACGAATAGTTTTTTGGGGGTACTTATTGAGTTCGGCTGTCTTTTTTCTTCAATCATGCATTTGTTACTTTCATCAATGTACGGTTATTAAAATAAATTATAAAAGAAATAAAACTCAGGAAAAATTTTTTTCATGCTCTTTTGAGCTTTGTATTTTGGAAAAGTAACCTGCTTGTTAAAGTGTGATAAACTGACCAAAGAATGCTAAGTATACCGCATTTGGCCTTGAGCATGCGCAAACTGCTTACAATACAACTCTGTTTGTCTGCCCCAGTGGTCTACCCTGGTTTCGCAATCGCATTTAAAGAATGCCACGTGGGTAGAGTGGAGAGTGGGCCCGATTGTTGAAAAAATAAATCTCGACTCTCAAAGAAAGGTATTTTTGTTGAAATAATTCTCATTTTATGGTTGAAGATTCAATAGCTTTTGAAGGCAGATCATACTACAGTGTTATGTTGGCGTTGTTAGACGATCTGGGCGCTGTTGAACGGTAGGTTTTCATCTCTGTTTATGGCGTTATTTCTTACAAACGTGTCGTATTTTCCTGACCAAATTTCCTCACGTGTAACAAGTCGAATGCTAATTCCATTCGCTTTTCGTTTGAATGTTCGTATTCTTTGGTTTAGTTTTGTAGATATCACTATAATCTTGGCTTTCGTCGATAGATTATTGTTTCAAATATGTCTATCAGGTCGATTTTGTAAAGTTTTCGGACAAAAATGAATGTTTCTTTCATAAATGTCTACGTGTTATAAGTTCAGTCATGTTTAGTTCATAGTCAATTGTGAGATTTATTTCACTATAAACTGTTTTCACACTTGATTGAAGAAACGTTTTGATGTGTTTTATCAGCAGTAATCTACTAAACCCAATCTTGATATGATATATCAAAATAGATCTCAAGGTCAAGAATTATATCAAAATATAGTTAAACTGGTTCATTAATTTCCTACCAGCAGACACGCTAAGAGGAAATTTGTGTCATTCCAGGAAGTACATTGTTTGTTCTCAATGGCTGAATAATTTACTTCTACCTTACACCGCAACATAGGTGTCCTATTTTGGATCCTAGCGAGTATTGCTCTGAGGAATCAGATTCCTATACAGTGTATAATTCTCCAGCCAGCAGTTGTATTGATGACCCAAACATTGCTGCAGAAGTGGAAATGTAAGTATAAGACTTATTGGAAATTAAGTTAAGAATAAATAATAGATGTTAGAATGTAAGAAATGGTTTATCTAATTAAACAAGTGTGGTGGCCCTGTTAAGATTGTCTTAAACAGTTGGGCCTAACATATAACAAATTTCACCAGGCAGGAAGTTAATTCCTTTTTCTTACCTTCCTTCTCATTTTTTCAAGTTAAAAAAGTGTTTTGAATAACTTTGCATTTGTTTTGAATTGCTTGTTTGGCATATGAAAAAGCACCTCGTTTAAAGACTGACCTTAGTTATTCAAAAGCAATGATACCAGTATATGAAAATCACTATGTTCTACAAATGTTCTTCAAAGCCATTTCCAGAGAAGACGTTTCATATAATGGACTGTAATAGTTTATTTTTGACAAATCAACAATTTTTCTTTCTAGATCAAAAGATTTAGCAGATGAGGAGTTCTCTTTTTATGAACAATGTTTAAGCAACCTTGATGCTGATCTGAAATCATCTGATCCACTACCTTGGGCAAATCTTGCACATCTTGGTGACACAATAACAGAATTTTCTTTAAATGTGAGTTTACCAAAATATTTCATAGTAACCCATAGAACTGTACCAACTAGTAGGTCATTTCAATAGTCATTTTTTTCATGTCTTAGTAGGTGGAGAAATAATATTAAATATACATGTTAAAATGTTTCAGGAATGTAGAAACAAGCAGACAGAAGGTGAAAGCTCCCAATCTGGAAGTGTTTGTACAGGTATACCAACATTAATCTATTATTGGTTTGTTTTTTTTCAATATTTTCGTTTGGGGTAGGGACTAACTATTCAGTCTATAATCACTTCCGAAGAACAATGTGAATAGAACTAAAAAGTACTTTCTTTACAGATGACTACTGGAACAGATGTAATTCATGGGTTAACAGTACAACAGTTGAAGACAAATCATATGATAAAGAATGTACACATAAATCACAATCAAAGACGAAAAGGAATTGTAATGGAATAAGAGAGTTTATGGATAAATTATCATGGTAAGTTTCATACAGATGTTTTACTGGTGTTATAAGGTAATGGAAATTAGAAGAAAGGGATCACAATCCTTGTCAATGTTTCATTGTTAATTATTAATGCCTAAAGCTTTATATTATTCTTATTTTTTAGGAAAGAAATGACATCTTCACAACAAAGAGAGACAATTGAGCATTTAACACAAATAGTTTCATCAACGATGGGACTTCGTGAACAACTTGATGTCATAAGAATACTCAATCCAAAGGCAGTTGTTTCTTCAACAGATACAGAATTTGAAATAGGTAATTTTGTACAACTTGTAAGCTGTTAAACTTGGTAATGTTGTCATTTCTGAGGCTTGAATGTCAACTACTATGATCATGTCTGTTTTCTAGATTTGGAGTTGTTAAATTGTGAGAAATTAGAAAGAATTCGAGAATATGTAAAACAACATGGTATTCAGACAGGTATGCATTTCTTTTTCATTTTATATACCTTGTAATAGGTTTAATCACCTAAACTAGTTTATACTGTGTTTAGTAAAAAGCTTAAAGAATAGTCAAAGGCCAGTCAGAAAAACAAAGGTAAACTTTGCAATTCGTAGCCATATATGTTTTTATATAAATTGCATTAATGACCAAATATTGATTAAATCAAATTTTTTGCTGATTAATTGCTTGTTTTTTATTTATTTAGCGGAAGGACCTAAATCTTCACAGAAATAAGGGGAAAGTAGATAAAGAACAAAATGCATTGTTATCGCGTGTGTACAAGCAGTTACTAAAAGAAAAACGTAGTGGTCTATTTCATAATGAACAGGTATTGTTTCAATATGCCATGTAAATTGAATTTTTACTTCAGTGAATTGTGGTGAACTTTAGTAAATATCACTCTTCTTAGAGTAAGAAATTTGGGAAACATATTTAGTTGGGTTTTTACTCTTTTAATCATTCTACTCTTTCTAATCTCAATTTTATTGGAATTGCTTTTGCATATCTTTTTTTGAATGTGTTTGTATTCAATTTTTTTGTGAATTCTCATTCTCAACATTGCCATAAACTCGTTTGATCTTTCAGGTGATTTCGATTTCCAAGACGAAGCTGCAACAAACTAGCCAAAACAGTAATAATGAAGATGATGATAATGATGATATGGAAATTGATATATTACATTGAATGAAACATGGTTATGGAATAATTTGACAGACTATAATTTGGCATAATTGAAAAATAAAATTGAAATTTGCATTCATTTTGTGAGCAGTACTATGTGTTACTCTTTATAAAAGTGGAATGGGAGTTATGCACAGTTTGATTTTAGGACAAAATTAACTAATTTGCCTAAAAGTTACAATATACTTGTACTTTTATGGGAACCTCTGAGTGTTTTATAAAAACATTAGTATACACCCGACTATTGTCTATTACAATTGGCTACTCAACCATTGCCTATTCGTGATGGTGAACGTTTGGGAAAAATTCGCTCATGCGACCGTATAAAATTGAATTAATATTTTTTGCTGTAATTGCGGTGTATCGATTATTTTCTTGAAAGTAATATATCTAGGTGAAGGGTATATATTAAAACAATTAGACAACTCGGTCTCGTTGTCTATTTGTTTGTGGAATTTTTGTTCAATTATGGAAATTCGAACTTTACTTGATTGAAATTTCAAATTTGAAAGGGGAAGCACTGGTAAGCAAATCTAAACAATATGGCGGAATCAGCCGAAGAAAGCGATTTACTGAGAATAACACCATTGTGAGTGTAGATCTTTGCTCGAAAAAACATTTTTTAACCATAGGGTATTATTAGAGTGCGGTGTGAACTAAGATGCAATGTACCTCAATGAAATCTGTTTGTGGATTTGTGACTTATATGTCATCGTGTGTGACTTTCCATGAAGCTACACACGTGTTTGCTATTTCACATTGGAATGATTGGATTGCATAGGTTAAGATTTATATTCCGAAGAAATCGTTAAATCATCAAAGTGTTCCTTAACACGATTGTACTTAATATGCAAGTGGTTGGTATTTTTAAGCTCCCGAAGTCAGCTCTTGAAATCTTTCATTATTTTGGCTCATACTATACTGCACAGTACTGACAGTAGTGAGCAAATGATACGAAATTGCAGATATTTGTTATCGAGAACAGTGACAACAAATACAGTGATCAACTAACTTAATGCAATATTACTGTGTCTCAACTTGACTCCCACACACCTTTGCCTGGCTACCTTGGATTGTCTGATATTGCAGCATGAATATGAAAGATCTCAAAATGTTTTTATTTGCAGAGGAGCTGGTCAGGAAGTGGGAAGATCATGTCATATACTGGAGTTTAAAGGCAAGAAAGTTTTGGTAAGATTTTTTTACTCAGTATCTGTCTAAACTTAATCTTCAGTTGTAAAGATTATTGCCAGTTCATCATATATGTCTATTGTACATACATATTTCAGTTGGATTTTGGAATTCATCCTGGATACAATGGCCTTGATAGTTTGCCATTTGTTGATGAGATTAATGCAGAAGAAATTGATTTATTGCTCATTAGCCAGTAAGAATACATTGTTGTATATTACCACATATATATAGTGTAACCTTTAGGTCTGAGATCAGGGGCCGGTTGTTCGAAAGGCGTTTAGCTTAAATTGTGGATAAGCAAAAGTTTAAAAATATTCTCATACATCTTGTGAATGATTGAACCTGCATCTTATGCAATAAATATGTACTTCCATTGAAAATTAAACTATTTATATTGAAATATTTCAGTTCAGCTATTCAATAAATAGATAATTTTGTTTTTTATTAGTGTTACAATAAAGTTTATGACACTGTATATTTTGCCTTTATCTGTCCAATTCTTTATCTTTTTTGTATGCACACTGCTTGTTATTGTAGTTCTTTTCGAAACAAATCAAAATTAAATGTTAAAAATTGTTTTAGTTTTCATTTGGATCATTGTGGTGGTTTGCCATGGTTCCTGGAAAAGGTGACGGCCATAATTCTTTGTAATTATTTTTGACTCATCAAAATAATGATGTTTTACTGCCGCAAATTTTATTGCAATTATCATATTATCTTTAATTTTTACAGACTACCTTCAAGGGACGTGTATTTATGACGCATCCTACCAAGGCTATTTATAGGTAATGTACTGTATTTTGAACTTCTTAACATCACAGATTTTCTGTAGTAAAATAAAAAAATATTTGTCTTTTAGATGGCTATTGTCTGATTTTGTTAAAGTTAGGTAAGTCAAAACTGAGTTAAGAATCCTGCCAACTAGGGCCGTGGGTGTGATGAGGTGCTTTCTATGCCCATGTCTTATATCATAGCCTTTAGCCCCGGGCCACTTTCAGCCCCCACCCCACTTTTAGCCCCGGGCCACTTTTAGCCCCCACCCCACTTTTAGCCCAAAAGAAAGATTGTTATATTTAGTAATATGACTGCGGAACAGATGTTATTCACTGAGAAGGACCTCGAAAAAAGCATGGATAAAATTGAGACAGTCCATTTTCACGAGGTAACGTCCATATAAGTACGAGGCGCAATTTATAACTGAATATTTCACGCAATGAAAAGTGTTTAGTTTCCTGTTTAGTTCAGTCCTGCGATAACTTTTTGCCATATGTTTAGATTAGTTTCCTGAAGTCACATTTTACTAGGTGTGCTAGTTTAGTAAGTTTCAGTCGTTGAATTTTCATTGTATACTTTAGTTTCCTGCTATCAATTAGGTCCTAAATATTACTATAGATAAGTGTATAGATAGCTTACCCGTCATTATATTTTCTACGGAGTGTATACTTGGGTTCCCCGACATACATTTACTAAGGGCCTGTTCATATGAGACGGGCCAGCCCGGTTCAACTGGAAGAGTATAGTTCAGTTTTCCGCCATAACATTCCTGCTATTACATTTTACTAAGTGTATAGTTTAGTTTCCCGCCATTACATTTAATTACGAAGTGTAACTACATAGTTGAGTTTCCTTCCATTTCCCGCCATTGCATTTAATTAATTACTATATAAGTGCGGAGTATATAGTTTAGTTTCCCGCCATTACATTTAATTACGAAGTGTAACTACATAGTTGAGCTTCCTTCCATTTCCCGCCATTGCATTTAATTAATTACTATATAAGTGTATGTAGTTTAGTTTCCCGCCATTACATTTAATTAAATACTATATAAGTGTATATAATGAGTATATATTACATTTACCCGCCATTACAATTACCAAGTGTATAGTTTAGTTTCCGTCATATATTAGCTACATTTACAATACTAAGTGTATATATCTTAGTTTCCTGCCATTAAATTTTACTAAGTATATAGTTTAGTTTCCCGCCATTACATTTTACTCTAAGTATATGGTTTAGTTTCCCGCCATTAGCTAAATCATTACATTTTACTAAGTATATAGCTTAGTTTCACGCTATTAAATCATTTACTAAGTATATACTACATTTTCCCGCCATTACAATTACCAAGTGTATAGTTTAGTTTCCGTCATATATTAGCTACATTTACAATACTAAGTGTATATTTTAGTTTCCCGCCATTACATTATACTATAAAGATATAGTTTAGTTTCCCCCATAGTATTTATACTAAGTGTATAATTCAGTAAAAATGTAATGGTGGGGACAATACTTTATACATTTGATGAATTGTAATTGCGGAGAACTACTGTAAGCTATACACTTAACAAAGTGCATGAAATAGCAAGAAACTAAGTGACACACTTCGTAGAATGTTATGGCGGGAAACTAAATCGTAGTTATATCTTTCCTATACACTTTAGGAGAAAGAAGTGAATGGTATTAAATTTTGGTGTTATCACGCAGGGCATGTGTTAGGGGCGTCCATGTTTATGATCGAGATTGCAGGGGTTAAGGTAAGCTTGCTAAAAACTGCCCTTAAAAAACAGTCTTTATATATGATAGCCATTTTTCCTGAAGTCATTCGTCCCCAACCCCAAGGTTTTTGGGTCCATAATTACACCTAATTATTCACTGCTCATGAAGTATATTTTTTTGCCATTCAAAATTTATGGTCATACACAAACGCAGCATAATTTGTCATGTTAATTTTTTATTCCATTTTTATGCTGAGCTAAATATTCTATTTAGATATTATATACAGGAGATTTCTCACGCGAGGAAGACAGGCATTTAATGGCCGCAGAGATACCAAATGTTACTCCCGATGTTCTTATTACTGTAAGCTGTTTTACCATCTATAAACCTAAATATCGCAAGCAAACCCTTTGTGTACATCATCAGTTTGATCACTGACCCTTCCTTCCACTTCCTGGTATTCTGACCACCTTTGTTCAATTTATAGGAATCTACATACGGCACGCATGTTCATGAACCAAGAAGTGACCGAGAAACAAGGTTCACGAGTGAGTTGATGTTTTATATTAGCAATCTTATCCAGAAACGAATCAACATTTTGTCATCACTTGTGTTTTAGATACCGTTCATGATATCGTCAATCGTGGAGGACGATGTTTGATTCCTGTGTTCGCCCTGGGAAGAGCTCAAGAACTATTGTTAATCTTAGGTAGAAGAGAAATGTCAAAGAAATAGAAGTGGACAGGAAATATATGTAGTTTTATTTGCATTAGTTCAAATTCTCCTTTTAGTATGGGACATCTGAAGGGCACTGGGATGTTGGCAAAATATATAACGTGAATAGTATTCGTTTTAAATTGTATATTTAACAGCCTCCTAACTTGCATTCAACAATTTTCCTTATAGATGAATATTGGCAAAATCATCCTGAACTTCATGACATTCCTATCTACTATGCTTCATCGTTGGCTAAAAAATGCATGTCAGGTACATACATTAATACTCGATAATTCTCGTCATTCGGAACTGTTTAGCCCGTCCTGAATTGACAAACTGTTATTTAATTGCATAGTTTATCAAACGTATATTGAAGCAATGAACGAAAGAATACGAAAACAGGTATGTCCCTGCTTTGTGTACCAATTTTGTTCTCTTTAGGTTACAATACAGCGGCACTTTTTGCTTTATAGATTTCAATATCCAACCCGTTTGTCTTCAAACACATTTCAAATTTAAAGGCAAGTGTACTTTGTGTATAAGTTTTTCGTCATTTCGCTAGGAGGATTTTGAAATTAACTTACAACTAAAAATCGCTGTGTGTATTGATGTTAAATCTGCAGAGCATGGAGCAGTTTGACGATATAGGTCCTTCGGTAGTCATGGCAAGTCCTGGTATGATGCAGGTTTGTTGAAATAGAATACATGCTATACTTAATAATATATTTATATTGCAGATTATCCAATCAGAAAATTGGATTATGTAATCATGCGATTGATCAAAACTTCCCTTGGGGGTATTATTCCATGGAACTCCCCTCTCTCCAGATCTATAAATGATTTGCATAATTTACGTTGGGCAAATGGAAAATGTAATTGGAATTTCATATGTTGTTTCCCGCCTTTTTAGAGTGGTTTGTCACGCGAGCTGTTTGAACTGTGGTGTGCAGATCGTAGGAATGGTGTGATAATTGCTGGCTACTGTGTCGAAGGGACCTTGGCAAAAGTGAGACTAGAAGAATTTACACATACAAAGCTTTTGCTATAATGAAATATGTTCTTTTCTCAGATTTCAGAAGACTGATATTATCATGACCGTTAATACTATGATGAAACAAATGAATTTTCTATTTTTAGACTCTTATGACCGAACCAGAAGAGGTTCCAACTATGTCTGGACAGAAACTTCCGAGAAAATGTTCCGTAGGTAAGGGAATTTTTCACGATGTGTATACACAAATATTTTGGTAGTTTTTTCATTAATATCAACCCTACGAAAGCACGACAGACCCTGGGTACGAGGTTGTGATGTCAATTGCTCTTATCTTTTTTTCTTTTTTACATGGCACATGAATATTTCTTACGGATTTTGTACCACCCCCCCAGCAAAGGCACATGACCACCACCCACCCCTGTAAATCCATCTCTGACCTTTTTGGTCAATGTGGTAAAACTGCTTTGCTCCTAGATTACATATCATTCTCGGCGCATACGGATTACGAACAAACAAGCGAGTTTATTAGAATACTTGAACCACCGCATATTGTAAGTGTATTTTGGGACTGTTACACTCACTGATCACCTTTTACCTATGAATAGTGAAACATGGGGTCAGTTGGTTTCCTAAAATAAAGGAAAGGGATTAAAGGTTGGGATTAGAGTTAAGTATCATTATTGATAAGGATATTGACCCGAGGCGTGTGAAAATACACTGTTATTCTTCTCCTCAGGTACTAGTCCATGGCGAACACACGGAGATGGGTCGTCTGAAAGCTGCCATAATTCGAGAGTATGAAGATAAGGTATGGGTGTGAGTAGCTTTAAGTCAATTCCATATGAAATATGGTTTGACAAAATGTGGATTAACAAAAATATTGTTTTTGTTACAGGGAACCCATATTGATGTATATAATCCCGCAAACTGTCAGAGTGTAGAACTGTATTTTAGAGGAGAGAAGATGGCGAAGGTACTAAAATACTAATGCATCTGTTTCAAAATGCACTTTATCTTTCACTGCATGAAAATTGTTGAAGTTGTATTTTTGGTATCAGTCTCAACTCCTGCTTGAAGCAGCTTAAATTTGGTTAGGATTGATCAGAGTGAACAGAGGTCTGATCTTATTGGAGACCATCTTATACCCTAGGTGATGGGTTCATTGGCATCAGAGCCACCTTCACATGGAAAGAAAATTTCTGGATTGCTTATTAAACGTGGCTTCAATAATTATCACTTGATTGCTCCTGGTGATCTACCAAGTAAGTTGATATTATTTGCACATTTCTTCATGCTAAAGGTCTGTTCACACGATCCAATTTTGTTGGATCCAATTCACCTCTGATTGATGTTTTAAAGTCTGTTGGCTTTATATGTGTACGAGCAGCAAATCCACTGAAGCCAATGCAGTACTGCTTTATCAATAACCGACTATATTTCATACGTCAGAAGTGAATTAGATTCAACAAAATTGGATCGTGTGAACAGACCTTAAGAATCCTGTTAGAGAAACCTATCAATGTTAAAGCTGGTAAAGTAATGGTTAAATTGTCAACTTTAATTTCTCGTTTTTAGACTACACAGACCTAGCTACGAGCACTGTTAGTCAGGTAAGATATAAAGTGCCGAAGTCCATAATTCTTTGCAACGCCACAACTGCAAAAGGTGGAAAATAGATTCTAAAAGGCCTCAATTTTGCACAATAAGAGGCGTATAGAAACTAGAAAGCTATGCATTAACCCTCTCTATTCTTGTAACGCATTTAGAGGCAGATTGTTTCATACCATGGAACATTCTCATTACTTCACCATTGCTTGCAACAACTCACTGGAGATATAGAACAGTTCAATATTCAAGGAAAATCAGCTCTAAAAGTATTTAACGCTGTTACTCTCACACAGGGAAAAGATTCTGTTACCATCGAGGTACATACACTATAAAAACTTTGAGGTGGCGTAGAATATGGAGTCAATAGTTTGAACTTAACGTACCACCCTCTGTCAATCAAATCGGTCATAAAAGATCCCTTGTTTTTTCAGTGGGTGGCCAATGCAGTGAACGATATGTATGCTGATGCTGTTTTGACTGTGGTTTTGCAAGTAGAGTCTAATCCTGCTGCTGTGCAATGTAAGGGTCGAATTTGAGATTACGCGGGTAGTAAGTGTGAAACGCTAGTGGTCTTGAGTATCTACAACCCTAAAATGAGTATGATCTCGAACGTTCTGTAATAAAATATAAACTTCTTTCCAGTAACAAGTTGTAAGAGAGGCGAAACTGGTGTTTTCAAGCAAAGGTTAGTGATGTTGCATTCCCAATCATAGAGAACGCTATGCGAGGTTTTCTTTAGTGCCTTGAAGTTACAAGAATCTTTATGAAATGAAGAGAATTTCGTATCTAACCTAAAATACCTGGCTTGCAGATTGGTGAAACTGTTGAAAGAAACGTATGGACATGATAATGTGGCTGCACGAGCAGATCAAATCTCTATTCGACTAGAAGAGAACAGTGCGGCTTTGATAAACGCGAATACTAAGGTAAGGGTCCACCTGCACGCCTGCAGGTGATGAAAAAAGTCAAACTAACGAAGGATTGCCAGAAAATGAATTATCCAACTACAAATTTTTATGTACAGCTTCAAAAATCCAGTATTTATACGACAATATTAATTTTCTGTTGAAATTTACCATGGCAGACTTATAAAGAAGTGATGGGAATCATCCACAGTTTATTGCCCCAAATACGTATATGAAGTCTGGTTTTAATTCACACATTATATTGACTTTTGTTTAGCCCTTAATGGAGGCGGTCTAACGTAATTCAGCTAACGCATTGCGATTAATATCGTGGGTATGTATTGATTGTTTAGGAAATAAAATGTGAAGATGAGTTCGTTCATGGCAACTTGGTAGCGATGGTAAATAGACTATCCAGAGTTTGTGGTGTATGATGTTCTCCAATCACTCTCATAGTATGTATCGAATAGCATGTATATTGCTGTTTTATAGCAGATTACTGGGGGTATAATTTGCAGGGGGAAGCTTCTAACTTGAGGTTGGTATGTAAATAAGCATTCCAACCGAGGTTGCAACAAGTAGTTGTTAAGTAGACTCAGTAATGTAAACAAATGCCTTGTTTACATGACGCATTTTCTAAGATATGATATTACTGTCGGTATGTCTGATGAAATATTGCTGGGGCTTTTGCCATGAACAAGGATGCAATCCTAAGCCAGGTAATCCCGAATGGCGGGAAAAGACTGGGACTAGTTGTAAAATAAAAGTCCATCTCTCGATCGAAATATACTTAATTTAAGTTTTGAATTTATATCAGGCTATAGTTCTTATAACTAAAAATAATCACAAAATTTCTACTAATTTCATAAAGATTAACAAAAGATATCATCTTTCTGAGCGCTGATTGGCTAAAAATTGAGCGCGAAATTGCCTGGCCTAATATGGATATGATTGAATGAAACGCGTTTTAAACGTTTTTTTTGTTGTATTTATTTTTTCACATCATCTTTGCATCTTTAGCCGTAGGCTATACAATTTTTAATCTTTAAATAGTCATAAATAAGATCTATAATTTCATTATTCATGAATCTGATTCTTTGGATGTGCAATATTTTCGTTCGCGACAAAAAAATCACATTCTCTTTTCACGTAAACCAAATATTACACATGCCAAAAAAAGTCTAATGAGTAATGGCGCTTTCTAGCCTCCTCCGAGGGCATCTCTTATGCATTAGAAAAATGCATATTTGGCTTGGGCATAAATACATAAGAGATGCCTGCGGAGGAGGCTAGGCGCTTTCAATATCATAAACTATTAGGACAATAATTTAAATATGTTATAAATACATGCTACGCATCACTTTCACTACATTTATATCAGTTAGGTTGGCGCAGGAGCGCTAGAACGTGCATTAGAAAATTCTTTGCCGTTGCCATTGTGTACGCCGGTCGTTTTCGTCACAGGAGACACAGGCGCTACAGCATATTTGATATTAAGGTCCATTGCTTTGGCGATAATGGTTTCGCAACTTTCTTGTGGTATCTATATACCAAAGAATGAAAAGATAAAGTGAATATAAGATTCGCCTGATCAGATGTAAACACAATATTTTCAACAATGGCAATGTATGTTAACTCATAAGTTCATTACAACTATAAACTATCAATGGAATTTTACATACTTGTGCGAGAAATCGAAGGACAGGTTCTGACGATTTCTTGGAGATGAGAATTTGTCGAAAGACAACTAATATGGCGACTGCAACATAAGCTAATATCGTACAGGATCCCGCTATAACTCTATCCCAAATCCTATAAAACAAAGGCACTACAATAGTCAGGCGGTAAAAATTGTATTATCTAAAATAGAATGGCCGAAAAAAGTTTAGCTGAAAGATATTGTACTAAACCTAAGGATTTTTGAACAAGTTCTACAGCTATTTCATGTTTCTTTTCAATTAAAAGAAAAATTAATTAAAAGGAATTTTCTGTGTAGTTTAAATTAGTGAATAACTTTCCAATTAGGTAAAAAAAACAGGGTCAAGAAAACAGCGAATCCCTGTCTTAATAATATTTTCATCAAATGTGGTAAAACAACTGCCTCTGTTTTTTGTCTTGTCTTAAGCAGTTATACCATATAATTATTTCATGAAAAAAATCATTTACTGCTTGCTGCAATGTCACAAAAGTATCATTTGACCTTTCTAAAGATAGGTCATTCAAATCTTCCGCAAAAAAGCTCTCGAACCATCGTTGACAAGGGAGTTGTTTCCATGCTCCAATACTGCAAAGATATCTACAAAGGTCAGGATCTTCTGCTGTAAGTCGTTGTTCAAAAAGTTCTACCTACAGAAAAAACCACCGTATTATTAAAATGATTAGTGCCATTAATAAAGTACATTTAATTTTGCAAGGGGTGGATCCAACAAAATGGGATCCCTTTTGCTTTGTGTCTTACCAAACTTTTTAATTGCACATCAAATGTTTTCTGTAGTTTGAAGAATTTTGTTGTTGCCCAGAAGCAGTCTTCAATATCTTCAAATATTTCGCACATTAACTTTGCTATGGAAGTCAACACCTTTAGTCTTCTTTCTAATTCCTTAAGTTAAGATTTTTACAGTAGAAAGCATTCATTTTGGAAAAAAAAGTACTCTTTTATATTCATTTTAATTGACTAAGTATATGAGAATAGAAAGACCCTAGAAATATAGTTAGAATTTAATTCATCAGTTCTTTTATAGAAGTAAGTAATTATTGAGATTTCATGCAAGTTTAATTAATGAAAGTTCCTATTCCAATGATGCTCAGTAAAATAATCAAATCATACATGCCTGATTTTTTACCTCTGATGGTTGCATGAAACCCATTTCCCCTTCATTCAATAAGTACATTTGAACGATCTGTGATGGAACGCTGTCATTCTTTTCACTAAGTTTTCGTATAATCTTTAAGGTGCTTAACAAATGTTCCACCTGCTCTGACTGCTGGATCTTTATAAACTTGTGACTCTGTTGATGCCTTGGCAGTATACCTAATGTAATTTAAACATGTATATCAGTATATGCAGATAATATGTTGCACTTTTCAGAAGCTGTTGAAACAGTTGATACATGCTATGCATTATTTGGGATGATTTCTCTCTAAGTCCTTTTAATATGCCAATTAAGTAAATTACTCTCCTTAATCAAAATGGCAACATGATGATAAAAATCAATTGTGATTTTTGGCACTTCTCTCAATGCATGTATAGTCTAGGCAATTAATTTCAAGTTGAATTATACACACTTCAAATTCGAGCCAGGAACAGTTGAAGGAAAAATGGGTCAGCTATAGGTCTTCCGGCTGAAATTGAACCTATGCTTTTGCAATCCATTGAGTGGCAAGATGCATTCTGAATGCATGTATATTCTAGGCGATTAATTTCAAGTGGAATTATACACACTTCAAATTAAAGCTAGGAACAGTTGAAGGGAAAATGGGTCAACTATGGGTCCTCCGGCTGAAATTGAACCTATGCTTTTGCAATCCATTGAGTGGCAAGAGCATTGCACCGGCATTGCAAAAGCGTAGGTTCGATTCCTGCCAGAGGACCTATAGTTGACCCATTTTTTCTTCAACTGTTCTTGGCTTTAATTTGAAGTGTGTATTATTCCACTCGAAATTATGACATGATTATAGTTGTATTTTGTGGTTGAATGAATGCTGTGACATATTATTGTGAATGCGATTAATTTATTAATTTTTATTTGACTTGTTAGTTAGAAAGAGGATTCTAAGTGTCATCTAAATGTCTGATTCAAACATTTGATGTGTCAATATTCCATACCAAGTAAAAGTTTCCAAACTATTGGTCTTCTAATTGCTGGCAATCCAAACTGAAGGCAGAATGTCTTAAGTTTGTCAAGATCTAAAACAAAATCCAGGGTTGCACTTTGAATAGAAGTGTTGCCCAGCCTGATAAGCCAGTGCCTGTGCACCTGTCAAGCAATGTTTGTACCAAGTTGTTGTAAAAAGTTTCGGGCAAGCTGTAAACGAGTCAGATGGCATTATCATAGACTTAATTATTACAAGACCATTCTGACAAGTCTGATACAGCTATGATAAGGTTGTAAGGATATTATATAATATTTCTACAAGACTTGTTGGAACTTGTTACAATTTACAATTTGTTACAACTTGTTACCATTTCCTACTAATAAGTTGTGATTGTCAATTAAGCTTGGCACAAACTGCAAAAAACAGCATGTTGGAAGCTTGTTTGCAGATTAGTTTATACAGGATGTGGGATTTTCCCGTGTGTATGGTTTTAACGATGTAATATCTAGTATTTAAGCACAGTGACAGTAAGTCTCCTGGCCGTATATTTTTATTATTTTACCAATATCATCATCTTTAAGTAGTAAATCCAATGCTTTGCGTTGTTCTACACCTCTTAAACCCAAATTCTCATAATACCACGATCGAAAATTCCTCACGTCTCTGTCTTTATCCAAAACGCTGTACATTTCATTTCGTTTCGGTATTTTTTTTTACTTTTTATATGTGTTTTTGTCACATGATGAACCACTGAACTTGTTCACAGATGAGACTTGTTTATATCCCTGTTACGTCATCCTGCCTAGTCATCGCGTGATCGCGATTCGTAAAAAACGTAACGCTGGTAACGCAAGTTTATGTTCGTCAAACATTCGGACTGTCGGAATCTGTCGTTTCGGAATTCGGAGTGAGCGAAGTGAAATAAATTATCTACGTTTTTGTTGTTGTTTAAAATAATCTCAAAAGGTAACATATAATTCTATCAACGTATACTCGGTCGGGTTAAAATGAGCCAAAGTTATAAATGTTTTAAAGAAAGAAAGACGTTCGGTAAGTACATTTGAAATTTTAGATCATAAAATACATTTTCTTTTATCACATCACGTTTTGATCTCTCTCGCTATGATAAACGCAGACAAAATTGCGTGAATTGTTAAAATTTAATACGAAAATATATTTTGTTTTTTAGCGGCAAGAAAGCGCGATTCGGAGGGGATTACAAAACAGTATCCTGACAAAATTCCTGTGAGTCTTTATATATATTTTAACAGTGTATGAGCAAACATACGTCATTTTGTTTATATTTTGCTAGTGGGCCCGTTGCCATATTTGATAAATTAAAGCTTTCATATACAGTGTTTTTATACGTTGTATTGTAATCTATGTTCTCGTTTGTATGTTCACAATACTGTATGAATGTACAAAAGTAAAAACTAATTCCATTTTAGTAATTTTCACTTTCTGTTATTGTGTAAGTATGCTTGAATAGAGATCACCAAAGGAAAAGATGTTCTCATTCCACATTCGGTTTCACACTCAGTCAATATGTTACACAATAGTTACATATTAAACCAAAGCCATTGATGTGGAAACATTGTTTCCTGCTAGAAATATATCTATCATTTAGAGACATTTGCACTCATGATAAACTGTTTATTCTTGAATGAAGTGAAGGGAATGTTCTAGAGACATTAGGAAAACCAGACAAAAATAATGCTTTCTTAAATAAGAGACACAATTGGGAAATAGCATATGCCATAGTAAACATTTGTTCCTTCAAGGATCGAACAGCATCAAGGAACATCATTTGTCAATCACAATAAAGCTTCTGCAACAATGTCTCCTAGTTTGTTAAAGGCTAAAAGAGATGTTCTATACAATCCTAAAACAATGTAATTACCTATACAGGCTATAATTGCAAAATAGATGTATTCACCGAAATTCATGAAAGAAATGAATTTTAATGAGCAGCAATGTTTTCAATTACAATTTTGAAAAGGCATGTGCCTTATATTTCATATTCAAAAGGATTCATTGTTTAAAAAGTTTTCATGGCATGTGACCACCACATGCTAAGTTGCTTGTGCACTAGAGAGCTTGTTAGATATGTGGCTACTAAGCTAGACATTTATAATTTGTGTCAGCTGTTTATATATCCCCATGGCCTTCAGTCCCTAGAAAAACTTCTTTTGGTGTTAGTGATATGTCCTGGGCCTTGGACTTTTATATGTTTATATATACTTACATACTATCAAAAGTAAAGGTTAGAATTACATCCAGGCCAACAGGGTCATGGTGAACTGCTTTTTGATACATTTCAAATGTTTTCTTCCTAATGGTGATAAGCAAACCATTGAAAAAATCAATGTTAACAGTAAATCTGTTGATCTTTTAAGGTCATTGTGGAGAGATATGCATCTGAAAAAAGCCTGCCAATTTTGGATAAGATTAAGTACCTGGTTCCTGCAGATTTAACCATGAGCAATTTGGCAAGCATTATCAGGTCAGTGATAATAGTAATGGCCAACAATTATAGCTTTAACAAGGGCAGTAATTTGTTTTTGATTTTATCATTAATTTACAGTACCATTTAGCAATGGTTTAGATTTTGGGTAAAACATCTAAATTCTTAGTCTAGCAGGAAATACTGCTAACTGATCTGATAACTAACCTACAATGAATGTAGAATTACCCTATTCAAGAGTTGTGTAATGCATTTTGGGTTTTTTTAGACGTGGCACGTCAGTTGTTATCAGTGGCATGGCAAGAAACATAATATTACTTTAAGCCCTTTAGGGAGGGGGGGGGGTTGGTTAGAATGAAATTATTTGGAACTTTAGCCTCCCTAAAATATGTAATAGAGTTGTTGTACTTTGACTTCTGTGTGGAAATATTTATTTTCAATTTGCATAATTTCATATAGGAAGAGACTTCAGCTGAGTCCCACACAAGCTTTCTACCTGATGGTGAATGAACGAAACATGGTCAGCAACAGTCTGACCATCGGTGAACTTTACAGAGAAGAGAAACATGAGGATGGTTTCCTTTACATGGTGTATGCGTCGCAAGAGTCCTTTGGTTGAATGTTGCCCACTGTAAATATATTTCATATATCACTCAGCAGACATTACATAACATGTGGAGACCTGATGCTTGTGAAATTATTGGTTTCAACATTAACCTATGTGTGTCAGCATGTATGACTGGTTATATATGTAAAATATAAAAGTACCTTCATTAATGTATAGTATTTGAATTGTATACAAGATATTTTTAGTTCTGCAGTAACTCTGGGAATTTGGGGTAAAACGTAATACAAGAGGGGACAAAAATTAAATAAGTGCCTAATCATTAGCAAATGTTGTCTGAATCGTCTTCATTTTCAAGCTAGAGCAAGGTCTGAAGGTCACATCACAGAGTCGCACTTTGGTCACACTGAGGTTTACAATTTTCCATCATTGAAAAGGATATTTTATACGTAAAACATCGATGATCGCGCGTCGAATGCGATGCTAAAATTATAGAATACTGAAGCTTGATCTTTTTTATTCGCTTTTTACCACTCGGATGTCTCAAAAATGAAATATATCAGTACCAGCAAAGGGGGCCCTTTAAATGTTGTATTATAAACTAAACATTGTCGATTTGTAGTAAAATTTGTTATAAAAAAAAGCAAAAATTGGCGTTTGTTGCTTCACTGTACCAATTTAAAGTAACAATTTAAATAGTCCGATTGGACCGATTTTTTATTGGTTAAAATAACTAAAAACATAATTTTTAGTTGTTTTTAGGTTTACCAAATAGAATTGATAAAAAAAGAGATGAATCTAAGACAACCAATTTCAAATTAGTTATTTTAACAATCTGTTTTTACAGAGTTATTTATAAACTTGTATACGTACGAATTGAACACAAACTCAACGATAGACGTACATTTACGTCATTGGCTGTTTATGCGATCAACTCGTAAACTGATTATTTTTTATTTCCTTATATAACAATTTTAATTGTTAATTGACAATTTTTTATTCTATAATACAACATATACGTCAATTGCAGTTTTTGCGATCAAGTTGTCAAATCATTCTTGCTTTCTTTATAACAATTTTAAATTAATTTGCATGTAGATTTTAGGGGCTGATTGCATGGTGTCCTTTCAGGCCGGGCTGAGTTTCAGCCAAGTTTCAGCCTGGTGTGTTTAGGACACGTCAGAATTATTTTAAGACCGGGCTGAAAGTTCATCCCCGGGGCGGAGTTTGTGAAGGCTGGTACTGGTAGTAGACCTATTTTGATTCTTCGAGCGCTTTAAAATCCCGAATGACACAATAACTTGACCTTTAAGGGACTATGATTGCATCTAAAAATGAAATAATGAATTTTTCTGTCCGGATTTAAGTTTGTTTACGATTACATGACAACAGTTTTGGGCTTTCAGCCCGGGATAAAACTTCAGCACTCAATGTAATCAGGCCCTTAGGCCTTACTGCCTTAAATTTGACTTTGAAATTCAAAATATTTATACACAAAAATATCAAATCTTATTTTAAGCGTGTTTCTTTGATTGTTTTTTATTCATGAGAAAAAGATAGGATCCGATCAGTAGAACTCGAAGCGATTATAGAGCTTAAAATAAACACAAAAGTGTGATAAAAAAAGACATGAGATTGCGGGGTTCAGTTGAGTAGTTGCTAGTAGCTAATACCAGTTTAAATAATTTACCGTTTTATGGTTTGGTTGGGGGATGGAAAAGGCTTTATTTTTAAGGGTTTTGGGCCACGAAAAAATATGAAAAAAATGGAAGGGGCATTTGGAGTGCATTTGTGGTATTAAAGGTCTGTTTACACGATCCAAATTTTTCAAATTTAACTAAATTCTGATCGATGCAACCGGTTGATTGCAAAGTATAAGTGCAGCAAATCAACTAAAGCTAATGCATTATTGCTTTACCAATACAGATCACGTCCCATACGTCAGAAGTGAATTGGTTGCGACAAAATGGACCGACCGTTAGGGCAGGCACGAAAAAAGCTGCATTTTTGATTTCATGAAAGATTTATATTAATCTTCTTGTTTTGCCTTTTTTCAATTAAGAAAAATTTACATTATTTTTATAATTATTTATTTTTGGGTGTATCAGCTAACGTGGGAAAGTTTAGCAAAACAAAATATTGCATGCAATGTTTTGGATGAATATACATAGTCATGGAGCCACGTTTTGAGCTAAAATGTGGTCTACCGCAAAGTTTATGTTTCTCTAATTGCTATGTTAGGAGATGAACCGCCCTAAAGTTGTTTGATTGCCCTTCACTTGGGCGGAAAGAACCTCGTGATTGCAAACAAACACTTGTAGAAGTGAAAAACACCTTAACCAAAAACAATTATCTATAGTATATTGTTCCATAAATGGAACAGGTGATATTACAAAACAGCTGACAGGCACATGACTACAAAAGAATGCTTTTTCCGAATTGCTTATCCCAGCAGATTTTTTTCATACTGCATTCCCTTGCGGTTTATTTTATACTGTCGCAAACAAACTTTGTAAATCACAAACTGCATGTTGCTATAGACATTTTCCCTCTCTTTTATTTTACTCTCATTCATATGCCCACCACTTGGTGTAATATGGCCATCGGCAACCCAGCCAACCTTGTTTCAATTATGTTTGTGTGTGTTGTGGTGTGCTGTGTTCCTCAGTACATTGTTTTGTCGAGATCGTTGATAAAAAATAAAAGGATCGGGCATCGATAAATATCTAACCTCAAACCCTTAAGACAAGCCACATTCTCCGTCACATGACACTATTTCTGGCATTTGTGTTATTTTTAATTTTTGCCGGATGCGCGGTTAATCAATAATGCAAAAGTGAAAGCCAGTTAACTCGTGCTTTCTTTACTTTCATATTTTTGTTTCATAACTCCATGCATGGATATATATATATGATAACTTGTAAGTGTTGATGTTTGTGCTAATATTTCTCGTCAATTGTCTAGACATTTGAAGATCAGCTACTGGGTCAGCGCCGATATTGCGGGCTCATCGCGTCTAATGCTCATATTTGGCCTTAAACTTGTTTATCGGTACTTCTTCACTTGTGTCGAATCGATGGCGATGAACGTATTTAGCGATATTTACTCCGTTTTTTTCCTTCTGGAGATATAGTTGCTCAGCAACAGCATAGTTTTGGACAACTGTTCACAGTGGCATATCATGGAAATATTGGACAATTTCCACTGTGGTGTATCATAGAGATATTAGACCTATTATCTGTCATTTTTATGTAGTATATTACATATAATATTGGTTTTCTCCGAATTTCCGACGCCATCATTGCTGTCCTCTCGTAGTGACAATTCATTTTGTGAGAGATCACATTAAACCAATCAAATCATGATCAATCAGCTAATCTCGTGATCTCGAGTCTCGACACTTCAGCTTCCTCTTCTCAGCTTCGCTGCTTAATTAAATCCCGCGTTGTACCCAGAACGAGCACATTCTTATCGCTTGAGCGGAGCATTTTAACAGTGGAAGACGAAAAATGGTGCTCTTGATACTGTAAAACACTTTAAAACAGTAATGCGCGCATTGTGATTGGAAATGTAAAAACGAACACGAGTTTTTCCCTCATTTCATCTCAGTTGTGTGAGTCAACGGAAGTTGTACAGCCCACACACCCGTGGTAAGCCTAGTGTAAACAAAAAAGTCGTTTCACTTGTTCGAAGTGAAATTCTCGTGGAAAAATGAGGCCTGAGTTTTAAAACAATTGAAGCCCTTTTATCACTAAGTAAACAGGATGACACTCAATAGTCTAGAAGCTAATAATCTATATGTTATAGTAGTTTATCAAATGTTCGACTTCAACAACTGCCCAAAATTCAAAACAAAACTTCTCATCCAAATCCAAAGGCTTTCTTCAGGAGAATTAGTACGTTACTCCTTACTGAGACGGAGGCTTTTCGGTCTACAGGTCGAGAATTTGTTTTTTCGTATTTAATTAGGCAGTTATTGAATTACACTTGATGTCAACTAAATCCGACCAGTGACCACATTAATTTTTATACGCACTGGTTATGGAAGATTTAAAGAAGAAGAATTGACCAACTATTACACAACAAAGGTTAATCATTTTAAAGATATTTTTTACAAATTTTGATAATGATTTACGACTAACCACGATCACAGTTATTCACCTCTTTTCCGAGTATTACCAGTGAGGCAGTGACGTTTGGCATTTGCGTTTGTTGGCTACATTTCTATTCCACCTGCCTGCAGGTCCGTGTAATTGATCGAATATATTTTGTATAATTATGTGTCGAAGGAAATATTATGGCGAAACAGAGTGTAGAAATATACACCAGCAGTTACTGTTATTGTGAATAGTACACACACTTCAATATCAGACTTGGTTAGATCTGAATAATACAGCCATGTACCGCATATGAAACTTGGGCAAGTGCAGAATCGTGCTTTGGAGTGATCGAAAAGTGGTTATTCTATAAGCTCCCTGATCGCAACAACAGTTATCTGAAGTTTCCCCGCACGATCAAGTTACTGTTTATGCCGATCGCTGTCTGAATTCGGTCATTTATAGCCCAGGATGAGCCGATCCGACCTGCCATTTCATGCAAGAGGCTACGATGCAAATTCTGAGTCGGCAAGTTCGCCTACGGAACACGAAGCGCTGAGTCCAACAAAGGCTGATCGACCAGCAGAGTTCTCGAAAAAGCACGAAATAGACCCGTCGAAAAAGCACGTCTCCGTGTCTGTTCCCGGCGTCGTCAAGCCAAAAGCTCCTGTCAAGAAAAAGAAAGTCGCACCGACGCTTGTGAGTATACACTCATTTATTTTATGAAAAAAACCGTTCACCGCAAAAGTATAATCACCGATTAATGTCATTGACTTGATTTCATAGGACGTCAAGGACGAGATCTCGAAATGCCGTGAGAAGGGAGCAACGCGTCTCGACCTTAGCAAAGCAGGGGTACGTTTATATGTTTTGTTTTATGTTTAATTTGTAAATACGTCCGAGTTCATCTGAAGCTCTTTAAACGTGTAAATTTTCAAGCGAACGTGCACACATTTGTCATTTCAAACTGTGTTCTAGGAGTCAATTTGCTATCCTTTGTGCACAGAGGCGAGCATGCATTAAATTATTGCAAACGTGTAGAATAGAAAATGAATTTCGATTTCTGACAGCGGAAGGCAGCTCTGCTTGCTCACATTATCAAGCTTTTTTGGAAGAAATTAGCTGGTATTATAAGTAATTACAGCGGATTTTCAAGGCAGACTTTTTGGATAATTAACGTGTGGCGTGTGTGTTTATTTTTGTCTGAATTTTATGTTTGACTGTGCTGTTACTGATAAATATTTATGCAGGAATGTTTCTCCCAGCTATAGTGGTGAAACGATGCTCCCTAACCCTTCAAGATGTGTGCAATTCATGTTTTTAATTTTCGTCACAGATTCGAACTTTCTTTGATACATTTTTGTGACAAATTAGAATTTGGAATGTTCGCAAGTCTTTCTTTGTTATTACGTTTTTAAAGGCCTTTTGTCTCATTAAACTTGCACCTGTGCTATTTTATAAACTTCTTTTATGATACATGAGAGGACAACAGTGCTATGTTTTCGGATTTGTGAAGTTCTTTGGAAGACTAATGAGCATATTATTCTTTCAATATAAGCAATAGTGCAATATAGCAAATGAGAGTGCTTGCATGTTTTTTTTTTTTTTTGTTTTTTTTTTTATTATTATTTTTTCCCCTATGTACAGTTTCATCTATACCTGTTAATAAGTTTTCTATAGTAACTTGGGCTAGAGACCTACTAGAAACCTTGACAGGCTTTTCAATTTAGGCCCCTAGTTAAAGTTCAATTATATTAATCATATATGTACAATCAAATCAGCAAAATCAGCAAAATAATTTTTAGAGTACTACTATTTACAGAAAGAAGAAAGATAAAGTAAAAATTAATTATAATACCAATAGAAGATAGAATACCACAATACATTTATGTTTAGTCTACTAAGTCTAGTGCCACCCCCAGATTTGTGGAATGAAACTTAATTCAGCCCCAGTACAGTTAAAAAATATTCCCTGACTGGGAGTCTTAAAATACCAGCAGTTCCAATTGTTCTTGGGTCAATGAAGAAGACATGACAGATTTGTGCATAATGTGTAATACATGCATAATGTCTTATGTAAACAAATCATATGCAGGCTGCAGTGAAACTAGAAACATACTGAATTTAATCATCAGAAGTGTTGTTGGTTGTACCCACAAACAGGGAAACTCTGTTCAGAAATTTAATTAAAAATCATCAGAGTAAATGCAATCAGGCCGTAAAAGGCAGAGGAGGCATATTATTCCAATCCTTGCCTATTTGGCTGTTAAAGCTTTTTACATGCTACTATTGCATATGTTTAAAGGCAGACGTTTAAAGGCAGACGTTTAGGAGTTTAGAATGGGGAGAGAGAAGCAGCCAGCAGGCTAAGGAGATGCCACCATGATATTTTGTTGAGTTGTTCCTTCTTCCTAAGCCGTGTTACAAAGAAAATAGATTCGATACAAACTATTGCCAAAGGTTTTTATATCTTTCCAATGCCTTTCATCCCGGCCACCTGGGGTAAATACCCACCTTCTCAACAAAAATAAATGAAGAACTTTCGTATTTGTTGCAAGAATTATGTCCTTGACTCCTTGTAGACTATTAATATTATTGTAAAGCAAGTTCAGCTGGGAGACAAACCACAGTGTAGTAAACCACTTGCATTTATAATTTTGTTGCCAAATAGTAATTATGCAGTAACTTAAATAGTTGTGCCTGCCATCACTGCCATGTTTGAGAGAATTTAAAACTCAGGTTCAAAGATTATTTTATCAATATCACTGAGACTGCAGAATTATTTGACCTCGTGATTCAAAAAAGCAGAATTAACTGTTACATTGAAAAGGTTCAAGTGGAGATATAGATAAAGATACAGATGGTGAATTGATACTTTTAACAATTTTCTGTGATTTAATCATTCAATCTTCTTGCAATGGCAATATTCTAATCTGATATATAATTAGAAGTTTCATTAATAATGTGTATGTTTCATGTAATGTTTTATTGGCATATAACATATATGCCATGAGGATATTTTCCCTGAGACTCAATAGTTGTATATTATAAAAGATAAATTGAGGATTGAATCAAATTTTAACCCACAGTAAGAGACCACGTGCATCGTTATGCAAAATTGGAAATAAGAGTAGGAACCAGTCTGGGAATATCTAATAGTATTTATGTACAGTCTGTGATTAAACAAAGCTTTATGGCAACTGATATGTACACACTAGGTAGTAGTTTGGCTTGTAGTTTTTCGCCCCATTTTTTTTATTAAATTGCCTCAGATGCACAGAAGCTTGTTATCTAAAAGTTAATTAAAGTAATCACAATATAAGTATATGGAAAAGAGTGCAATTGCTTTGTCACCTTGGACTGTGGAAGCTGAGAATTAAAAATTAGACAGACTGGTTGGGCAAAATGTTAAAATCAAGCATTTACTTATATGCATGTAACTTAAAAGTAAACATCAACTGGCAAGGTTTTTTTCTGCTCTTTGTTGAGGTATAGTTGTTGAAATATCATAGCAAGAAGTGATGTACAACATACACTTTAAATTAAAAACTAGTCTGAAGGGAAAATTTGTTTTCAGTTGGAATTTGGAAAACTGGCACTTCGAAATCATGTGATTTAATTTTATTTTGCAACTCAAGAACTAAAATATATACATTTGCTTGCTGTCTTTTGACAAGTTATACTGTTATAGTACTTTGACATTGTACAAGTGCATTGGCATTGCAGCCCGATTTTTTTCTTTCTTTCTTTAACCATTTAACCCTTATCTCTAGCTGACATGTACCTAATATTGACTCATTCACTACTTTGACAAGAATATTCGTTTGCACAATAAATGAAAAGTGATAAAATTTTTTCTAGAAGAGGCGAAAAGAATGCGTCAATCATATTTTTCGCTGAAGAATTAATCTTATATAAGACGTAGTTTCTGGTTAAACCCCTTTAGTGACCGTTTCGCGAGATGAAAAAGGCTGTTCAATCCTTGGTAAAAAAGCGTGTTTTGAAGGCTGTCTTTTGAAATACTTCGAATAGGAACAAATTTTCCAAAATGGTGAAATAAAAAACAAAATTGATTGTGGAGTGCGGTGTTCCGCAAGGATCAATATTGGTTCCCATCCTCGGCTATTCACTGTTAAAATGAGATTAAATCGGAACTTACACATAAACATGCAGCAGAATTGATTGTAAATGAACTGAAGCCTATGGATGGACATGCATGGGAAGATATATTTCAGTTTATTGACATTAAAGGACACAAATCAATTCCTGAAAATGTCTAACAGTGAGACATTTTTTTCGTGGCCTTTCGCCATTCGTCTGAATAAATGTTTGTGGAATGGAATCGGCTTTTATATGATTGAATCAAACGTTTTTTTGCATGCACCCGAATGCTTTTGCAGGGATGAAGAGAAATTTTATAAATTTAATGTTTGTTGCTGTTTAGATTCATAGTCTTCCAAAAGATATTAAAGAGGTACATGCTGGTTGACTAATATTTACTGTGTTTTCTTTTGGCTTCAATGTTAGTTGAAAACGTAACTGAAATGATAAGCTTTCGTCTACCTTTTTCTTGGTCTAGTTAAAACAACTTACAGAGCTGTTTGTTTATGGCAACAAGCTAGCATCACTTCCAACCGAGATTGGGACGTTAAGTAACCTAAATATGTTGGCTCTCAACGAGAATAGCTTGACCACATTGCCAGGTAAATGCATTCTTTTGACGTGGTCTTTTGATATCATGGAAGCTCTAATGTCAGTCTGATAAAACTGTTTGATATGCACGTGTAATTTTTAGATAACCTCGTCAACCTGTGCTGTCTAAAAGTTCTGGACTTGCGACATAATAAACTCAAAGAGGTGAGTGGAAGAATCTTGTAATTCGGCCGCAATTATTGAAAAGATGGCGTATATATAAATGAATTTTGCAGTCAGAAATTGTCAGTTACAGAAGCAAATAGAGTCACTCATGAAGCAAGATATAAAAAGGGTTTACTTCACTCGTTTAGTTTCTCTAATCGTTTTGGCAATTTTTTTTTTTACAATGAAATGGTTTATAAACCGATTCCATGCAGTTATATAAGAGATGATATAAGAGCATCCTTTTTTTATTAAAGCTTTGACGAATTTAAAGATCGACTCACGATCCTATGATATCAAATACCCGCGTGTTTAATCCTAAAATTATTTTTTTTTACAGATCCCAAGTGTGGTGTATGAGTTAACATCATTGACCGTTCTTTATCTTCGTTTTAATCGCATCACTTACGTCGATTCGGCAATCTCGAACTTGCGGGTAAGTTATATACACCTTGAAACTTGACTTTAATTTGCTGCGAACTTTTTTATTAATTTTTATAAAGTCTAAAAATTTCGTCGATTATCTTATAACTGCACTAATAAACTCTATTGTCGGCTTGTCCAACATTTTCGAAGAACAAAATCACGACTGAGTAAACCCAAGCTGCATGTGGGTAATTCAAAACCAGAAAATAATGATTGCCATTTTTATGTTACTCTCAAATCTGCTCTCAAAAGTCTGCATGTATCGAGAGTTATACAAAATTATCTTTGACGGAGGTTTAATAAAGCATCAATATACTACATCCTAATTATACTATATACAGTAGTTGCTGCCGCCATCTGTTCAACATTCACAACACACTTGTTTTGTCTGAATTAAAAATATTCTCGTATTTGAGAGGTGGTTGGGTGATATTGTTTTATCTGTTTTGGCGGGAAAACTATCAAAGCCATGCAGGTATGCATTCGCTTCATAACTCGGCCATAAGTGTTTTTCCATGCAACACGCTATTTAAATATTTTCCCAATCCAGAAAAAATTAACGTGACAACCTAAATCATTCAAGGTCTTTACATAGCGTGTCGTAGCATCTTGGGTTCGAGGTTGTGTGTTCCTATTAGGAAGACATGCGTCTTGTTAGAAGGATGTATCGATGTTGGGAAATATTTATGTTAGCGCATGAGATACATGCACGTATATCTTTGTTGATTGAAGAGGTGTTTTATTTTAGATGTATATTATCAGACAAATTCCTGCATTTTAAGCATATCTTTTTTCCCCGTATTAATCCGAAGTATATATATACTGCATTTCAGCTGTTAAGTTTATGTCGTATGAATATCTTGACCGCTTCCGTCCGCAATAGCGGTATTTTCCAAAAGAACAGGATCGAATTAAGACTCGAATTTAAAGCGATAATCGTCATACACCATGAAAACGCCACTCTTAAGCTAAAGCGATCATCTTTGTAATAACTATAGCACACCATGCCGGGAATATAGCAGATGTAACTCAGAAGAACAACAATCGCGCAGGACTTTGCTAATTTCGACTGCTGAACTGACTTCAGTTTTCCAGAAGAATGCCTTATTGTAAGAAATATTTTCACATATGCGAAAGTATTGAGTGCCAAAATCGTTCCAACGTTTGAAATGATCGCTACGGTGTGAATAAATTCCGAGGGAAATTTTGCGAAGTTTAGTATTATGACCGGAATCATAAGAGCACTAGTGATGATCAATATTATCCGCTTCGTCAGATGAAGTCTATGGAGAACTGGATGTACAATACTTGCATATCTCTCGATCGTCAAGAGGAATAGAATCATGAATGATGCGCTGGTTATGACTTGAAATATCGTTTCACAGGTATAGACCAAAACGCAGGTTGCCAAGCCCAGAAGTTCGCAAACTCGAGCTAAGGTGTACAGTGGTAGAGAAACCGTCCCGACAACCAAATCGAATGTAGATTGTACCTGAATCAGGAAGTAACATGTCTTTCCCCGAAGTTGGGAACTCCGTGCAATAGCTATAACGGCAAGCCCATTTAATTGTACAATAGCGATCGTTAACAAGCAATTGGCGATACAGAAGATGATTTGGTTGATAAAATATATTTCAGAAGGGAATTGCAAGATTATGTATACACTTGTACCAAAATCCGGACAGGTTTTCAGAACTGCTGTACTGTTATTGAACTGTTGTACGGCGACCATTTTGACGTTACCGGTTTCAGAAAGCGTGAGTCGCTGTACGTATACAAGGATTCAAAATGAGCCGTTCTGGGGATTATTTAAATTTTGCAGCTGTATGCTTTCTGTTGCTCTGGAGTAAACAAAATTAAAACACGAGATACCTCTATAATAACATGTATTCTTAATTACATGTAGTGCAAAACAAACAAGTCAGCATGATCTGGAAGTTAGAATGTTCGTTTAAAGAGAATAATACATGGATGCGCGTAAATATGGGGTTTATTTCGATTGTTGAGAATCATGAAGTGTATGAGAAGATATCAAAGTTGATCATTTGTTTTACAAAATCAGCTGTGATGTCCGGTATGTGATGTCCTCATTTCTATAAACGCTGAGGTTATCGATCAAATGATGATTCTATAACACCTATATAGATCAGTGATCTAGATCGCCCGTGATAAAAAAGTTAAACTCGTTTGTGAAGAACAGATATCCTGTTTACGATAAACGGCGGAATGCATTATTTTTTACCTTGTTCTTACGTTTTAGTATCTTGATTTAGAACCTTTGAGGTACTTCATCACCTTTTTGAAAAGTTTTTCTATGTAACAATTTGTTTTGAAAGTATTCTTCGAGTATTAATATACACTATAAAATAAGGAATTCTGAAGAATTTAAAGACTGTGGTGTATAGTTAGGCTTTAGTTATTGTCTATGACTATATAAACGAAGTTTGTATAAATACATGCACGCGTCTACATTTGCAGACACCGCATGTACAAAATATATTTACGGACATTGTTTAGACTGCAGGGCTCGAAATTTTCCGTCTTTATTTAAATGGCAATCCATTCTTTATTTGATGTCTTTCCGTAATTATTGGTCGGAACAGGTATATGAATTTATATTAAAATGAACCATCCCACTGACACATATAGGCCAGACTGCCCCAGACATATATAACATTTCAGTCTGATATGAAAAAACGATTGGGCGATACAAATGAGGTTGTTTCGTATATGTAAACAATCATATTATGTAACCTGAGTAATAATAGTTCTTGCAATTTTATAATTCTTAAAATATTCGACTTGTACAATGTTCACACGCTGTCGTTTTTTTATTTGACTTTTATATTTTTTTCGCACATAAATAACAGCTGGAAGCAATCTCTATAATAAATGCCAAAGTCTGAAACTCTAGTTGCAAACAATATACGTATAAAATATATTTTAGAAATTTGAGTTTTGACCTCTCGAAAATTGAAAAGATTTTTAATTATATATAGTATTGTAAAAGTGCATGCATGGTAGAGACATCTTGAGTGTTTATCTTCGAAATCGATAACAATATGTAACGTCGTTAACAAAGTCTTATCGTCACGGTTGAAGTGAAGAATTTTTTGTTTTTGCTATTTTGAAAAAGACGTTATCACACTCCAGTAACTAAGCCTCGTGTTTTCATTTTTAGTTGATTACAAAGTTGAGTCTGCGTGAAAATAAAATTCGAGAAATTCCTTGCGAAATAGGTATGTTGTTTTGGGTTGCTATACATGTTAAATGTTTAATACTGAATTATTGAAGAATGCTCAAATTTCTTGTTAGAAAAAGTACACGATTTTTTTATTTAAGGCTATCTTATTCATCTGGTAACATTGGATGTTTCACATAATCAACTAGAGCTCATTCCACAAGGTATATACCGACAAGGAGGGAATTTCGTTTTAGACCAATCAGCGAGTTTGTTTACATTTCAGTGACCCAATCAGAATGCATACGTTTTGACTACTTTTGCAAAAAAGTGTATTATTTACCGTCTTACATGAAGTATTAAAATTCAGGCATTCTGATTGGCTTTGCCTGAAAAATGTAAACAAATATGCCGATTAGTTTAAAACGAAATTCCACCTTGTTTGAGGTACGATTTATCTTGAATTGAATTTGGAAATCGTATGGCATGATTTCCTGAGGGGCTATTGCACCATGGGAATGCTGCATGCGTGCCTACTTCCGAAAAGCATTCACAAAGGCTTCGATGGTCTAAAAAAGTATCGTGATGTTCTTTGCGCATCCATGTAACAATACTTTATACTGTTGTAGAAATTGGGAATTGTGTTAATATGACGTCACTGGATCTGCAACATAACGAGTTACTAGCGTTGCCTGATTCTCTCGGTAACCTGACCGCCCTGACGCGACTTGGTCTAAGGTATGTAGCTCAACAATCTGTCGAAAATCGCTGATTTTGTTTATTCGCAGGAGTTAGTGCATTTTCCTTTTATTTCTGTTATGGTTAGGCCCACTGTGTCTAAACAAATCCATATACTACTCGTTTTAAAGAAAATGGCTTGATTACTAATAATTAGGGCCCACTTTGACCTGGAAGTTTAAATTCCTTGTTCACCTTGCTTTACTGAAAGATCTGTCTTTTTATCACCGAGAAAAACCGTGTGTCTTCACATAACCACGGCTCAAACGTTTATATTTCAACTGTTGGTATTAAATGCCGGATTTCCTCTTAGGTACAATCAACTATCAACAATTCCTCACACATTGGCTAACTGTACATCATTGGAAGAATTTAACATTGAAGGAAATCACGTGACGGAGTTACCCGTATGTAAACCTTTCAACCGACAACTACAACAGACAGTCGATACCATTCATATAATTTCTTCTGGTGTCTTTTAGGGGAGTCTCCTGGCAAATTTCAAACAGTTAAATTCGATAACGTTGTCAAGAAATAAATTTGAAAATTTCCCTTCAGGGCCTCCGAAACAACTTGAGACTGTAACAGTAAGTTACAAATATCATGTGCTATATTTTGCTGGTTGTATTCGGTTATATATGTGTAAGCACGGTTAATAGAGATTTCGTTTGAAAAACGAAATTATATTTCATCATACAATAAATTCCAATTTCAATTATGTTTTTTGTAACATTGCAAATTCCAATGACTTTATCGTGCATACACTTACGCAAACAAAATATAAAACAAACACTTTACCATGCTGTACTGGGAGTGTTTGGTACATTCATGTGGTGTTTATAGTATTTTAAGTAGATGTTTAGTACAGTTGTAGTAGTAGATGTTAAGTAGATGTAGAGTAGACAATCGTTGTATGGTAAGTTTGTGTGGTGGTAAAATAGAGTTATGATATCGTGTTGTGTTGTCTGTTTTGTTGGGTATAATATCGAATGTGGATTTAAAATGGGAATCAATTTTCTCTAGTCGTTTAACCTGGATCATAATTCAGTGCAAAAGATCCCTTTTGGAATACTGTGCCGTGCGAAATATCTGGTAAAATTAATGTGTGAGATTATTTATCATTGCTAAAAGTATAGCGTCATTTATTGTCTCTTTCAATTCTTCTATAGTGTAAACTGAATCTTAGTAACAACCAAATTTTGGCTCTGCCTGTTGGTAAGTACTTTTGGAAGATGGTTGCTCGATTATTTGTCAGTTCGTTTGGACTTTTGTCTGAACAACACTTTTTGAATATATGTCATATGTTCGAATATAACCAAGGAGCAGCGTGACAGCGTCTTCAAACAACTTAGTGTGAAATGTGGTATAACAACTGCCTAAAATTGACTAACTCTCCTGACGAAGGCCCTCAGGTCGAAACGTCGAGAAGTGCTTTGTCTATTCTAGGCACTTGTTATACCACATTTGATGCTGAGTTATATATAATATGATAATATTTCATTGGTAATGCAGATTTTGGTACGTGGACTACGTTGGTCGAGCTCAATCTTGGTACGAACCAAGTTAGCAAGTTAAACGGTGAGAAATGTGCAAAAGTTGTTGTTTGTAAAAATGTACACATTCAAATATTTAGGTTGTTTTTTTCCAGATGATATTCATTCGTTAGTGAACCTTGAAGTTCTGAATCTCAGCAACAATTTACTCAAGGTATAATAGTTAACGAAGTTTGGATAGCTCTAGCTGGATTTGGTAGTATTTTCACTATTGTGGCTACATGTTATTCTAACTACATGTTATTAAAGAGAATCCTCGATTAAGAAGGTTATATAATAAACAACTGGCAATTTTGGTGCGATTAAAAAGAAATCACCACAGACCGCCAAACAAACCCTGTTGATTCGTAAGGTTACGTCATTGTATCATAGACTGACATGGTGACGTAACTTTACGAATCAACACTGCTTACTTAGCTGCCTGTAGAAACACAAATATCTGCATGGCGGAGCACTATCCTGCTTTCTTATAACCGGCTCTGGACAGGAAGGCTTTACAGTTTAGTGAGGTTGCCTTATTCTGAACTCAATATTTTAAGTTATAAGTAGCTGCGGTAAAATCTTGCTGTCATACATATCATTATGTAACTGCTTATTTTAGAAACTGCCTCGTGGTATCGGGGCTCTCAAAAAACTCAAGACACTCGACGTTGAAGAAAATCAACTGGAGAGTTTACCTGCAGAAATAGGTTTGTTATTTTTAAAGTTTTCATATTTAAAGCCCTTATTTAACCAGGTGATCTTATTTGTTATAGAATATCTAAGAAGTTTAGAAATTTTAAACGCTCAATCGAATCGTCTACAGACTTTGCCAAGGTCGATAGGGTATGTTCTCTTTACAAATATAACTGATAGGGAATACAAATGGCCTTTAACAATTAATTATATGATGGTTGAAAAAAAAATCTTTGATCGGCTGATTCCTAACATGTTTCTTTTACTCATAGATACCTTAACAACCTGACAAAGTTAAGTGTGGGAGAAAATGATATCACTTATTTACCTGAGGAGATAGGTAAGATGGAAATTAAAGCCCCGCTTACATTACACTCGATTTATTAGCTCGGCACGGCTAAAATGGGTACACGTGCCCATGGTAGCCTGAGCACTGATATGGCAAACAAGATGTAAATTGAAGATGTAGTTGAATTGAAGCCCCCGAACAAAATTTTCTGACCTTGTAGTTCTTTTTTTTTCATTTTTGTACTCTGCTTCATGTTCTACTTCTCCAATTTTTTGCAAGATTTTATATTACACATTTGTAATTCGGACTCATGGTTGTGATCATTTTCTTTGATCTTCTCGGCCGAAACAGTTGAGATACTGTGAACATTCTTAGCTGCAAGTGCATAAGATACTCGTCATGCCCACAATTCACATGATCATTCAACGATTTCCCTTTTTTCGTCGTTTTAGGAACGTTAGAGAGTTTAGAGCAACTGTATTTAAATGACAATGAAAACTTGCATTTTTTACCGTACGAGCTCGCTCTGTGTTCCTCGCTTCAAATCATGAGTATTGAAAACTGCCCACTTAGTCGGTATCCGCCGGAAATCGTCGTGGGAGGACCGTCAATGGTTATACAGGTAGGTGACAAAGTTAATGATCTTTAGCAGATCAGCTCAGCAGATGCAGCCAAGGAGCGAGGAGAGGTAGAGGTAAATTTTCTCGAGAATTGAGAGTTCTAAAGTTGTTATTAAAGTTGATATGACACGATGAAAGGAAGCAAATAATCACTTTTCATGAAAAAACGGCTCTCAAAATATCCTGGGCCCAGATTTTTCTACTTAAGTTCCATATATCTCGCAAATGATATACCAACACAAATACTTCAACATAAATAGATCAATATAAATACTTCACACCATTGAAAAACCAGGAAATTCCTTGTAGACCACTATATTTTTCCCGCTTCTTATTGACCTTGTATTGTGTTCCAGTACCTTCGGTTCCAGGGTCCTTACCGCGTGATGCCGAATGACCCTAACCAAGTTCCCGTCTCAGATCTGTAGGCTTGGTGCCAAGACGGAAGATCGTACACAGGACCGGCGTCCGGGTCTAGTAAATATTTGGTGTGGAAAGTTTTAATAGTTTTAGGGATTTTATCATAGTGTAACTACGAGTTTGTATACTAGTTAATGGATAACCTTTCTAGCGCCCACTGATCTTTTGCGCAGCAATCAAGGTCCCAGAATGCATCGTTCCTTCGCGGAATAGAAAATGAATCATAAACAATGAAACGATGAAAAGTCATCGGTACAGTTAGGAAAAGAATTCATAATTTTGAAGCTTGATGATTGGTTGCAAAAAAATATGAAATCTAAAAAGTATGGTCCTGTGATGTTTTTAAATTTTGTATGTTTTTTCACGTGCGGAAAGTTGATAGCTTTTCTGTGGAAATGGAGCGCCATCTAATTGAAGATGTACTGAGTTTGAAAACTTCGTAGTGCCATACTCCACTTTTTCACTATTTTGCAACGAAATGTAGTCGAAACTGTACTCCTAGTGGTCGAACCTTCAGCTAAGCTGAGATTCTATGCACGCGGCGAAATGTCCCGCGTGGTATTATACTACGCTCAGCTACTAGACATTTGTGTAATGGGGTTATTTGAAAGGCAAATTAGGGGAAAAAAGTCGCATGTGTTGAAAAACAAATGTTATTTTACTTGTCGGGCTTCTAAAGCCCCAGAAGGGAAATCACAGGTTACAAACATGTTGAAAACAGCAACTAACGTCTGTATTTTAAATGCACTCCCAATCGAGACCAAGTAAAGCATCACCATAACGCTTTCTGCAGGAGAGATACTGTCATTTACTCTCATATTCGATGAGGGTGAGTATATGCAAACTCGTGGAGCAAAGTTAATTGATAAATTGTGATAGGACTGAGCTTTTAAAATACAGAAGATACTCATAGATGATGAACAACAAAATAATCTTGCACTTTTCTAATTATTTTAATTGTAGCACGGAGAATATTGTGTATTTCCATGGTGTTGTATTAAATTCGAGGGAATTTTATCTGTATATAAAAAAACCTGCAATTTGAATAATAGTGATAGAGACTGATACTTGATTATAATAATAATGTATACAAATATGGGATTGCCCTGTCGAAAATGAGCTGAAATGATATACGATATTGGAGTGTTCTTTTCCAAATATCTGATATCTTCTTTCTTGAAGGAATTGTTGTTTACAACGTTTCGCGGGCATACGGTTGTCTTGTTCCTTTGCGTTTGCTTAGCGGTAGTTGTAATTCTCCACGGCAAATTTTCCAAAAACAGATGTTAGGTTCTTGAATAAAGACGCGTAAAGAATATTGATATATTTCTGCGAATACAGGTAAAAAAGGAAGACATCTCGTAATTTCGTATGCTGATGACCAACGAAGACAGAAGAATCGCCATCGATAAGGCCAGTAGAAAATTTGGAAGCTGTTTTAATTTGTAGGACTTCAAGAGCCCAACGCTTCTGTGTGTCAATTGCATGGGGAGGAGTTAAACGGGCTTGCAAAATAGGATTTTGAAAATATCATGAATGACAACGATATTTTGAGACATTTTACTCCAAAATCAAGTGGTCGTGTTCGTTCACGCCATATAGGGTAATGAAGAATTATTTCTTGCAGAAATTTGCAAGCAGTAAATCCACAGGATATTATTCCATTCGACCTTGCCGCGCTAGAACATGGTTGCCTTTCTCTAACATTCCCCAAATCAAGGTCTTCGCAAAGATCCATTCTGAGTGAGTCACCTGAAAACACTCACTAGCTGGATTGAAACGGAACCCTGGGTAAGTACTTTATAGGTGCATATCATTATGAACTGCCTCCAATTGCGAGGGGAGTCCAAATCGGGTAGCGGTCTTGGTTCCATATAGGTATATACATATATCCGCTATCGGATATGAACCAGAGGGACCATTTTTCAGTTAAGGCACGCCGGGTCAGCAATGTCAAAGAATGTGTCATGGCGTTGAGGCCAAAAATTCCGTTGAACCGCGCGTGTTTGGGAGGAAGTCTGGTTACTAGGATGGACATAAATATGTGGCGCTTCCCTCCTCGTCCCCAGGGCCTAGTTCCGCTGCTCTCCACACATAGGAGAGCAACGGAGCTAGGTCCTGGGGAGGAGAATGGGCGCTTGTGAGAAATTGATACGGGGTCAGAGATACGGGATACGGAAAAATTGGAGGATGAATCGAAAAGTTCAGAATTCGGGCTTCAAATTAGTACCAAATATACCCAATTAAACTATCTTTACGCATTCATACAATCTAAGACAAAGTAACCTATTTGCGCTCCATAAAACTTTTGCGTTTCATGTATAAACAAGATATACGGGCGCTTGATAGAATGCCAGTTATCGAGGTAAGAATCGTAATTATCGTATGCTTTTTGTTTTTCGTGTTTATCTTGCATTTAGCCGAAATATAAAATTTAGTGTGTCAACTTTTTGAACTTTTATGTAGAAACGGCAGCGCATGATATACCAGCATCACATAGTATAAATAAGATGTGTGTGTGCGCTTCTTGGATTCCTAATTGTCAAGGTAAGAACCCTGATATATTGTTTTTCGCGTTTTTCCTCTTCCGCAGAAAAAATATGTTGTTTAGTCGATAAATGATTCGACTTTCAGCCATATAATAAGATGTGTTGTTTATATTGGTAGCTTTAATGTTAGTGGAAAATGCTGACTTATGAAAGCTAAGAAGACACAGAACGCGTTGCTTGCAGCAGAGAAATCTGTCACTAAAAAAGAAATCCGAGGAAAACAGCAGAAAGTACAAAGGTTGAAGTTAAAGGTAGACACATTTTTGTAATGTATTATCAATAAAGTCTTTGGCATATCACGCGCAAATTCGATGACCCACGGCTTGGCTATGCACCAGTTTTATCCAAACCGAAACTTCAGAAGCAAGCATCGGCCCAGTTAAGGGATGCACGAGCTTCGCATTGAAATTTTGCCACGTCAATTGTGCCATCACACCGACTAAACAATTTCAATGATTCATTTAAAACACTGTTAAATGAACTGGAATTATTTTCGGTAGAAACGAACTGAACGGCTCCAATAACATCGTCAACAGTGAGTGAAGCGTTCTTGGCTCGACAACATTTTCAAATTTGTTTACTTTTTGACGAACTACCGCAGAGCGATATAGCTTAAGTAGCGCTGACCCGGCGTGAGGGGTGCAAATTCGCTGGGACACGGGTCTGTGATATAACATTTTACTCAAATAAAGTCGCGTGGTGGTTGTCTACTGACGCTTGCAAAAATGAACTGCATGTGCCGGCCACAACACTATTTTAAGAGGGCCAAAATGGCCCCGGTAAAATAGGCCGTGTCAGCGGCAAAATTTTGCCCCCACTCATTTTATGGGCGAAAATGGCGCCCCATACTGTGATTGGTTGCGTGATAAAAAGTAACGATGCAAGTGAAAATATGTTTTTCGTCTTCGAGATAATGAACTCTGTTGTTCATATAATTTTATGCTATACATGCAGCCATATACTGAGAGTTAACAATATCAATCGCGCACCTACATTACTCGTCGCGCATGAAGGTAAATGCTTTCGAATATGGTGGTTTCGTATTCTGCTATTTCGTATTCGTCTCATATTAGCCAATCGAATTGTGACCATATTTGAATGCTACAATTCTATTGGGATACCTGGATTGGGATAACAAGGCTCCCATACGAGAATCGGGGCTTAACATGTAACAACTAAAAATAATGCAGTAAGTATTTAATCAGTTAGTTAGAAAACCTTAATTACACATAATCATACCGAGTATACCCGAAATTTAGTACTACATGAATACCAAACAGTTTACAAAGGGGGTAAATGATATATGTCATTGCGAAATGATTAAGATATGTTTATATGATCATTTTCAAGTGAATATCAAATTGAAAAAGGGTAATCCGTTCGTCCGTGTTTGTTTATCCTATCCTTTTCGTTTGATTTCTTCCTCCAATTTCTTTTTTCTGCGCTCAAATCGATCCCTAGGCACTTTTATCTTCGTCACCCAGTAATCCTCTTCACTCAAAAGTTCTGTGAACGTTTCCAGATCATTCTCAGCGACGGCTTTTTGGATTTTTATTCTCGTCGTTGGGGTGTAATCGCCACGATATGTTAAATCAACAACAACATCTCTTATCGCCCTGTTCAGTCCTTCCCAATTTGTTTTTCCGTACGCGTTAGTCACGTCCGTTTTCGTTGCCACGCGTTTGGCTTCAGCAGTCATCTCATCGTACGTTTTTATAAATAGTTTCTTTTGTTGTTCGCGCGTTATTATGTGACTTTCAAGATTGTTATTCTATAAAAAAAAATGACGACAGGACTTCAGAAGCGCGTAAGATTCAAGGGTGAGCAGTTGACCCTTCATGACCAGGGCGCTTATATATATATAAGCGCCCTGTTCATGACTCAGTGAAAAATATTCACCTGTCTTAAAACAATGGACCTTTTCAGCTTGTATGCAACCCATTTGAAATGGTTCAAATCACGTGGTCCGAAATTGTTAAGTTTTATTGGCTTTTCCATGGTCCCAACATCTGAAATGGGTTAATTTGCATGCAAGCTGAAATGGTCAATTGACTCAACTAAATACTTTACCTTTAAATAATTCTTTGCTGCCTCTCCACTCAAACCTATTCCCTTTGAGAATGTTCTCGCGATTTCTTCTGGAATGCCACTCTGGCGTAAATCTTTGTATACTTTCGATTCCGTTTTTTGCTTGAGATCATAACCTCTGCCAAGTGTTATACCAGAATTTGACGTTGGTACATGTGCTTTACGACTGAAATATCTGCTATTTGGGTCGTCGTTACCCTCTGCGTCAAATGCCATCTGGCCTTCACTGACTTTCAGAGGATCTGTGTATCAAATACAAGCATTCTTTTTGTGGATAGCCGCTGCGCATGCGCGACTAACCACTATGTTGTTGAAAAAGTGTCTGTGAGTTTGTGGGTATACGTCTGTCGTCAGTGTTCAGCGTTCGTCGGATAAACGAATGATGACGAACGGTATGTTCGACACTACTTCCGGAAAGTTGTTTTGCCAATATGTATATACAGAAGTTCGAAGGCCAGAATAAAGCGAAAGTAACTAGGTAAGTACTTTGAAGTTTATGTATTTTTTGTGACATTTGTTATTTCAATCGCTCGTTTTTCTTCACAGACACCTCCTGTCGAATGTCAACTCGATCGTACTCCAGCTTGGTCGAATATTTCAAAGCTATTGTGTTGTACAGACGTCACAATGTATTCAATGTATTCTCAAAAGAACAGTACATCGTATTGTGGTATGTTCAAATGATGTTGTCAATTGTCTCATAATGTGTATGTGCGATTGTTACTAAAACTGTTAGATGACATGGAGGGAGATCCAGGCCCTAGGACTATAAATGATATACTAATTCGACCTGAACAGCACATGCTCATTTTTACCACGGTAACGATTTAATGTTTGATATGTATGCTGGTAAACAGTGTGTAGCTATGTCATTAAATCATTAAAAAAATTGAATCAGTTAATATTTAGAATCAGTCAATTCTAAACACAATTTTAACAAGTAGAAACAGTTTGTATGGTATTTTCAGCCAAAGTTTAAATAAAAGTTATTTATTGTTAACTGATGCCCTCAAGTTTGTGAATAGATTGGTTCCACTGATCTCAAATCAGTGATTAGATCGGTTTCAAAGGCTTTCAGATTTGAATATTGTGATGATGGTACACCAACCAGGTAAGCTGAAAAATTAGCTTGACCATGCATGGTGAGAATCGAACCCGCGACCTTTGGTTTGCTAGCCCAATGCCCTTCCAACTGAGCTAGAGCTCGATATGTCTTGAACCTAGTTTTAACTGTCTTGACCTAGTAGTTCGGTTAGAAGAGCATTGGACTAGCGAACCAAAGGTCGTGGGTTCGATTCCCACCGTGGTCAAACTAATTTTTCGGCTTACTCAGAGTAGCATAATACCATAATATTCATTTCATATATACACCCGAGTCTTATTCACTATGGTTTTCAGATTTAGAGGCTACCCACATGTACGCTATGCGTACCTATGTTTTCGATAAAAATGCACGTATGCAATAGTGTATACCAAAATATGAAATATTAAACCCACCTTCCGTACTTGGTGTTATCTCCGTCCCTGGTTCTCTCCTATAGAATTACCAGACAACAAATTTAATACTATCTTTAATTTGATAAAAACTAAAACAAAATATTGAATTATTTAGTTAAAACTAAACTGTCTAGAGACATCTTATTAATTTCAAAAGCAATTAAATTATCTCTTGAGAATTTCTTTCTTTCTTTTTCATAATCTCGTAATGGATCTCCGGGAAAGTAATGGACCGCTGAAAATTTTTCTTAGCCAATTACTGAGCTCCATTTCACCCACTTAACGCTTGCCATATAATCGCTTGCCATACAAGCGTGTTTCTATAACTGTATATAGAAACACGGGAATTTTCCCGCCGAACTTGACAAGCGAAGTAATGTAATGCGAATTTGTAATTGAATCGAATTATAACATTAGTACAAAATCTTTTTATCCAGTTATATTATAAAAGAAGATAGAAAACGTTTTCGAGCGTTTTCATTTTCGTTTTCTCGCCAAAACGGTTTCAAACAACCTCAATTTACAATAAAAGTTGAAGCTAATTTAAGATATTAAGCATATTTTTCCTTGGATCGTGTGGACAGGGCGTCAAAGTGATCAACTGGATAAAAACGATTTTGAAAACGCTTGAAAACGACGCTCGTGTGCACATAGTCTTAGTATGATATTTGACGTATACCTTACACTCGGAGTTTGGACGAGTGCTCCGACGGGTGTTTCTTTGTGCTCATATAAATCATCATCTGCGGGTGAGGATTGTTTTCTGGCATACAACACATTAGGTTATTAACAAAAATTGTAATAATAGTGCATGTGTTCTATCAAAGTATTTGTGAGTGTACGCTTTCTAAGCATTCTCGATGGAAGCTAAACGACATTGCATGCATATTCTGTGTCTCGATCAAAACTAACCACCGCAGGCATATTCTGCGCGATCAAAATTAAACGTCTGTATGCACCTTCGGTGTACTCGATCAAAACTAAAGGACTGCGCGCATATTTTGAATACTCGATCTTGAAATTTTATCTATTTTAGCAATTATATCTAGCATTAGATCTATTTTGCTATTATAAAACAAATTATGAATGTATTCACTTGTGAAATGGTAAGAATATTTCCCTCGGTTAAAAATGTAATGTTCCATTTAACTTGGCTTCGAACATTTCACCTCTCACCTCATAAAATTATTCATACTATGCACTTGATACATTCATTATTAGTATGATATTTAACGTATACCTTACACCAGGCGTTTGAACGGGTGCTCCGGCGGGTGTTTCAGTCACGCTGGGCGTCTTAACTTGCGGTTTTGGACGTCTCCACCAAAATAGACCTTTTCGTCTTAATGAAATAAACAGTATTACTCGAGCAAAGCGAGAATCTTAAATTCGGTCAGATTTTTCGCGCAAGACTTATTTTCCCGCGCGGCCAATCTTAATTTTGGCTAATCGAAGTAAATCGTAGTTGCATGTGACATATTTGTGACCGTCTTATTTGCGTTCAGCGGCTAATTGTACTTCCTGCTTCTTCGTGCTAACTTTAGCGGCTCATTCGACTTCCAGCTTCTTTGTGCTCATATAAATCATCATCTGCGGGTGAGGATTGTTTTCTGGCATACAACACATTAGGTTATTAACAAAAATTGTAATAATAGTGCATGCATGTGTTCTATCAAAGTATTTGTGAGTGCACGCTTTCTAAGCATTCTCGATGGAAGCTAAACGACATTGCATGCATATTCTGTGTCTCGATCAAAACTAACCACCGCAGGCATATTCTGCGCGATCAAAATTAAACGTCTGTATGCACCTTCGGTGTACTCGATCAAAACTAAAGGACTGCGCGCATATTTTGAATACTCGATCTTGAAATTTTATCTATTTTAGCAATTATATCTAGCATTAGATCTATTTTGCTATTATAAAACAAATTATGAATGTATTCACTTGTGAAATGGTAAGAATATTTTCCTCGGTTAAAAATGTAATGTTCCATTTAACTTGGCTTCGAACATTTCACCTCTCACCTCATAAAATTATTCATACTATGCACTTGATACATTCATTATTAGTATGATATTTAACGTATACCTTACACCAGGCGTTTGAACGGGTGCTCTGGCGGGTGTTTCAGTCACGCTGGGCGTCTTAACTTGCGGTTTTGGACGTCTTGACCAAAATAGACCTTTTCGTCTTAATGAAATAAACAGTATTACTCGAGCAAAGCGAGAATCTTAAATTCGGTCAGTTTTTTTGCCGCAAGACTTATTCTCCCACGCGGCCCGGCAATCTTAATTTTGGCCAATCGAAATAAATTGTGGTTGCATGTGACATATTTGTGACCGTCTTCATACTATTCCACTTGATACATTCTTTATTAGTATGATATTTAACGTATACCTTACACTCGGAGTTTGGACGGGTGCTCCGACGGGTGTTTCAGTCACGCTGGGCGTTTTAACTTCCGGTTTTGGACGTCTTGACCAAAATAGACCTTTTCGTCTTAATGAAATAAACAATATTCATTACTCGAGCAAAGCGAGAATCTTAAATTCGGTCAGTTTTTTTCGTGCAAGACTCATTCTCCCACGCGGCCAATCTTAATTTTGGCTAATCGAAGTAAATCGTGGTTGCATGTGACATATTTGTGACCGTCTTATTCGCGTTCAGCGGCTAATTGTACTTCCTGCTTCTTCGTGCTATAAACTTTAGCAGCTCATTCGACTTCCAGCTTCTTTGTGCTCATATAAATCATCATCTGCGGGTGAGGATTGTTTTCTGGCATACAACACATTAGGTTACTACCAAAAATTGTAATAATAGTGCATGTGTTCTATCAAAGTATTTGTGAGTGTACGCTTTCTAAGCATTCTCGATGGAACCTAAACGACATTGCATGCATATTCTGTGTCTCGATCAAAACTAACCACCGCAGGCATATTCTGCGCGATCAAAATTAAACGTCTGTATGCACCTTCGGTGTACTCGATCAAAACTAAAGGACTGCGCGCATATTTTGAATACTCGATCTTGAAGTTTTATCTATTTTAGCAATTATATCTAGCATTAGATCTATTTTGCTATTATAAAACAAATTATGAATGTATTCACTTGTGAAATAGTAAGAATATTTTCCTCGGTTAAAAATGTAATGTTCCATTTAACTTGGCTTCGAACATTTCACCTCTCACCTCATAAAATTATTCATACTATGCACTTGATACATTCATTATTAGTATGATATTTAACGTATACCTTACACCAGGCGTTTGAACGGGTGCTCTGGCGGGTGTTTCAGTCACGCTGGGCGTCTTAACTTGCGGTTTTGGACGTCTTGACCAAAATAGACCTTTTCGTCTTAATGAAATAAACAGTATTACTCGAGCAAAACGAGAATCTTAAATTCGGTCAGTTTTTTTTCGCGCAAGACTTATTCTCCCACCCGGCCAATCTTAATTTTGGCCAATCGAAATAAATCGTGGTTGCATGTGACATATTTGTGACTGTCTTATTGGCGTTCAGCGGCTAATTCAACTTCTTGCTTCTTTGTGCTCATCATCATCTGCGGGTGAGGATTTTTTTCTGGCATACGACACATTACGTTATTAACAAAAAGTGTAATAATAGTGCATGCGTTCTATCCAATTATTTGTTAATGTACGCTTTCTAAGCATTCTCGGTGGAAGCTAAACGACATTGCACGCAAATTCTGAGTCTGGATCAAAACTAACCACTGCAGGCATATTCTGGGCGATCAAAATTGAACGTCTGTATACACATTCTGGGTACTGGATCAAAACTAAACGACTGCGCGCATATTTTGAATACTCGATCTTGAGATTATATCTATTTTAGCAATTATATCTAGCATTAGATCTATTTTGCTGTTATATAAAACAAAATATGAATGTATTCATTTGTGAACTGGTAAGAATATTTTCCTCGGTTAAAAATGTAATGTTTCATTTAACTTGGCTTCGAACATTTCACCTTTCACCTCATAAAAATATTCATACTATTGCATTTGATACATTCATTATTAGTATGATATTTAACGTATACCTTACACTGGGCGTTTGAACGGGTGCTCCGACGGGTGTTTTAGTCACGCCGGGCGTCTTAACTTGCGGTTTTGGACGTCTGGACCAAAATAGACCTTTTCGTCTTAATGAAATAAACAGTATTACTCGAGCAAAGCGAAAATTTTAAATTCGGTCAGTTTTTTTCGCACAAGACGTTCAGCGGTTAAAAATTAGCATTATAAATAAATTGTAATATGAAGCTATAGGTAGACGTACTTTCAAGAAACCATGCAGTTACCTTCCAAACATGCAAATTTCCAAATATTCAACTGGGGACTAGGGTTTGGACTAGCGTTCGGACTGGCGTTCGGACGGGTGTTTTAACTATGGGCGTTCTAACTTGGGGTGTTTGACGTCTTGTCCAAAATAAACCTTTTCGTCTTAATGAAATATCATTATACATAAATTGTAATATGAAGCTATAAGTAGACGTGTTTTCAAGAAACGAGTTGCTTCCGAACATGGAAATTTCCAAATATTTAACAACTACCTTACACTTGGCGTTCGGACTGGCGTTTGAACAGGCGTTTGGACATGTGTTCTAACTTCGGATGTTGGACGTCGTGACCAAAATCGACCTTGTCGTCTTAATGAAATAAATATCATTATACATAAATTGAAATGTGAAGCTATAAGTAGGCGTGTTTTCAAGAAATCAGTTCCGAACATGCAAATTACAAAATATTCAACGTCTACCTTACACTTGGCGTTCGGACAGGCGTTCGGACAGGCGTTCGGACAGGCGTTCGGACAGGCGTTCGGACTGGCGTTCGGACAGGCGTTCGGACAGGCGTTCGGACAGGCGTTCTGACGGGTGTTCTGACGGGTGTTCTGACGCTGGGCGCTCTTATTTCGGGTGTTCGGTCGGGTGTTCGGCTTCTTGACCAAAATCGACCTTGTCGTCTTAATGAAATTAATATCATTAAACATAAATTGAAATGTGAAACTATAAGTAGGCGTGTTTTCAAGAAATCAGTTCCGAACATGCAAATTACAAAATATTCAACGTCTACCTTACACTTGGCGTTCGGACAGGCGTTCGGACGGGTGTTCTGACGCTGGGCGCTCTTATTTGGGGTGTTCGGCTTCTTGACCAAAATCGACCTTGTCGTCTTATTGAAATATATATCATTATTAATAAACGGTAATATGAATCTCTAAGTACACTTGATTTTAACAAATCATTAGTTTCTAAGCACAGATTACAAAATATTTAACATCTACCTTGCGCTAGGCGTTCGGACGCTGGGCGTTCTAACTTGGGGTGTTCGACTTCTTGACCAAGATCGACCCGCTCGTCTTTATTAGTGAAATAAATATCATTATATAAACAACCAGTAATATGAAGCTATAAGTGGATCAATTTCAAGTAACCAGTAACTTCTATAAGCACGGATTATATCTACGTCAACATCGTCTAATATTCAACAACTATACCCTACGCCAGGGGTTCAGTCGGGTTTTCTAGAGCTTGGCGTTCAAACTGGGGTGTTCGATTACTTGACCGATATAAAATATATATCATTATGAGTAAACAGTAATTAAATAGGTGTAATCAGTGTGATGATATGAAGCTCTATATATAGGTACATTCATTTGAAAGAAACGCCAACTTCTAAGCACGCGATTACGCAATACAAAATGTTGCAATGACGGCGTTTACCTTACACTAGGCGCATATATATATATATATATGTTAACTTTATTGTTAAGTTATATATGTTAAGTGTGAGCATATGATGGATAGATCTGTATATAAACAGTAAAATTTGTAAACGAGAAACAAAACAGCAAACCTTGATGTGCTTGTACTTGGTGATCTGCTAGACGAACCCCCATTCCACCAACCTTCGACAAAGTGGAGCTGACAGAAGACTGCCAAAATGAAAATCGCAATTTTAAGATCAATTCCCATCATGATTGTACCGCTGATACGACCAAAACGAGATGTCGTTTATCAACTGATTATTTCGGCGATCAACTTGATTATAGTACCCTTTTGTTCTGTTCAATGGAATGCAGATCTAAAAGGGGCGGTCTTAGACTACTTGACCAACTGCTGGGGACTGAGGATGACATGCAAGGGCAGATCCAGATTGATGCGACACCAGCGCATCTAAAACCTAAAAATATACAAAATTTGTAATAAATAAGACTAGCTTTCCTCCTTAACTCCCTGGGACCAGCTGTATAAAAGACTAGTTAACTTTAACTGTAGTTAAGGGCAGAAGCGGCCAATCAGAGTCGTGTATTTCTGAGTTAACTAGGATTTAAGTATGCAACGTGTAGTTAAATAATTTTATAGAACCGGCCCCGGTTAAAGATACCGACATTTATTATATCGACCGGTGTAATCACGCGAGGTCGCTCTAGGTGTGAACTTTCGTGAAATAGCTAGACATTAAAAAATAGGTAATAATTGACAGATGTCTGGATAAAAACGAAACATTGTTTTTTTTATTCGGGTGTTTTATATATCAACCATGTGTGTATTCATGAAATACTGACGCGAAAAATAAATGAAGCAGCCAGGGTGTCGTGTCTTTAACAATTGTTGATAATAAGTGATAACAATTTGGCACGATTCACGAGGTGCTCCTTTTTTCACCCGGTTAGCCTTGTGAAGAGGGTTAAGTCAAGGAACGTCAAGAGTTTGCGTGGACAAAGGTTTCTTAATTCAATGAAGCACGCATACTGATATTGTATATTTCCACACTTTCAGTGTATTAAATTTCAGGCAGTTTTATCTGTATATAAAAGATAGCAATCTGGCCATTTAATCCTAGCAATCTGGCCATTCTAGCCATTTAATTAACACTTATTTACTCGATACCTGTCGATGGTCGAAGTAAATAAGTTTTTATTATATACCACTTGTCAAAGAAAAACCAAACTACAAGGTAAACAACGAAATATCTATTCATAAAAAGACATAATTTCAAATGGATAAAAGCTGTTATTTCCCATGAGATAACACGTTATCTCACTCTGCAGGGAGTCGCGCTGGCGACATCAAAATTTCGTCACTCTCGCGTGATTGGCTCTCGACCAATGAAACGCTACGAACACCAAGCTTTAACAAGTGGTATATAATAATATCATTTAATATATTTTAGACCTCATTTTATTATATAAGCATGGTTTTCAAGTTTGGAAAATTACACACCAGTTTCATACAAGGGGAAGCCTCGTGACACCTTTCAAGAAAATTTTTGCAATGTTAACCAAAATGTGGAAGAAATCCGCTTTTCGTAGAAAAATTAATATGACAATTGAGTTCATTCTAGAGTCATCCTCGTACCCACGTGCTTCAGTGGAAAAACATATATATAACGTGTAGTGCTATTATATAGAGGTCAGTTGACAAAAATCGAGTGCGCGGGGGTGCTTGGCCCGCTAAACAAAACCACCTTTCTCCCAAGCTTTCAGCTGACCTCTATACAAAAGCTGAATGCATATATTTTGACATTTTGCTACTAAAGCGTCTGTGTACGAGGTGCTCCAGTGAACTTAAATAAGACTGGAACGCTAGTTCTGCGAAAAATTTGAAGCCAAGATAGCGGATCATGAAGCCTATCTTGTAGGTATGATCCACTGGTATGATCCAGTTCTCCACGCGAAAACTTCGTAGTTAAAATGGCGGCAATTATGATTTTCTTGGCGCCAGGAACAAGAACATAGAGATTATCAATAACACTAGAGGGGACATTGGTTTCGTAAACATCAGTCAAAAAAGAGAGCACATTAATAGGGGGCAAATTCAAATCCCGGATACTAAACCAAGCGCTGACTGGCTAGATTAATGCCTCTCCTTAGCAACCACGTTAGCAACGAGTAAAATTTGTAAGAGTTTAGTAAAATTTTATAATCGTTTTTAGGTCGGTTTTTGAGAAGAAACAGTGTTTTTTTGAACTGGTTTTACTACCTTAGACATTCTGAAATGATATTTTAGGGAAAAAAACATCTTCTTCCTACCAATTGTCTTTGGCTTCATAGGCTTTAACGTAGTACAGCTGACAGAATAGTGTCAGGACATAAAACTTAGCTTTAAAAACAATTTTCATCTTGGTTGCTAATACCAAAACCTGGAACGAAATTTGGTTGATTAACTTAATCAATTGGTTATATCCGAGTTTATGTCTGGTCTTTTTATACACTTGCGTGCATGGTCTTATGCATGCATGGAATGCAGGAAGAGTAAGCTCAATAACCTCAATTTATTCAAATGCTTATAATCAACAGCCGAAGAGGATGACTAGAAACTTTAGAAATAAACATCGATTGTTATCGAATTAAGAATTTAATAATTTCAGATAATTGGATACACTCATTGTGGTGGCTCGCAGCAGTAAGTCTGCATGGATCTCCGCTTTCGCTCGAAACACTAAATTCCTAACCGACTGAGGTATTGTATAGTTATGCGAATATAAATATTAAACAAATTAAGGCTCGATTTCTTATATTATGCATGCATGTATCCTTTTAATTTCTAACTAATCGAAATAACTTATTCGAACTGTGTCAACTACCCAAAATTGCATCCGACCACGTACTAACTCAATAATACTGGCGAAACCACGCATAGATCATACCAGGAAACAAACTATACATGCATATAGTGTTCCTGTTTATTCCATGGTCAGCCATGCAAACAATTAGAAACATTTAGAAGGAAGACCGCTATCATGTTAACAATGTACCCCTATCCCTATTATGCTTTCTGCACTTTTCGTAATATATAGCTTTTTTCGTCGTTGTATATAGCTATAATTTTTTTTTCTATAAACGCGTACATCTTATGTCTAGGCTTTGACAAAAAAACTACGATATATTGCATTAAAAGTTATGCCCAAGAAGCCACATCGATAAAATAGGCCTACATGCATGCTACTGCATGTATAATGAATAAAGAAAAGGCCAACATTGAATTATTATACCTGTATCTTATATATTTATATTATTTAATATCATTTACGTCTCTAAATAGGTTTAACACATCGCTACGAGCTATATACGTTAGTCTAATATATGTGAATGAGACTGTATATATCAGTGCATGGCTTTCCTCGAAATTAAGCTATATATATATATATAGTAATGTACCGATGCTTAAAACCTAATATCATTATTTTGTTGCTTCCTGTATTGGCATGTAGTTTGGAGAAATTTGGAGTGCGGTTACTTGACTTCGCATAATTATGATCATTCAACTATATAGTCTGGCTGTTTTGAATATGTCACATTATTGTAGCATTACAAAATATCAGTATCAGCCCTGACTAGATTAAATATGACCATATGAGATAACAATGCACGCAAAAAAAACAACCAGCGCGTGATGTTAACACACTGTGTATGCTTTTAGTCGACTGAATTTTATCATATCAACGCATAGATGAAGACATGCTGAAGCGGAAGACGAAATTAAATATGACTGTATGAGATAACAATGCACGCAAAAATAAACAATCCGCGTGAAGTCAACACACTGTGTATGCTTTTATAGTCGAGTTTTATTATATCAACGCATAGATGAAGACATGCTGAAGCGGAAGACGAAATTCAAGAGTGTGGGCCCCGGTGCAAGGTTGTTTTAGGAATATATAACTGAATCAGTCTGAATGAGAAATTGACACGATACATGCTGTGCTTTTATAGAAATTAAGAAATTATCTATTCATATTAGAGCTGCAAGTGTTTCAGTTTGAAATAAAATGTCCGAAGTTAAAAATAAAATATAGTTGTTGGTATATTCTGCGGTATGTGTAAGCATGGTTAATAGAGACTTCGTTTGAAAAATTGGCAAAAATCTTTGAAATTATATTTCATCATACAATAAATTGCAATTATTAACCTTGGAAATTCCAATAACTTTATCGTGCATACATTTACGAAAACAAAATATATAGAACAAAGACTTTACCAAGCTTTACTGGGAGTATTTGGTACATTCATGATTAATGTGGTGTTTACAGTATGTTAAGTAGATGTTTAGTAAGTAGAGTAGACCATTGCCGTATAAGTTTGTCTTGGGATAAATAGAGCTGTGATATCGTATTGTGTTTTGTGGAGTATGATATAGAATGAGGATTTAAAATGGGAATCAATTTTCTCTAGTCGTTTAACCTGGATCATAATTCAGTGCAAAAGATTGGAATACTGTGCCGTGCGAAATATCTGGTAAAATTGATGTTTGAGATTACTTATCATATACATACATCTAAATTGTTTCTTTCTATCCTTCTATAGTGTAAATTATAAAAAAATAAAAAATATATATATATATATATTTATATATATATATATATATATATATATATATATATATATATATATATATATATATATATATATATATATATATGTAGCCTAGTAAATATTTGTTGTGGAAAGTTTTAATAGTTTTAGGGATTTTATCATAGTGTAACTACGAGTTTGCATACTAGTTATTGGATAACCTTTCTAGCGCCCACTGATCTTTTGCGCAGCAATCAACTGTCCCAGAATGCATCGTTCCTTCGCGGAATAGAAAATGAATCATAAAGCCCCACACAGACAGGACGCGAATTGGCAACGCGGCGCGAATTTTCAACGTTTTATATTTTTCAAGAGCAAATGAATTTTAACTTATCAAAATTTTCTTGTAGATTGCACTAAAATAATAAATTTTGATTGGTCTAGCGTCCATAGATTCCAAATTTTGATCCCAGAGTTTAATTTATATGCTTCTGAAAACTGTGAAATTCGCGCCGCGTTGCCGCTTCGCGTCCGGTCTGTGTCGGCCTTAAAGAATGAAACGATGAAAATTCGTCGGTACAGTTAGGAAAAGAATTCATAATTTTGAAGCTTGACGATTGGTTGCAAAAAACATTATGAAATCTAAAAAGTATGGCCTTGTGATGCATGTTTTTAAATTTTGTATGTTTTTTCACGTGCGGAAAGTTGATAGCTTTTCTGTGGAAATGGAGCGCTATTTAGGGCCTGTTTATATGATCCCGCCTAGCCGGGACGGGACAGTTTCCGAGATCCCGCTTGTAATACAAACACTAATTAGTGTTTATATGACCACTTTTCCATCCCGCCTAGGTGGGATCCCGGCACTTCTTGCCGGGATCCCGCTTAGACGGGACGAGAAATTGCCATATAAACACTCCATCCCTCTTGGCCGGGATGATTCGCGATTAACATACATTAGGAGCATGTGTATATATTGGCATAGGAACATTGGCATTGTCGAAGGAACCTGCACTACAAAATGAACTCCATATAAACACGCCATCCCGCCTAGGCGAGTTTCCCGGCTGAGCGGGATGAAAACATCCCGTCCCGGCTAGACGGGATCATATAAACAGGCCCTTAATTGAAGATGTACTGAGTTTGAAAACTTCGTAGTGCCTATACTTCACTGCCATATTTTTTTCACTATTTTTCAACCAAGTGTAATTGAAACTGTACCCAGTGGTCGAACCTTGGGCTAAGCTGAAATTCTATGCACGCGGCGAAATTTCCCCCGTGGTTTTTTACGCTCAGCTACTAGACACTTGTCTAACGTGGTTATTTGAAAGGCAAATTAGGGGGAAATAGTCGCATGTGTTGAAAAAAAGATGTTATTTTACTTGTCGGGCTTCTAAAGCCCCAGGCGGGGAAATCACAGGTCACAAACATGTTGAAAACAGCAACTAACATCTGTATTTTAAATGCACTCCCAATCGAGTCCATGCAAGTAAAGCATTAGTTATCGAATGCGGTGGTAAAAAACTCCGCCGGGAGAGCTATATTTTCAGTGTTTTGCATGACTGTGACATTGCAGAGAGGATAAAGCCCCGTCTACACTTCAGACAATTTATTGGCACGGCACGCGGTTAAAATTGGTACCCAGGGATGAAATGAGATACTAGGGATAAAGTAAGGCTACCCGTACCCGTCGACCGAGTATCCATATAGTCTCTATAATGCTTTCTGCAGAAGAGTTACTCTCATTTACTCTCATATTCGATGATGGTGCACACTCAAGTTAATTGATACATTGTGATGGGACTGAGCTTTTAAAATACAGAGGATACTCATAGATGATGCAATGACAAAATAATCTTGCACTTCTAATTATTTCAGTGATAATTGTAGCACGAAGAATATTGTGTATTTCCATGGTGTTGTATTAAATTCGAGGAAATTTTATCTGTATATAAAAAAAATGCAATTTGAATAATAGTGATAGAGACTGATGATAATATAATAATGTATAGAATCACGGGATTGCCCTGTCAAAAATTAGCTGAAATGATTTACGATATTACAGTGTTTTTGTTTGCAACGTTTCGCGGGACGGTTGTCTTGTTCGTCTTTGCAAAGTCTTTTGAAGTTTTGCGTTTGCTTAACAGTTGTTGTAGTTCTCCTCCACGGCAAATTTTCCAAAAACAGATGTTAGGTCCTTGTATAAAGACGCGTAAAGAATATTGATATATTTCTGCAAATATAGGTAAAAAAAGGAAGACATCTCGTAATTTCTTTTGCCCTGATGCCTGAAGAACGAAGACAGAAGAATCACCATCGATAAGGCCAGTAGAAAATTTGGATGCTGTTTTAATTTGTAGGGCTTTAAGATCCCAACGCGTCGATGTATAAATTGGGAAGGGGTATGTCGTGGTCACACCGTGGTGAAATTTGAACGGGCTTGCAAAATAAGATTTTGAAAATATCAAGAATGACAACGGTATTTTGAGACATATTACACCAAAATCAAGTGCTCGTGTTCGTTCATGCCATATAGGGTGACGAAGAATAATTTGCAAGCAGTAAATCCACAGGATATATTACATTCCCTAAATCAAGGTCTTCGCAAAGATCCACTCTGAGTCAATCAGCTGAAAACACTCGTTAGCTGGACTGAAACGGAACCCTGGGTAAGCACTTTATAGGTGCATATCATAATTAACTGCCTCCAATTGCGAAGGAGCCCCGAACTGTGAGGGGAGTCCAAATCAGGTAGCGGTCTTGGTTCCATATATATAAGTATACATATATATCTGCTATCGGATATATATGAACCAGAGGGACCATTTTTCAGTTAAGGAGTACAAATTCGCTGGGATACGGATCTGTGATATTGACATTTTACTTATATATAAGGTCGCGTAGTGGTTGTCCACTGACACTTACAAAAATCAATTGCATGTGCCGGCCACAACACTATTTTAAGAGGACCAAAATGGCCCCGCTAAAATAGGATGGTGTCAGCGGCAAAATTTTGCTCCCACTTTATGGCCGAAAAAGGCGCTGTGGTTGGTTGTGTGAAAAACAGTAACGATGCATGTGAAAATATGTTTTTCGTCTTCGAGATAATGAACTCTGTTGTTCATATAATTTTCTACTATACATGCAGCCATATACAGAGAGTTAACAGTATCAATCGCGCACTTACATGCATTACTCGTCGCGGCGGTCGCGCATGAAGGTAAATACTTTCGAGTATGGTGGTTTCGTATTCTGCTATTGTCTCATATTAGCCAATGGAATTGTGGCCTTCTTTGAATACTACAATTCTATTGGCTAACAAGCAAGAAAGACGTAATTGATCGTTGGCCAAGGGGAGCGCTAGCATACCTGGGTCAGGCTCCCACACGAGAATTTGGGCTTAACAGGTAACAACTAAAAATAATGCAGTAAGTATTTAATTTTAATTAGAAAACCTAAATTACACATAATGATATATATCGAGTGTAGTAGTAGCCTACTACATGAATACCAAACAGTTTACAAGGTGTATATATGATATTATGTCATTGCTAAGTGATTAAGATATGTTTATATGATAATTTTCACACCTTCTGTACTTGGTGTTGTCTGATTCTTTTTTTTGTCCACAACTGATGTTTCCGCTCCTGGTTCTCTCCTATAGTATTAGCAGACAACAAAGTCAACAATTTTAATGCTATTTTTAATTAGTACCCTGGTATGCATTTGATAAAAACTCCCACAAAATATTATCAGTTTTGGCCCGAATGTGGTAACAATTTCCGTGCGTTAAACAAAAGTATACAAATTTGAAAACTTTGCAAGGCTATGTTTTTCGCATTTTACAACATTTTGCAACCAAACTTTGCATTTCTACTAATTTCAGTACGAAGCTAAACAACACTACAGGCATATTTTTTTCCTCGATCACTGCATGCATACATATTCCAAGTGCGCAAAATGAACCTTTTCGTCTTCATGAAATAAATATCATCATACATAAATTTTATTATGAAGATATAGGTAGACGTGTTTCCAAGAAACCGCTTGCTTCCGAACATGTAAATTACAAAATATTCAACAACTACCTTACACTTGGCGTTCGGACTCGGGTTCGGACTGGAGTTCGGACAGGGGTTCGTACTGGCGTTCGAACTCGGGTTCGGACTGGAGTTCGGACTGGCGTTCGGACTCGGGTTCGGACAGGCGTTCGGACTGGGGTTTGGACAAGCGTTCGGACTTGGGTTCGGACAGGCGTTCGGATTTGGGTTCGGACAGGCGTTCGGACTCGGGGTCGGACTGGAGTTCGGACAGGGGTTCGTACTGGCGTTCTGACTCGGGTTCGGACTGGAGTTCGGACTGGCGTTCGGACTCGGGTTCGGACAGGCGTTCGGACTCGGGTTTGGACAGACGTTCGGACTGGGGTTTGGACAAGCGTTCGGACTTGGGTTCGGACAGGCGTTCGGACTCGGGGTCGGACAGGCGTTCGGACTCGGGTTCGGACAGGCGTTCGGACTCGGGTTCGGACAGGCGTTCGGACTCGGGTTCGGACTGGCGTTCGGATAGGCGTTTGGGCGGGTATTCTGACGCTGGGCGTTCTTACTTTAGGAGTTCGGTTTCTTAACGAAAATCGACGATGTCGTCTTAATTATTGAAATAAATATCATTATAAACAACCAGTACTATGAAGCACCAATTTCAAGTAACGATGCAATAACTTCTATAAGCACAGATAACATAATATCTACATCGTTCTGCCACTAACTATAGTTAAAAGTTAACTACCTTTTTTTATACAACCGGTGCCAGGGGTTCAGTCGGGTGTTCTAGAGTTTGGCGTTCAAACTGGGCCGTTCGATATGTATATATGTATATATAGGTACACTCATTTGAGAAAACTAGGCTAACCCGTGGGCACGCGATTACATGCGCAATGCAACATGTTACAACGACGGCGTTTACCTTACAGTTACACAGCTTACACTACGCGTTCTACTGCTTGGCGTTCTAAATTGGGACCATCGTCTTCTCGAACTAGATATCGTGAAGAACAAAGTTATTATATATAATGACTTATAAGAATTTGTAAGCATATGATGGATGAGTCTGTATATAAATAGTAAAATTTGTAAACGAGAAACAAAACACAAACCTTGATGCGGGGATTTTAGTTGGGGATGTGCTATGAAGCGAACGCCAACCCCACGGGCTCCACCAACCATCAACAAAGTAGAACTGACAGAAGACTGCCAAAATGAAAATCGCAATTTTAAGATCAATTTTCATTATGATTGCACCTCTGATACAACCAAAACGAGATGTCGTTGATCAACTGATCATGTCGTTGATAAACTTGAATATACATAGTACCCTTCTGTTCTGTTCAATGGAATGCAGATCTAAAAGGGGCGGTCTTAGACTACTTGACCAACCGCTGGGGAGGATGACATGCAGGGGCAGATCCAGACTGATGCGATCCTGGCGAAGGCCTTCAAGTCGAATCATATAATTATGAGTAGAGTGCTCGATATACCGAAGCCGTATAGAGCTAATAACACGAAGATAAAAAAAAACCAATAAACTTGGTTTACTTCATATGATTTTATTCACTACAAATTTGTTTCGTACGACAAGCAGTGCTTGCCGCACTCATCATGCAGGTGAATTTAAAAATTACCTCTTGACCAAATTCGGCCTTGTCGTGTTATTGAAATATAGCCTATATATATCATTATATATAAACGGTAATATGAATCGCTAAGTATACACTTGATCATATTTAACTTTTTTTTTAAATTCACCTGATGAAATAAATACAACACTCTCCACAGTTTAGTTCAAGGCGTTCAAATAAAATATTGTTTTCGTAAAATGAAGTTGAAAATAATTGTCATTGAAAATAATTTTATGCCTATAGTTTTTCACTTCCTTTGTGATTTCACTTTCAGGTACAGTGTTTTTGTCAAAATAAAATATTTCTTCATCTTTCACTTTGACAAAAACAATCCACTTGAATTTGTCAACAAGTCACCTTCCAAGCGTGCTTGGTAGTGCGAACGCGCAAAACGCGAAGTTCAAGCCGTTTGGAAATATTTTGTCTATATTTTCGCGAGAAGCGCGTGCAAACACTGCAAAGTCGAGTAGGAAAGGTTTCAAAAGAAAAATGTCCCAGACATCAAGTAGTTCAGACAGATTCAATGATGTAAACGATTCTGCGTTCTTTGTATTCGAACCCTTTTGATAGGCAGGAAAACAATACTGGGCTTTTAGATTATTAACTAGCAGTAATCACAGATTAGTGATGTGCGTTCGGAAAGTGTGTGTTGATTTCGGTTAACGATCATTAAGGTGGCTCCCTACAGTTTTGAGAATATTGAAAACTATTGATTTAAATTGAAATTTTTGGCAGGAAATTTCTTGCTAAACGAAATAAAATTTTCCAGATATATTAACCAACATTCTAACAGTCAGAAATTCCCCATAAGCATGACGTCATTACTGTTGTTATGGTAACAATGGCGATTCAATATGGCAGACATTTTACCTTATCACGCATTTTACTCGAAAACAAGTTCGGTTACCCCAATTTTTTATTTTATAAAAAGTTTTCTTACAAAAAAATGGAAAATTTGAACGAATTAAAAAAAATTCTATAGAGCCAAAATTATTAAAAATTAAAAAACGTGATTTTTCGTTATAGAAATTTTTTGGCTCTATAGAATTTTTTTTAACTCGTTCAAATTTTCCATTTTTTTGTAAGAAAACTTTTTATAAAATAAAAAATTGGGGTAACCGAACTTGTTTTCGAGTAAAATGCGTTAATAGGTAAAATGTCGGCCATATTGAATCGCCATTGTTACCATAACAACGATAATGACGTCATGCTTATGGTCAATTTCTGACTGTTAGAATGTTGGTTAATATATCTGGGAAATTTCTTTTCCTTAGCAAGAAATCTCGTGCTAAAATTTTAAATCAAAACAATAAGTTTTCAAAATTTTTAAAAATTGTAGGGAGCCACCTTAACAAAATGTTAACATTATACCGTCACAGGCGTATGTCATTCAAAAGGTTACCCGTAGAATGAGTGATTTAACAACAGTGATGGCTTTTATGCTTTAATTAACAACAAAATTTCAAAATGAATCGAGCACATGATCTCCAGTTACTATGGCGACTAATCAGAACGAGGCAAATCTGACATCGTAAATCTCGATATGACACGGCTAGGAAGTTATTCGTCAACATCAACGAGCAAGCACGTATACTTTTTCGAGTGTGACCGCGACGTCCATTTCCAGTAGCGATAATTTTCGCGCGAAGCGACATTTTACTTTTGTTTCAGAGCTCTCAACTGCAACCATCTGGAACAAATTGCTCAAATACAAAAGAATAAAGTCGCTTCGCGTGAAAAATGTCGCTGGTGGAAAACCAGCTTTACATTCCAATGCGAGAATAGCAGGGTGTTAACGCAAGCACGCGCTAATCTGGTGGTATAATAAGATTATAGACTACGTATTAAAGATTAACATTGCTTTAGAGTTTAGTAGCAGTATAAGCCGTAAAAAAATTATAAGAAAAGCTGAACCTTGATCTTTATTTCTAACCTTGGACTATAGCATTAAGTCCATGGATAAAAATTACAATGGAGTAAATATCCCAAAGTGTAGTACATTAGAAAGTAAATATAGACAAAGTTTGCTTTAAGATTGGAATTATTCTTGCTATCTTGATCATGTCTTGCTGGTGTCACCCAGGAAACAGCAATCCAGTAGACCATCGGAGAAGATGATAGGAGGAACCGAGTGACTACCTGCCAGAAAGCATGAATAAGAGTATTATTTTGCTAAGCCATTTATATAAAATATATTCTAGACCTTATGTTGTTATATTGTCGCAAATGTCGCCTCCAAAACAGTAGTCCCGACAGGTCACAGTTAATAATATTTAATTATATAGAGAATAATACGAGTGTTGTGAATGATATCGAATGAGTGAGATATCTTTTTCAACATGAGAAGTAAATTCCATCTTTCTAAGCATCCATGTATTTTTCTGTTTTATCAAATAGTAAAAAACTAGCTTTTTTTTTAAGTTTTTTATCCCCCTTCGGTGGATCAAACCCGATAATCGCACATGTGTTTTTATCGCTTTTCAAAATGGAATTCGGATTCGTCAATAAAACACTGCATGCATGTTATATAATAAAAATGAGAAATATGCAACATCACAGTTCGCAACGTTGTCTCAATCTCACTCTCGCTCTACTCTCGTTTTTGTTACACGCTGTCTCATAAATGATCGCAATGCTATCTCTAATTAGTTATACCTCATGCACGAACCTTGAATAATATGGCCTTAAATTATGGTAATAGTGACTTTGCTTGTAATAATGTACTTATCTATTCTGTCAGTTTTCGACAATATAAACATGGTTTTCACACCAGTTTCATGCAGGGGGAAGCCCCGTGACACCTTTCAAGAAAATCTCGCCTAAATTTTTGTAATATTAACCAAAATGTGGACGAAATCCGCTTTCCATGGAAAAATAGTATGATAGATAAGTTCATTCTATAGAGTCAGCCTCGGGTGTTTCAGTGGAAAAACATATAACGTTATATTCAGCTATTATATAGAGGTCAGCTGACAAGCGCGCGGCGGTGCAGCTATGCTATTGGTTGAAACAGAAATTCAGCCAATGAAAATTATTCCTGCAAGGAGCTGCGACCTTACCCCTAGGCTAAGCCGCTTTGTTGTTAGCCACCTTTCTCCCAAGCATTCAGCTGACCTGTATACAATAGCGGAATGCAATGTTATATATTTTAGATATTATGCTACTAAAGCGACTGGGTACAAGGCTGCTAATTTCTGGCTCCAAATACCAAACATGGAAAGGAACGTAATAGACGTTCCATGCAATTGAACGGGATTCAAACGCGACAAAGATTCCCCTTTTCTGTCTCACCTGGACATGCATTGATGTGACACCAAACGCCATCAGGAAACTCAAGTGAGCCACATAAGCGAAGAGGTTTAAGGAATTCGACTTCTTTTGCACCAACAGTCCGAGGCTCAAAACATCTCTTCTGCTTTGTCGCCCCAAATATTCCCTGATACCCAACGCTGACAAAATCACCACAGGTAAGGCAAGTAGAAAATTTGGTAGCTGTTTTACTTCATAGTACTTCAAAAAACCAACGTTCCAGTAGTGCTTTTGTATGTAGGAATAGGGCAGGGGTATGTAGTGGTCACACCATGGTGAAATTTGAACAGGTTTGCAAAACAGGGTGTAGCCAAAGTATTGAAATAAGATAAATGGTAGAAATATCAAGCATGACAAGGATATTAACCTGAGACATTTCAAACCAAAATCAATTGGTTGTATTCGCTCAGCTTTTGATGTAAACAAACGGTAATGAAGAATTATTTCTTTCAGAAATTTGTAAGCAATAAATCCACAGGATGTTATGCCATTTGATCTGGCTGAAGTTCCTAGAGAGAACATAATGGCTGCTGGAAGATGATTGCCTCTCTCAACATACAACATTCCCCAAAATTGGGTCATAGAGTAGATGCTTTCTGAGTAGACAGATGAAAAAAACACACTTGCTGGGTTGAAACAGAATAGCATTGCAACCTTTTGAGCCAGTTTTGGACTATGAAATACAGTGCTTGTGAGTTTATGTAGTCCAACAGCGGCCATTGTGAATGCAACTGTGTTGATTAACATTGCAGAGAGTAAAAGGATTGACCTTTGGCTAATCTTACAAACAAGTGTTAAGGGTCTCAAGGTTACACCAAGAGTGTGAACACTCAAAGGCAGCAATGGAAAAAACGCCATATTCTGTTCATACTTGTAGCCATATTGTGCTATGTCTAGAAAGTATACAGCATCCCATTTTGAAAGCCCACCAAGTGTTGATGAGATAATTTGGTCCATGGTGGAGAGCTTGTGTGGTGATTGATAGGTGTTGTTGGGATGGCAAGAACGGTGTTCAACCGAAGTGTCATAATCAACTAACAAATTGTTTGACACACCCTAGAAAGATTATTAAAAGATGAAGTAATGCCATCAGTAACTACATAGTCAAAGGTAAGAACTTCAACCATTATTATTACTGCTAGTAATACCAGTATTTAACCTTGTATGCTGGTTGGAGAAAGATTGGAGAAAACGGGTGTGCTAAACTAACTATGTGTTAAACTTAGAATTCAAGTTTTACACTAAAATTGTCCTGATAAATGTTGGGGTGTGACATTGACTATAAACTCTAGTCTGCAGTCAGTATTCACACAAAAAATATAAGTTTACTATTAGCTTTTAAACCATGCCAAGCTTCAAATGTGGCTGTTCTCATGAGCAGATAAAAATTATCATAGAAAAATGTATGGTCTTGTAAAAACACTGCGCTAGGACGTAACTACCCTTTCAACCAGCGTTTTGTCTTGAGTGATATATTGTATTCTCAAGATATTTTGTTCATTGGGAATTCTTTCCTTCACTGTGGCCGGTCATAGCTTTTTACCTGGAATACAAGAGAAAGAATCCTTGAAATTAAAGCAATTTTAACAACTTTTTTCACTCCTATAAAGTCCACCATATTTATAAATTTTGGCACAAAACTTATCAAACGTCATGTAATACGAATTGTTATGGACACGAATGTGTCTCCACTGTTTTCTTTCTTTCAATAATTGTAAATTGTTTAGAGGTTTAAAAGCGAGACTGCGAGAGGAAGTTAAAAAGTACTTAAAACTCCATACAATATTCCTCAGAGTATTCTTACTTTCGTTTTTACCGGAAGAAAAAAAGACCATAATAAAAAATTACGCAAATTTTTTTATAAAAGGAAGCTTAAAATTCTGCTGTGGAAAGAAACGAAATTCGCATTGTCCTCCCCAACTCCCTTAAAAGCACATTTTGCGCGGCCAACGTGCGTCTTTCGATCGTCTTTGGATATTTTTATATTTTTTCGTCAATCCTTATCAATCCTTTTTGATGAAATAAGTATACTCGAAGAGAAATCATTCTTTTTGAAAAGGGGGTTGTAAACTTCATACATCCGTCGATTGTTTGGCCCCTGCGTTCGTAAAAAGCAGGTTGTTCACCGCTGAAGTTTGGAAGATTGGTAGTTGCAGTTTGTAGATATGGATAACCCTCCAAACCAGACCATATACATCAACAATCTGAATGAAAAAGTTAAGAAAGATGGTGAGTCTTTTTTATATGGAACTCAAGTCGTACATATGTAAAGCATAAGGAATAGTAAAGCAGTATGTATGTAAAAAGTGGTAAAAGGGCTTCTTTTATGAGGACTTTTGAGTAAAAGCCAAGAAGCCTGCCTAGTAATTTTTTGCTAACAATGCCGTTGCACGAAGTTATTTCAATGTTACATTTATCTGCAGGCCAGACCCATCCAGCTAGGCTTCTGAAGTGCTCAGAGGAAAGCCCCCATTATATATAAACTTAGTTTTATGTAAAAATCCAGAGGCCTACCAACCAAGAAATTTACCAGTACATCTTCTATTACTCTATCAACTCTATATATTATCTTCTTCCATGTAATATTGTGTTCTTTCTGTGTCTAGAGTTGAAGAAGTCTTTATATGCAATATTTTCACAATTTGGCAATATTCTGGATATTGTTGCAATGAAGACATTGAAAATGAGAGGACAGGCGTTTGTCGTGTTTGCAGACATTGCAAGTGCTACAAATGCTCTAAGATCAATGCAAGGATTCCCATTTTATGATAAACCTATGGTATGTAATCTTGAATTAAAACAATCAGCTACCAGTGAATGCATATGCCAAAGTATCCCATGGAGTACTGGTTATTATATGTGAAATATTGACAAATGTAACATACATGAAATATTGACAATATTGATGTAAAATATTAAACAAAACCCTGAATACGAATATTGAGGAAGCTGCTTGTATTGCAGAATTATTAATTTTGTCAATACCTGATTGAATGATTGGCTCTTTAGTTTTGCAAAGCCAGTCAAGCTTCATGAGTATTTGTTTTTTTTATGTGAGCACCATGTAGTTACAGAGTGTGGTGATTCTTTTACTTGTCATCACTTCATATTTCTTTAAAATTTTAACAGAGGATACAATATGCTAAAAGTAAGTCTGATGCAATTGCTAAGCTTCAAGGGACCTACACGCCCAGAGAAAAAAGGCCAAGAGAAAAGAAGACAGAAGAAGCAAGTATGTACAGTGTGTGGTTTTGTAAATATTTGGAAAACAATACTAACGTCAATATTTTTCACAGAAAAAGCTCCAGCCAAAAAAGCTGCTGCCAAACAACCAAATAGAGCAGCACCTCAAGTGGCTATGCAACCTAGTAAGCACTTTTTACCTGGGTTAACGAATGTCTTTTAGTATCCTAAGCACAATTAATTTACCTTGCCTTTTTTCTAGACATGATGCCTCACATGGTCCCTATGCAACAACCTGATGTACCTGCTTTACCGAACAAGATCCTATTTTTAACCCAACTACCCCAGAAACCACACAAATGATGTTGGCTATGCTGTTCAACCAGTACTGTTTTAACATTTTTACATTATACTATTTTTATATTATGTGTCAACATCTCGTATACTCACATTATTTCACTATAACTTATTGATAATTTAGGAAAAATATCTTATAATTATATCATGAAAATTTGACTTTACCCAAGTGTAAATACTGTTTATCACCGCACACAATATTGCACACAAAATTATTTCATAAACACAACATGTTAGTTAACATTAACATTTCTTTGTTCTGTTTTCTGAAATTTATGTGTTTATTCGTGTGTCATTGTTTGTTTGTTAGATTTCCTGGTTTCCGAGAAGTCCGATTAGTTCCTGGAAAATCCGACATCGCTTTCGTGGAATTTGATAACGAAATTCAAGCAGGGACAGCGAAGGATGCGCTGCAAGGTTTTAAAATCACGCCGACAAATGCAATGAAGATAACTTTCGCGAAGAAATGAAAACATTCGTACACGTTTTATACAAATATCAAGATTAATCCAACACACACAGAGTTACCTAAAGTTCATTCGTTGTCGTGGATATAATCTTGGGCGTTTTGAACTACATAGTGATACAAAATTGGGCTGGATTAAGTATCCACTGCACTGTGTTTAAAATGAAACCAGACGTTCGTCATTAGAAGCCAAACCTAGTTTACATGCTACCTTTGATTTGTACACAAACAGTAAATGAGCAATAGTCGCGCAGCAAACTATCCTGGTCAAAAAGTTAAGGTGCAAATAACAATACTGTCAATAGTTTGCAGAAGCCGTTTCGAAGTTTTCTGTAAATTCAACCATAAACTAAGACATTTTTATTGCAACTGTAAATACATTGATCATTATCTTAAATATTGCGTAAATGGTTTACTGCCTCATGTCCATTTTTCAAACAATTTTTTTTTTTTAATACTGACATTTGAATACGTACATATATCAGTATTCTTATGCCTGATGTTATTCTAATCACAAGGTTACTGAATTCTAAATATTAAACCTAAACGTTTACGCTTCTCCGAGTAAATAAAAAAGTGATAAAGTAGACAAAAACTAAGACAACTTAATAGCCATGAAAATGATGAGATAAAAGCCATAGAACGAGGCCATCATTTTTTCACCACCTGAGCAAGTGGATGTTTCATCAACGTTGCTTGGAATAGGTTGATCCATTCTACTACATGGGCACTTTGGGTCAACATAACGGAATGATGTTCCCCACATCTTATTGCATACCTCTTTGCCACTGCCGTACATCTAAAATAAATATTGTATAAATTGTCGCTTTTCAACTAGAATAGCCTGCCAAAAAGTGGATAGTCTAGTTTGGTTAGCTTTCAAAGGAAAACATATAAACAAGACTTCGCCTTTGGCTATAGGTTGAGTAGAAAGTGCATGTACTAAATAGTCGTAAAAATATACCTTTACGAGGTTTTCGTAATTTTACAAATACAACTCCCTTGAGACAAAATTAAAAGCAAAAAACTTGAAATTGCATTATTATCCGACGTTCTATATTCTCTGGGTCTAAACCTCCGATGAGATGTTCTGTAATAAGGAATCCAAATAAAATAACTTCCAGTTGCACAAAGAGTTCAGTGACGTCATGACTGAGTGATCACGAAGCCTAAACGTATACTTCAATTCAACTGGAGTGTGAAATTTAAACGCTCGGATTTCAATGTTTCAATTTTTTCTATGATTCTTATGTTTTTGTTTACCGAGGATTATATGACACAACTTCCCCCCCCGTTTACGATGAAACCACCCGTTCGCGGGTTAACTATTAGGCAACAATCTTTGTCTTTACCTCCTTAAATGTTTGACATTTAGCGTCTTTTGGACACGTGTTATCCGGAGTATCGAAGCCAATTAACCAATTTTTTATGCATGTTTCGTCATCTTTACACGCTTCATACCAAGAATCGCAGTAGTCTCCACATATAGGGACGTTTTTTATTGTAGCATTACCGGTATGCCATCTGTACAGACGAGGTTCACAAGAATAGAAACACTTCTTCAAAAAGAAATTTCTCGCATGGCTGCAAGAGAGAAAAAATATGAACCAAATCTTTGTAGCGCCGTGAACGCCGTGTAACCAAATCTTACACTTGAAAAGTTTAGGTCGTTTTGTTAAATGCTTTCTGAATTTTCATTTGAAGCCCTGGACACCATTAGGGGCCTTGGCTGCCTTTTCTCTCTCCCCCCCGTTTTTACGCCCCTGCCTTTAGGTTTGAATCCAGCCTCGTTCCCAGGCGCTTTTAATAAAATATATATATAAGAACACTACAGACTTTTACATAGATCAGTGGCTAAGCAGAGTGAGCACGCAAGGAATTAAAGCGTGTAATGTTCGTATATTTAATTTATTTAAAGCGCCTGGGAACGAGGCTGGTTTGAATCCTCGTATGCAGGGATTTTTCCTCCTTTTGTTGTTGCACTGATAATAATGCGATACTATGTATTTATTGACACCCTATATAAGGTGATAGGAGGACATTTACCAAGAACAATTCGTAGAATATTGGTGGATTTCCACACGTCAGTGTTAGGTTTTTGTTGTAACAACTGATGCTCAGCAGAAGTCAATCATTGGCGCATATGCATTACAGCCATTACTACACGCGGTGTCACGCGCGTCTATCTCTTCTATGAATACACATATACAATTTTTTATATTTGTACGGCGTATAAAGTGTTCAAAGTATAAAGGTTAATATTTTATGTAACTATGAATTTAAAATGTTGTCATGCAAAACAAGACGCCTGATCTGGCGTTAACTCCGGCGCACGTGCCAGTCTTTAATATAGAGCTTCTGAACATAAACAATACAGTTCATATTCGCATTTAGATGCCTTGCGAGTTGCGAACCTATAAATGTTCGATTGCGAAATTTAGAAGCACATCGTACTTTAAAAAGTGTAGAAGTTCAATTGTTCAAAAATGTAAATAAACCGCATGATACATTCGCTTTGTCTTACACTTTGCTTTTGGAATAGGCGCTTATACAGTTATATTAAATCTTCAATCCTGTGCAAACTACGACGTGTCAACGCGCCCATACACGACTACATCATCTTATTAAACGGCGAAATAGCAGCGATATTATTAAAATAGGAACAGAATCTACATGTATTAAATATATTCTTACCCCAATTCAATCTAAACTTAATCGAACAGCATGAAAACAACGGTTTATTTGTTCCTCTTGGAGGAATTGCCGTATCATGCGAGCGAAATCGAATCGCGCATCGGAAAATTAGCCAAAGCTGTACACCACAACTCTTAGAAGATAAGACTGGGACGTAGATAAATACGGTTACATACACATTTCAAATACTAGAATGGTTCGCGCCATTTCAGACTTGCGACGACGAAAAAATAAAAAAAAAAAACAAAAAACAAAACAAAACCGAGGCGAATTTTCAACTCCGTCGCTGACGCCGGAGTAATTATGATATGCAAAATTATGATATTAAACCTCACGACCAAACGTCTTTCACTTTCATTGAAATTGTATATGGCAGACTGCTGTCATCTTTGACTTTGTGTCGAAGTTACATTTGACCACGTACGAGACTTAGTCTACTTCTATTGATTCGAACATACATCGCATATATAATATATAAAATGGTTTATAATCATACATCTTACCTTGCTAATGTTTTTACAATGTCCCCAATGAAAGCCATTATACAGCTCTCTGGTTTGCGTCTTGTGTAACGTCTGAGTAAAATTCGCGGTACAACATGTATCATTGCTCCATGCTTTGCACTCAGGATAATCTTCAGTTGCTGGAGACGATATCTTCTTGTGATAGGTCCCAGGCAAGCATTGCTCTGCCCCAGACGAAATATAAAACAGCGTCAATATGACGAATGTTTGCAACACGACTTTGGTAGACATTTTCAAATTATGCTTTATGAAACGGTTGGTTTTTAATTACAGTATAATATTCTGTCAACAATTGCTGATGTAAGATCCGATTTAGATCCGATTTAGATCCGATTTAGATTGGTACTTGGTAGAGCACAGAATCAACTATCAAGCTGAAATACTGTCAGAAAAGCGTGATCGAAACTTAAGACTATAAGTACAAATGGTATAACCGTGTGCGTGGCATGCAATACTGCATCGTTGTAATTTGCATTTGAGTCGGCTTATATAACTTTAGACAATATGCATACATCACACAATACGAATTTGAATTAGAGCCATGCACTCAATCAAGCTGTCATATAAATTTTTACACAGCATTGTAATCACATGTTTCATTTGTACTTAAAAGTAGCAAGATTGAAGTACGGTACCCTCGGGCTTTGGTGCTACCTTTCGGCTTTCGCTTAACTGTTGACCAGCTTATTCGCAATTGCTGCATAGAACGGTTGGATGCCGTTGGATCACTTGGATGGTTGCCAGTGGCGTGGCTAAAACGATAATTGGGGGGTGTTTATTCAGATATTCAGTTCTGCATGCCATCCCGCCAGATTTTATTTGTAAATGTTTTTAATTTAATTTGTAAATTCGTCGGTTTATTCTAACCAAATGGCCAGTCTGTCACACGGTTGAATTGTGTTGTAGCACACCATGGTTCACAAAAACTGTTGTGTAGTGTAATTCCAGTCTTCATTTTAATAAGTGAGAACAACTTGTGCGTTGTCGTAATATTGTGACAGATAATAATGTCACACGTGTAAGAGGCTAAGAGCTTACCTAATACCTACCTCTGCATGATAGCGTTATACCATACTTTAATACAAATTTCGAAAAAAATATGATTTACGTAATTTTATAAGGTCCAATTGTACAGTTGGACCTTCCAAAAATAACTTAGTTTTGAAAAAGATATCTCGAACCGAATTTTGTGTCTGAACTCCAATGTTGGACCTGTGCGCCGATTTCTGGTTATAATTTAAATACTTTACGCCAATTATTGTGGGCCGCTCGTGCTCGCATAATTCATGTTCACAATGCGCAGGCGCAACACATATTAAAGATTATTAGTTTATTTTTGCCTAGCTGTAAAACTCTGAAGATCCAAATTGAGTCAGTCCAAATAACAAAACCGCGTGGAGCTACAGGTTCAACTTGAAATGGCTACAAACACAGTAAAACATGAAACACAATCCAAAGATCTACAGGATTGCAGTCTTTGTCTTTTTTCTTCAAAATTGTAGGCTGATATTAATTTGAACCAACCTATTGCCATATGCATATGGACGGGAAGGCAGGTAAATGATTTCATCAAAATAACCTGATTTACAAGTAAAAATTACCCAATTAGTGCATATGAAGAGAAAGATTCAAGCTCCATTCAGTATACTGCACTTATTTAATGGCACGGCTAAAATTGGTTCCCTTACCCAGTTTTATCAGTGTTCAGGCTACCCCAACACAAAGGCGAGCACGAATGAAATTAGACGGGTACCCGTTTTAGCTAGCCGTGCCGTGCCTACAAATTGAATGTAACATTAAAGCCCTGTTTACACTACACAGGATTTATTGGCACGGTACGGCTAAAATGGGTTCCGTGCCCATTTCATCCGTGCTCGGCCATTGTTTTGATAGCCTGAATACTTTGGTAGCCCAATTAGGCACGGGTACCAATTTTAGCCGTGCCGTGCCATAAAATGGAGTGTAGTGTAAACTGGGCTTAAATCAACCCTAAGCCGGTCACATGTGGTGGCTTTATACGTGGTAAAGTACCATGAATGCTAATTAGGATGGCACATTATACAATTTGTCACGTTCATTAGAATTCTTTATATAATGTTTCAACCTAAACGCTCTAGCAATATTTTCACAGTGTACCGGGACAAAAGAAATTCCATAGTCTAGCTCAGAAAAGATCAGTCCCGCTTATGTTCAGTAATTCTTTTTCACTTGATGCGGGCAGGTAACCCAAGATCCTCATGACCTCAGCGCACTGATCCTGCACTTCATTCACCAACTTGAAAGGAAATTTCCTTCTCCACTCGCTAACCGAAGCCGTAGAATTTCGCGACGTCGAATATACGTCGTCGCTGTCCCACGCAAACTCCGTATTTCGTTTCAACCACTCTCTGACCACCTCCGACTCTTCGATTCTGGCAAACCGCGAGATTTTCTTGTAAATTTCCAGCGGACGCATCGCGGCGTCTTCGTATCGTAGCAACATGTAATGTTCCGAGCCTGCTTGTTTCCCGTACTTCAGGTCACTTTCTATTCGACTGCATAAATTTGCCGAAGCGATGCGCACTGACCTTCGCAAAGCGTTCGTAAGATTTTGATTGTCGCGTATCGGGACCTTAACCTTGTTTAATTTTTCGCCAATGTATACGTGAAGTCTCGAATTTATAATCGCCCTGGGGTCTCGAACAAGATGGATGGCATTCAGTTGGAAAGATCGTGAAGAGCTAGGAAGTAAGTTCAAAAGTCTTCCTGGTGCCTGTTCTGATGCTTTTCACAACTATGTGTTCTTTCGAGTTGCATAAACGGCTCAAAATCGTTCGATTTAATGGTTTACACTCAAGCATCGTAAGACGACGCTTTGCGTCAATTTTGCATAAATTTGGATTCGTTAGAACCTCGCTTTTCAATCTGAACGACGATCTAGATAGGAATTCCGTTACAAGCGGATGTTTTTCAAAGGAACATGTATAAATCACCTCCCATAAATGGCGAACTAGCATGTCGTAAAGTAGCGGGAATTTGCCCTGACCGGCAATGTCTTGCAAAGGGTATATCGGCTCGAATAGGTAAAATACCCGGGGATTCCTGTTGAACATTTCCCCGACGAACGAAGAGCCGGATCGCCGGTATGCAAGAATAATCACTTTAGCACCTTTTGAATTGTCGTCGTTTTTTTTCTTCTTGCTGATGTTGTTTTTGTTGCTGTTATCAGTGTCTTTTATACGTCCTAACCTATTTACGCCTTCACCATCTCGATGCTTTCTTGACTTTTGTGTACGAAGTGATGGATCCGTTTCGATGAAGTTCCTTGGTTGGTTTTGATCGTCAGCCTCGTAAAATTGTCTTTCATAAGAGAAAACACTTTCTCGAACTGACTGTCGGGTTCGAAAATTCCCATCGTCAGTTTGCCCCGACCGGAATTGTGGATTCGCTTCTCGACGCCCTCGCCCTTTCAGTGAAAACTTGTTTACATGCCTCCTTGATCCGGCATAGTCCGGTAACAAGAAGTATTTTGACTTATCCAGCTTATCTTCGTCGTAGCCAATTGGAATCATCCCTGCTTCTGCAAGCTCGTTCAAAATTTCACTCGTTTGGCCAAGCTGTTTATAAATTGTGAAAAGGACATGTAGCGCCAGCAGAGCGAGGAATGTTGTTAGTCCCCAACGAAACCAAAACATCTTCTTCAAAATATTAATCTCCTTCATTTTTCTCCGTATGTTGTTAAGACTTTAGTCAAAATGTCAGTGTCGTTTTTAGCCGCCCACAAATCGTATAGATATTTTGCATATATAACTGTTAGGGCGTACTTTTTATTCTTCAAAGCAACAGCTCTTTAATGACGGAATTAAAAGCCACAATTTTCCTACTAAAAGATAGTAATACGTCTTGGGAATCAGTGTGATACGATGAGACGTCTCCTCAACCTTAAAAGTTAACAGCTTTCTATTGTTCCATCGATTGAAAAGTGTGAACTAGCTTTTAATTAAATCATTATGATACCAGCAACCAACAAGATACACCTCGAGACATTGATTAAGCTGTTGGAGATTCAACTTTTGGACAATGATAACACGCGTAGATTTATGTAGAAGCTTTAGGCATTTCCATAGAAATGAGCACAAAATTCTAATTAGACGGAGGTTTTGCTTGGCGAAGTCTTGTCTTCTTCGCTTTCTGACAGGTTAAATATAGATGCTTTCGACTTTCTTTTCTTCACATCAATCACGAGGACAACCAATGTATAGTTCCAAAATATTTTTTTAGGATAACAAAATCACTGGTTCAAAGTAAAAAAGGCGGTAAGGCGACTGCGCACTACTGAAGATAGTGCATAAAGAACTTGTCGACTTGTCGTCATTTGATGTGAACTAGCTTCGGCCAAATGTCGTCCACAATTATTTATAATCGATGTTAAAACTTAACCAAAACAAAAGCCAGCTGTCACCAGTCGAGTTAACAGGTCCGGACATTGTTCTTTCCTTTTTTCAAAAAACAAATGTTAAACTACATTTGTTAAGCTACATCGGTTTTAATGTTTTAATGCTTTCACAGCAAATGTTTTCTGCAGTGTCAAATTGAAGTCTGAAACAGTTGAGAAAAATGTGTCAACTATCGGTCCTCCGGCAGGAATGGAATTCATACTCCTTTGCGATGCCGGTGATTGAATATTAGATGTGTATGATTTTCACTCGAAATTAAGACCTTAATGCCCTTAACAGATCCTATATCGAATGAAGTGCTACGAAATCGTAAATATTTATATTATTTACGATTATGCTAACATAATTTAGTAATTATGTATCATTTAATTGTTGGATTTCCGTCCAACTTATCCACCTGTTTTTGGGCGGAAAGCCCTAGACCGGGAACTGATCCGGACGAGCTGTGAACGGATTCACATCAGACGAGTTTTCCGTCTTCGATGAGTCTTCCTTCTAAGACGAGTTTCCCCTCTCTAATATGAATTCGGCTAATTTTTTTGTTAGCCAGAGCGAGGGCAATTTGAGGTTTAATTAAAAGTCGGAAATTTTTACCATGTCCATTGGGCAAAACTTTTGCTTCCCAGTCCCCCCCCCCGATTTTCGATTTTTCCGAATAAATATCAACTAGAGTTTATGTTCAAAATAATGTTCAACAATAAACACATTCGATCTCTCTCCGTCACATTGTTATAAGCAAAATTGATGCACAGAATTAACTTGACTCCTCTTTCTGTTGCAATTTTAACGCGTAGTGTTGTAAAAAACACAAAAATTTAAATTGCTGTTTAAACTTTAAACTATCGCAATATGCAAAACTATACCGGCAATAGTCGAGAAATGATACTGTGATAACTTCGCAAGGTCTTGGAAATTAGACGACTTGCGCCTAAGACTAATTTCTTACCCCGGCAATAAAAAGGACATTTTCTGAAAGAGCATATTAAAAGTAAAACTGCCATGTCTGGCTGGGAATTGTTGTAAATTATGGAAAATGTAGCAATGCGAACTAAATTAGTAACTAAATTAGTTACACATTTCCGCGCGTAATACAAAAGTATTCAAAATTTGCTAACTTCGCATTGCTATATTTGCCGCAATTTATAGAATTTCGCGGCCAAACTTTGCATTTGCAATAATTTAAGTACGCTCTTTATAGCTCTCGCGGTTTATTTCCTTCTTGTTACTTCTATCAAAAATGAGTCTAAAGCGCAAGTCGTCCATTGTGATTTGTTTTCCTGGAATAGGAAACGACCTCTTCCGGTTGGTTATTCAGATTTCAAAACTACCACTATTTTGCATATGTGAACATAATTTATAGGTTTATGGCGGCGGTGTTGTTTCTTTGTTTTTGGTTTCACTTGTTGGTTTAAATGTTGCCCCAAGGAGAAAGAACTTGCTTTAGTACATTTGTCTATGGCCTGCCTGTTTTACTAGCTATATTGCCCGCAGCGACAAGCAATGGTATGTACATAATATTATATACAGTCATCATATCATTACGCTCGATCGTCTAGCGTATTGAAGTTTGTTGTGTTGGTATTGGGTTCTGTTCACTAAATATGTTGTAACAGAATGCAGTCATTCGGAGAATTATAGAGAGGTACCGCAGTTAATATCGATCAGCCCTGCTCATTTGCCCTGCTAGTTGTATATATGCAGTTGTTTTTAAAATAAGAAGGATTGCATGTTGACAAGTAGCTATAAACCGGGACTAAGCATTTATTGTATAATAAATATTTACAAATAGAAGTGTGTTTCGGGCCTTCTTGTTTTGAAAGCCTAGCTGGAAGTCATATGAATATGTAAGTTATAGGCGGAATCACAGCAAGTTTCAGTCTACTCTTTGTATCAAAGGTCCAGATTTAATAAATTATAATTATAGGGCTGTTTCTTTGTATGTGATCTTGGGCTTCCATTCAAAATTTCAAAAATTTCCAATGCACAGCCCAGGGATATAATTAAACAGGGAATTATAAAAATGCAACCAGAAAGTGTGCCTTTTTTTCATCACTTGGAACTGATTTAATAATAGTTACCAAATTTATACCAGGAGAGGTCAGGAGAGGGCAGTCTAACTAGATTTGAACAACTTTGGTTAAAAATATTGCAATTATATGGTCTGGTCATAATATGCAGGGAAAAAACAGCCGGTTGCCCAGGGTAGTGTGCAAATTGTATTCATGAGTGCAAGATCCCAAAAATGTTGAAATCTTGCAGTGCATGATTTCCAAATGGAAAGTAATGCTAATAACGGTCTGTCTATTTATGATAGCTGCCAATTGGTCACTTAAAAAGCAGTTATTAAGATGGCCTATGCATGTATGCAGACAAATTGATTGCTTCCCCATTCCTGGATAGGTCATTCAACCCTTTTAAATGGCAAGACAAGCAAAAGTGCTTCCTTACAAATGGAACAATTGGCATTTGGGCATATGTGCTAGAATAATTAATTGTTGACTCAAAATTTACAACTGAAAATCTGAAGAGGTCACCAATATTTTTGCCTGTTTGAAATAATTCAAATAAATCATTAAGTTAGGGCTCATACTGTTTGGTATTCAAACACATGCAGTTGGTAGAATTTATAATTATTGGTTTAAATGCCAGTTTGCACTGCAGTATAAGCCTTATATTTTATTTTCAAGTAGCTGAACATTCCTGTACATATTCTTTGAAATGAAGAATTATTTTTTATGTATGTGTTAAAGAGCCAATGATTTGCGCACCTTTTATTAGAATAAAACTTACAATGTCGAAGTTGAAAATAATGATGTTGTGACTAATTATTGAAAGGGTATATTGTTGGAATGTTGAGATATATAAATTCTCAGTTCGCGGATCACAGACGCTTATGCAAAAACACTTCTCGGACTTGATTAGTCGTATTTCATTTATTTACTGCGAAACGCATTTAACAAAGGCAACATAAACAATATTCTTATATTACGTAGGACCTACTACTATTGCAAATTAGTGAAGAAAATCTTTTGTAAATAAAGTTTTGTATAGCTCCATAACGTGCTGTCCCATATGTTCGTCATTTCTTTCCTTGTCCATCGTTATCGGAGTTCTTGTCTGCAGATGACTGAGTTCTAGAAGCAAATGAGTCTTTGGGAATGTTTCCATCTTCGTAATGCTTTGACTGAGTGCTCATGATACAAGATTTGTCGTCTTGACTGACGTGGGTTTTCGATGATCGTCCGCCGTCCATTTTAGATTTAACTTCACTGAATATTCAAAATAATAGAACTGAATAAGTTAAACTAATTTTATCTCATAGTTATGCGGTATCGGCTATTTTTGTTGTCTAGTGAATTCAAACCAGTGTGAGAAATAGTTTAGTTGAAAGTGTCTTCAGGTGTTGATATCTTAATTTTTGTGAATGGCCATAAGCTGATAGGACAAGAAATTTTAAATTTATCCATGCAGCATCGCAAGCATGTAATTTTAGAGGTTGAAAACGGGTCTTAATTTCGAGTGTAATTTTACATATACTTTACTCTTCACTCACTTCAGCTACATTTACTAGACGACGTGTTATCGCCGTTGACGTTGTCTTCATCGTTAGCCTCAGTTGTAATTTTTTCAAATTTCTTCTCAAAACGGCTCTGCTTTGGCGAGGTCGACTGTTACAAGGTATAAGGGCCTAATTCCACGGGCGCTTTCTCTCGTCTCTTTTATTTGAATTTCGACTACTTGAATAAATTAATTCTGCTTCATTGCTCACAATTCAAAAGCAGCAGTATTTCGCTTGAAAATTTAGCCCGTGGAATTAGCGCTTAAGTAATGTGTCGGGTTCTTATGCGATGCGGGTATTTAAATAACTTTATAAAATAACATGAATATAACGCGTGTTCTGATTAGTCGAAGCCCGTGTTTTTGGATCAGGCCATCCAAACACGGAAACCATTAATTAATTGTATATTGCCATTGGGAAATACCCGATGAATGAAGCAGAGGGAATTCCCGGCATAACATTGTCATAACATTGCTATTTTACTACGTATACAATTAATCTTTTCTTACCTAATTTAGTTCGAAATATTTCGAATATTGTATTTTTAAAGCTCAGCTAAGTTCTTCTCTTTTAATATATGTCTTGTGGTAAAGTAGCAGTGTTATATTATAACAGTGCATCTTGACCGCAAAACCTTGCTTGAATACTAATATTTGCCTTAGTGGGGTAATCACTTCCTGAAAATTTCGTTCCATGAAGCAACTTTCATTTTTTACTTTCATGTTGTTGAAACTATACTCGTTCAGCTCCCCCCGTAATATTATTAAGAAATAGTTTATTTGTTTCTCTTCCTACATGCCGGACTTAGAGAACAGGGGGAGGTGTTAGCCTGTTAGCATGCATTACTCTGCTTTTGCACGTGTACGCGCACGTGTACACAGGTGATTCTAGAAAAAAAAACAGTCGATTCATGGAAAATGGGAATTTTCCCGTGGGAGTTACCCGATTGCAATATATATATAGAGCATGAATTTTGAAAATTGAGCAAGATTGATTTTGGCTTCAATTGGGTTGCTGTTTTGTCGAATTGCAAGAACTTTCTAAATCTTAAAAAGAATTTACGTATAAGGTAAGCAAGCAGCCTTATAAACTTGTGACATTTCCTGTAAGTGGAAGACGGAAGACGTAAAATATTTTATATGCTGGCCCGTTAGGTTTACGTTTAACTCTAATGTATTTTGTTCACGAAGTATTTGGACACATGCAAAATGTTACACCCGGATCTTGCTTTCAAATGTATTTTGCTGTCATGTCAAGATGAGTGTGTAACATATCTGCTTGCAAACAGAGATATCGCGCGCAAACAAAGCAAACTATTCATCTAACGATAGGTTTAACCTCTCAATTTCGTAATATTGTGGTATAACAAGGAGAACAGCGCTTGCCAATATAGCAAATTTCTAACTGAAAATTACTGCATGTTTTAGGCTATAAATTTACTCCTATTTATGTAAAGGTCTAGTAGTTTAATCAATTTTCTCTATTTTCATTTTTTGCAATTGTGCATGTAAAGCCAGCTTTATTCAAGTTCTGTAAAATGTATAACGTCATTAGATAAAAGTGCTGAAATGACAAAATTTTAAACACGGCGATGCTGGGTTTTGTTGGTGGTTTCGGTCCATGCAATAAAAATAATTTAAATCGTCTTGCCAAAGGCTATTGTTAATTAACACTTATTTACTGCGAACGAAGGAAACGTTGTGTTTTGTGGACCCGAGACCTGTCGATATTTCACGAGGCGAAGCCGAGTCAAATTTCGATGGTCGAGGGTCCACAAAACATAATGTTTTCTGAGTTCCCAGTAAATAAGTTTTTTATTATATACCACTTGTCAAAAAAAACCAAGCTACAAGGTAAACAACGAAATATCTATTCATAAAAGACATATTTTCAAATGGATAAAAGTTTTTATTTCCCACGAGATAACACCACTGATAACACGTTATCTCACTCTGCAGGGGGTCGTGCTAGCGACATCAAAATTTCGTCACTCTCGCGTGATTCGCTCTCGACCAATGAAACGCTACGAAAACAAAACCTTGCCAAGTGGTATATAATAATATATATTAAACCAATATATAAAAAAAATAGGCCTGCTAAATTATAGATCTTCGTGTGAACAATTAGCTACTTTTAGTTTCACTTTAGTCTTTACCCATTCACGTAAAGCTTGATTTAGTTTGACTCCCCGGCCGCTGCACGAAAGAGTGCATGATTCAAGACAACTGTAAAGTTTTAAACTTTCAGGTGAACATTAATATAAGAAATGGACGGGCAGCCAAAAAATCCAGTCACTCAAGCGGACAAATCTCGCATTCAGAGCACTCAGTCAAAGCATTCTAGCGATGGGAATACTGCCAAAGGTTCGTTTCCTGCAAGGGCACAGGCTGCTGCTGATAAGCACACACACGCTGGACGCACAAACAAGTGATGAAATACCTGTAGATCACAACGAATGGAGCTATTAAAGGATCACAAAGATTATAATTCAATTGAATTTATGACTGATGTACTGATATAACCTTAATTTAACCTTAATATAACCTTATCTGCTTAATGTTGCAAAATATAATTTAGAAGTGAATATATATACATACTCTGTCAATAATTTGGAGATAAATGCATGACTGTCTGTAGTTATGCAAAATACAACCTTAGTCTGTATATTGCATGAGTCTTACTGGCGATTAAATGAATGCAAAGGATTTTTATGGCGCTGACAGTTAATTGAAAATCATAATATGATTGTATGTGATGATTTTTTTGTGCTTTTGGATGACAACCTCTATACTTCTCTTCCAACACAGTCTTGTTATTTATTAAGACTTTCATATATGTGACGATTTTCTATATACTAAACGTAACTTTACTGCAAAAAAGACCACTCTTAATTGCTGGCTTCTATATATTTTTATATCCATGTAAGTGCATAATTTTACATGTCAGATGATGACATGTTGGAAAACGAGCTACATTATGATCTTAAGTTCATTTCGCAACGCAATAAAAATCCTTTGCATAGCAACTTGCATAGCTTGGAACAGAAAAGTCCAATTTATAATCACATTTTGTTTTTATGTATCGAGTTTGTTTTGTTGTCCGCTGTAATGATATAACCAGTGTTATTTTCTAAATTCGTGTTATATACTCTATATGCACCATGCAAAATAAAAAAAATAGCTCCATACCAAATTCGTTTTTTCTGGAAACTTAAATAGCTGTTTGGCTCCAGGTCACTTGGAGGTCTGGACCCACTTTGTAGAAAACTTTTAGGGTCAAGTCATGAAGACAACTTTTATAGGGGTAATTTTGTCTGCATGTATTTGGACCATATTTCTTAGCCACTCTCTATGAGGCTAGTTCAGAGGTAAAAATATCTTTACCTATATAGATCAACGTTAATGTACATTTACAATGTGTTTTACTTCTATAGAGGAGCTTACTTTCAGCTGCATGACCATGCAGTCTATATAGTCTATATATAGAATATCCCATGTATGCAAGATGAGTGGACAGAATTAAGCACGAATCAAACGAGTCTAACTTCACGTCTAGTATAAGTGTATTTGTGTCCGAGAACGATAGTATAAATTTTATCCTTAATTCCTTACCTAAATTATGGTTATACTAAGTGTATCACAGATCCGATATGGGCTGGAAATCAGGCTTGAATCATGGAATTGTACTTTCCCAACATATATATTCAGTGCCGTGTCATATCTAACGTGTAGCGAAATGCTTAGCGAACAAATATAAGATAAACTTTATCGTAACACGTCTCGTTGTTCATGAATGACATTCTTTCTCCGCATGTTTATGGTTTGATTCTATCTTTTTATTTCCTAATAATTTTAGGGCTCTCAGCAGCAAAGATCGAGAACGTTACTATTCATAAACAAGCTCGCGTTGGGTTAATTTACTATAATGTTCCAATCGAATGGCAGTTTACACCTTTCAACCAGAGTCGTGTGCCATCTTTTCAAATATGGCTAACAAGCGACGACAAGGATTTTGGAAACAAGGTAGGTTGGTGACGTCATTTAGTGCATGTTTTTTTATTGGTGGCATTGTACCACCAGGAAACAAATAAGCATGGGGCATAGTGGAAATTTAGGAAAACAGCTAATAAAAAGGAATCGACATTTCGTTCGAAATTATGCGACTGCCGCACGCTTGAGATGATTCTTGATGAGTTAATAAGCAACGTTAACGTGGGAGGAATTTCAACATTGATGTTTCGAAAAGTAATTGTACTTTTTGCAAAGTCTACAGATATGATAAAAGAATTAAACGATGTTGGAAGGATACTGGAGAATTGTAATTCTTACTCCGTATGTTCTCCCAACATTCCCTGTCGTACATTATTGCACCATGCATAAGAGAAGCGACGCGTTTTTTCACTTTTAATAAATTCAATTCTTATATAACAATAGACATGGATTTCTGGGTTCGACCCGCTATCTTTCCTAGTCGGCTAAATTTGCAATGCAATGGTGAAAAAATAAAATGCGTTTTCAGTTAATTTGCATGTGCGGAATGCATCTGCGGAAGTTGTGAGAACAACTCACAGAGAATCAATCACTCACAGAGATTCGACAGACATTCGAAATGCCACAAAGGCGCACATAATTATAACGTCGTCTTATTCACATCGACTTCTCTGTGTAGAGGACAATTGACTCTTCGACACCCGGTGGGAACATGTTCAAATACATATTCCTACGCCTTCCACCAGACAAGAATTATACTGCTCATATCGAGTGCTACTCGTCGACGAAAAATTTGATATCTTACGCGAACATCACGTTTGGGGTAAAGCGAGAAATCCTGACTGAAGAAGGTATATGCATTAAAATCCGGTCTGTTATGAAAAAGGTCGATTTTTAGCCAGAATATTCGTGTATATTGAGAGTTATTTCCATGTTTATTTCAGTCCTATTTCGCTTATGTAGGCGTGATGTCAACAAATATCTGCGCTGCAGATGGGTATTTGTTCATCCATTGGGCAGTACCAGAGGATTTGCGGTATTCCTCTACACCTGTTTCATTCGATATGACAGTTTGTAATACGAATTCGACTCCACAAGCATGTACAAATGGAGTAAAAAATGTGTAAAGCAATATACTATTATAACGGATCCTCCTGCAGCGGTAAGAGTGCTATATTTAAAAAAGAGCGAAATATCACACCCATCATTTGTCCTTTGTACAATTACAAACCTTCTCAATTTTTATAGGTAGCATTCAGTTATATGAAGAAAACTGGAAAAAATATGTTACTGGAGAACATTCAGATGTAGATACAAGTATGGCCAGGCCCTTGCTGAAGTCTTGGGACAAACTTAGATACGTATTTGGGTGTGGTATATATTTGGAAACATGTAAAAAAGTTCGTTTCGTACAACCCCTAAAGTATTATGTGCGTACTGGCGATGGCATAGTCGGAAATCAATATGAAAAAGTAGAACTATATAAAGGTACATAGTAATGAATATTTGTTTTTATAATAATAACTCCTCGGCGTAAAATATGCAAGCGCATAGCAACGGTTTATTTACTTACAAATAAAACAAATTTAAGCGCGCCAACTAAAGGTCCCGCTCAACAACTCAAGGTCCTCAACAACTAAAGGTCCATTTGCGTTGCTCTGCTGTTACACGAAGATTGATTGGCTCGTTTGTTTTACGGAGCCAATCATATTTATTAAGGCCTTTGCATCCCCCGTTTGACGTAATTACGAGAAAGGCCTATTTCCGCTCATACGAGAGAATATTTATGGCTGAAATCTACTTGTTCACATCTATCAAAATAAATTTGTGTCTGAAATCACAAGTCATCTATACTAGTCATAAGATTAGTATTTTAGCCCAGATTTGTTTTTTTTAAGGTTTTTCATCACCTGAACTGGGCGACGACTTCGTTCATTTGATACAGACTAGAGAAAACCCAAACAGTATTACCGCTGTAATTCGTTTGCGTTTTAATATAATTTGCACACGCAATTCTGCAAGGAATTTTAGATTTATTCTGTCGACATCAGGAGAGGACATATACAAGGTTAGTTGTGTTCAAAGATTTGTGTAGTACAGGCCTCTCGGGTTTGCTCAGTACTCTCGGTATAACAGAAAACTGAGCACTAGCGTTTACCCACGGGAGTAGAAATGCTGCCTAAAAGCATTTGCAAAGCAGTTTTCGGCGTGCCAAACTCGTTCATGCAGAACTTCCCTATAGAATTATTACGGCCAATTTGTTCTCCTAAAGTATATATATATATATATATATATATATATAAATATATATATATATATATATATATATACAGCGTGTATAAAAAAACTGCAAATACCATAATTTTGTACTCACGAGATCATACATTAGAATTTTAAGAGCTGTGCAACTAGTTACGCTTTTGGGACTTGAAAATACTTTTAACTTGTTTTAAAATAACCTCCCCCCTCCGAAAAAAACCCCTAATATTATCCATTGTCCCTGTCACGATGCCGTCATGCAATGTGGCAAGAACAAGTTTTGATTTACGCCCTAATTGTAAATTAGGATCTGCTGCTTTGCTTGCTCGTTTCAGGCTCGTTCGCTGCGGCAGCATGGAATGATCTGCAACTCACTTGTTTGACATGCTTTTAATTTCTGATACAGCATCGTGTCGTAGACATCGTTGATGTCGGACATTCATATAATGGAACATATACAAAATGGATACACGTTCCCACATTATTCCACATTCAAATTATACAGTTCGAGTCATAACGACAACCTTTGTTGATATCAAGCCAGAAACCACAACTCGAACCTTTACAACCCCCGAAGGAGGTAGATATACAATGTTTGAAGTAATTATTATAATATTACTTAAAAAATAAACATATATATATACACATTTTCAGTGCCAAACCATAGTCCTGAGTTACAGCCAACTTTTCTTGGAGTGTATGATTGTACTGAAAATAAAAGAAATGTGACGGTGAACTGGAAGGTATACAATAATGATTTAAACATACAACTTTCACTGATGCAGATTTCGCACGGGGTAAACAATATGTCTATAATTTATAATTAGATATAATTTTTAGGGGCATCTGCAGTAAAACATTATAATCTTGATATATGTTGGCATTTCCAAACAACCATGTCTATAGTTGAAAGGGTTAAGAAAGATAAACGTAATTTGTGAACATTCCATTAATAGAGTCCTTCGCGATTCTTCAGGTCAGCTTGGGGGTGTTTTTTTTCGGACCGCAGGAAAATATCAGCTCATTTAGATCATCCCAGTTCTCATGATATAGATGACTTATCAATAAGGTTGCCAAAACCGGTGTCAATTAAAGGCATGGATTTTTTTAGAATAGATTATGGTAATGATGGCTTGTCTTGCCCTTGTTTTCTTGTTTTGAGAAAAAGTTCTTGATTTTTCGGAAACATTTTTTTGTGTTTCGTACCAGTTTCCAGATCCGAGGGAACGAAATGGCGTGATAAGGAACGTAACCGTGAAATTTTTACGAAGAATTCCAATCCAAAATATATCAATCTGCCCAGAGTAACAACAACCACGATTTTTGGTTTGGATTGTGATACCGAGTATAGTGTACAAGTTCGAGCATGTTACCATGGCAACACAAATTGCAGCGTGTACAGCAAGATTAGAGTTATCACGGTCCACCGTAAGTTTAAACGCTGATAAATTTCAAACACTACCTTTAAAAGAGAGTACCGAAATTAGTCAAGCAGAGAAAGTTTGGTTGCGAAATGTTGTAAAATGCGGGAAATAGGGGCTTCCAAATTTGACGTTTGCTTTTTACTACGCACGCGGAAATTGTTACCACATTCAGGCCAAAAATGGTAGCAATGTCCGTACGTATAGCACAAAAATATACAAATTTGCAAACTTTGGAAGACTATATTTTTCGTATTTTACAACATTTCGCAACCAAACGTTTATCACGTACACGTTATATGCACAATTCACAATGCATATATTGCAGTAAAACTTCTTGATTATATTCTTTTAGATGTCGATATTGATCGCCAAACAGGTGATGTTAACTATCGTCTTCCTCTGTGGATCAGTCTTGGCATTGGCGTGCCATTAATCCTTGTACTTTTCATAGTGTCTCTGTATTGTGTTTGCAGGTAGGCACTAATCCATCCGAGCATCGGCAACACCTCGTTGCGAGTGACTGCATATAATTATAAAATCAACTCAAAAGCATTTTCATTGGATGAGAAACCTCGCAGCGAGCTTGCCGTTGCGATGAGTGAAAAGAGCTATAGCAAATTTCTTCATTCTTCACCGATTGCAATCAATTGGCATCGCTGACGGGCGGCGATATATAGAATATTTTTAGTTGCATTTAGTCGAGGTTTAGCGGTTTAAGAATTATTCGTTTTTATTCTTTAGGAAAAAAAAGAAGTCCCTCGAGCCGGTAAGACATGCATGCCTTATACTTTCGACACCGAATCGCCTGTTCTGGCGTTAACTCCGGCGTGCCGTGCGTGTGCCAGTCTTCAATATATAAAGCTTCTGAACATAAACTATGCAGTTCATACGGAGACAAAACCGTGATGTAGATAAATACGGTCACATACACATTTCAAATACAAGTATATTTCGCGCCATGACATACTCGCGATGACGAAAAATAAAAAAAAACAGAAACAAAATAAAACCAAGGCGAATTTTCAACTCCGTCGCTCACGCCGGAGTAATGACGACTTTTTTGAACTGACGTATTACTTTTGCCCCAATTAGTTTAAGGGAATAAAACCCATTTATTTCAACATTAATATTTAGATTATCTTATATGACTAAGTTTTGAACAGCATTTGATTCATCGCAATTGTCCCTACTCTGGTTTAATTAATTAAAGTAATCACCACACAAAGATTACATTCACGACCCAACGTTTCGACACTCCGGTTTAGTGTTTTCAACAGAGGTGATCTGATGTTGAAACTCAGTTCCTTATATATCAATCAGGTGTAAATATTTTTTTGGCAAATAGCTTCCGTCATCCCTATTTAGGACACAAAGACAACGCCTTATTGTCCATAACGATCTTACATGCTTGGCACCATGTTGGCCTACATTTCTGGTCACGAGCACATATATTACGCGACATATGAGGTTTTTCAGCACATACACAAAAACTATATACGCTCTTAAAAAGCGACTTAAAATTAATTGCAGTTTTAGAGTCATATTTATGTTAATTGTTTTTAAATATCGTGTCTAACAGCTCACAGAGAATGACATCGACCGGTATTATAATCCAGATGGTAAAGAGTTGTCTGAAGTGGGAGAATATTGGAGGCTAGAGGATGATGCGGAAAACAAATCCGAACAAGCTAGTTCCTAGGCTCACAAGAAACAAGACTGGATTATAAGGAGTAAGGTAATATTGAATCTTGAATATACATTCAGGTGAAATTATAACGACGAAAGTACATCTAAATTACAGACTACGGTATATCTATATGGTTTCAAGCGAGCCTTTTACAAAAACATTGGGAACGGCAAACTAAAATGGGAAGAACTGGGCAAGAAATCCTTGATATCGAAGTGGCATTCAACAACAGACCGCTGACGTACTTAGAAGATGATGTCGAACTAGCCATCCTCACCCCTAACACCATTTTGAACATCAACCCAAGCGTTTTACCCAAGATGAAATCTCACCTCATCGACGAAAAGAACTTACGGAAACGAGCCAAATTTCTCAAGAAGTGCAAAGAAACCATGTGGAGGCGGTGGTCAAGAGAATACATTAGGGGTTTACGTGAACGCCATCGATAGGTAAGCCAGAAGAATGCCTTACATTCTAAGACCAGAGACGGGACGCCGTGAAATTTAAACATATTCTCTGTCACATTGCTATAAGGAAAATTGATGCACAGATTTAACTTAACTTCCTCTTTCTGTTGCAATTTTAACGCGTAGTGTTGTATTAACAGCACAGCAAATATTTATATTGCTGTTTAAACTATCGCAATATGCAAAACTACAAGAATCGTATTTCAAAAGTACAATAGTTGAGAAAGTGATACTGTGATAGCTTCGCAAGTTCTTGGAAATTCAGAAATTGTGATTTGTTTTCTTGGAATAGGAAACGACCTCTTCCGGTTGGTTATTCAGATTTCAGATTTCAAAACTACACTATTTTGCATATGTGAACATAATTATAGATTTATGGCGGCGGTATTGTTTCTTTGTTTTTGGTTTCACTTGTTGGTTTAAATGTTGCCCCAAGGAGAAAGAACTTGCTTTAGTATATTTGTCTATGGCTTGCCTGTTTTACTAGCTATATTGCCTGCAGGGACAAGCAAGGGTATGTAGCTACTATACAGTCATCATATCATTACACTTGATCGTCTAGCGTATTGAAGTTTGTTGTGTTGGTATTGGGTTCTGTTCACTAAATATGTTGTAACAGAATGCAGTCGTTCGGAGAATTATAGAGAGGTACCACAGCCGTGGAATTAATATCGATCAGCCCTGCTCATTTACTCTGCTCATTTGCCCTGCTCATTTGACCGTTTTTAGTTGTATATGCAGTTGTTTTTAAAATAAGAAGGATTTGTTGACAAATGACAAGCTATAAACCGGGACTAAACATTTATTGTATAATAAATCTTTACAAATAGAAGTGTGTTTCGGGCCTTCTTGTTTTGAAAGCCTAGCTGGAAGTCATATGAATATGTAAGTTAGGTGGAATCACAGCAGTCTACTCTTTGTATCAAAGGTCCAGATTTAATGATTTATAATTCTAGCCATAGGGCTGTTTCTTTGTGTGTGATCTTGAGCTTCCATTCAAAATTTCAAAAATTCACAATGCCCATCCCAGGGATATAATTAAACAGGGAATTATAAAAATGTGACCAGAAAGTGTGCCATTTTTTTTCATTCAGTTGGATGTACACAGACAGCGTCCCCACTGATTTAATAGTTACCAAATTTATACCAGGAGGGGCAGTCTAACTAGATTTGAACAGCTGGTTAAAAATATTGCATATATGGTCTGGTCATAATATGCAGGGAAAAGACAGCTGGCTGCCCAAGGTGCCCAGGGTAGTGTGTGAATTGTATGGGTGCATGCAAGATCCCAAAAATGTTGAAATCTTGCAGTGCATATTTCTACATGGAAAGTAATGCTAATGTCTGTCTATTGATTGGTTACCTAAAGAGAAGTTATTAAGATCGATGGCCTATGTAACTATGCAGACAAATCAATTGCTTCTCCATTTCCGCATGGATAGGTCATTCAACTGAACCCGCCTACTAGCCCTGACAAGCAAAAGTGCTTCCTTACAAATGGAACAATTTGCATTTGGGCATATGTGCTAGAATAATTAATTGTTGAATCAAAAGATACAACTGAAAATCTGAAGAGGTCACCAATATTTTTGCCTGTTTAAAGTAAATCATTGAGTTAGGACTCATATTGTTTGGTATTCAAACACATGCAGTTGTTTAAATGCCAGTTTGCACTACAGTATAAATATGCCAATTTATTATCAAGTAGGTGAACATTCCTGTACATATTCTTCGAAATGAAGAGTTATTTTGTTAATGAAGTATGTGTTAAAAGCCAATGATTTGCACCTTTTATCAGAGTAAAACTTACAATGTCTGGGTTGAAAATAATGAAGTTCTGACTAATTATTGAAAGGGTATATTGTTGGAATGTTGACATATAAATTCTCAGTTCACGGATCACAAACGCTTATCCAAAAACACTTCTTGGATTTTATTAGTTGTATTCCATTTACGTATTGTGAAAAACATTTAAAAAAGGCAACATAATGTTTCCATCATCGTAATTAATACTTTTACTGGGTGCTCATGATACGAGATTTGTCGTCTTGACTGACGTGGGTTTTTGATGATGCACACTTCAAATTCAAGCCAGGAACAGTTGATGGAAAATGAGTCAAGTATAGGTCCTCCGGCAGGAATCGAATCTACGCTTTTGCGATGCGGTGCATCTTTTGCACTGTCATCGCAAAAGCGTAGGTTCGAATGATAACCAGTGGCAGTGCTAATTTCTAAATTCTTGTTTTAATTCTATGCACCATGCCAAATAAAAAAAATAGATCCATATTACCAAATTCGTTTTTTCTGGCAACTTAAATAGCTTAGTTTAATCGTTTGGCTCCAGGTCATTTGGAGGTCTGGACCCACCTTGTACGAAACGTTTCGGGTCAAGTCATGAGGACAACTTTTATAGGTAATTGTCTGCATGTGTTTGGACCATATTTCTTAGCCACTCTCTAAGAAAACACTCTGTACATTTACAATGTATTTTTACTTCCATAAAGATGCCGTAAAGGGCTACAGGAGCTTACATTCAGCTGCATGACCGGCAGTCTATGTATAGAATATTCCATGTTTGTATGTAAGAGCATGCATGGTGAGTGGACAGAATTAAGCATGAATCAAGAGTCTAACTCCACGTCTAGTATGAGTGTAATTTTTAAAATAGTACGATTTGAATTTTCGATAGTACAAATTTCACCCTCTCTTATCTTAAATTAATTGTTATTAATGGTGTATCATAGATTCCGATTTATGCCAAATATGGGCTGGATAGCAGGCATGAATCATGAAAATATATTTTCAATCACTTATCTAACGTATAGCGAAATGCTTGGAGAACAAATATGGGATAAACTTTATCGTAGCACGTCTCGTTCATGAATGACATTCTCTAGCTCTCCGCATGTTTATGGTTTTATTCTTTTATTTCCTAATAATTTTAGGGCTCTCAGCGGCAAGGATCGAGAATGTTACCATTCATAAACAAGTTCGCGTTGGATTAATCTACTATAATGTTCCAATCGAATGGCAGTTTACGCCTTTCAACCAGAGTCGTATGCCATCTTTTCAAATATGGCTAACAAGTGACGACAAGGATTTTAGAAACAAGGTAGGTTGGTGACGTCATTTAGTGCATGTTTTTTTTTTTAAGGAGATTAAGGCGCGATTCAGAAGTTTCAAGGGAGATACATGAAGAGATTCAAGGAGATTCAACAGCGTACATAATAGACCTTTCTTATAATGACGTCAAACGCGAAAAGTCTGATGTTACATGAAATTTGATTGGCTCCACAAAATTATCGAGCCAATTAAACTTCGTGTAAGATCAGTCTTTCCGCGCTTGACGTCATTATGAAAAAGGTCTATTATAACGTCGTTTTATTCACATTACTTCTCTGTGTAGAGTACAATTGACTCTTCGACACTTGGTGGGAACATGTTCAAATACACATTCCTACGCCTTCCACCAGACAAGAATTACACTGCTCATATCGAGTGCTACACGTCGACGAAAAATTTGATATCATACGCGAACATCACGTTTGGTGTAAAGCGAGAAATCCTGATTGAAGGTATATATATGCACAGCATATAGAGTGACATAGAGTGAATTCGTTAAAGAAAAATAGATTATGCGCCGAATATTCCGAATGGAATTTTTAACGACGTCGGATATTTTGCCGACAAAAATAACAGGTGTCGGTTGTATAAAGATCTTAACTACACTTTGCGTCCGTAAATCGTGGTTATCTCAGAAATGCACGATTCTGATTTGCCAATTCACTATCTTTTTATACAACCGAACTTTTTATTAAGGTGGTTCGATACGAATAAATTACGGGAAACAGGGAAAGCACATTTTTCTCTTTAAAACGTTTGAGAGTGTAGAATTGTCTAAATGTCTCTCGCTTTAGTTCATTGCATAGCTCTAGTGCTGCCTCTTGAGAACTGAAACGCATTAGTCAACACAGTTCATCAGTGGCGAGGAATCTGTGTTTTACTGAGTAGGGTTTTAGAGAAAAGAATGTACTTTTTCGTAATTAATTCCTATCAAGCCACCCGGCTATAATATTTAATCTGAATATTCCAACCAGATCATGTTTTATTACAAATAATTATATATAAATCTGTTGTATTGTTTCTCAATACCATGCACATTACTGTGTAACCCAGAATGCATCTTGATACAAGATAGCGGCCTATTGGTGAATATTTTAATGGACTACTTGTATAATAGACCGATTTTTGATCTAAGTATCAAAAATGAAATAAATCACAACAGCTAAAAAAAGCATTACTGAAATTGGTATATGGCCATTGTATACTTTTGTATTATGGGCGGAAATGTGAAATTGAATTAGTTACACTCTTCCAGTCATAATACAAAAGTATACAAAATTTGCCAACTTCCCTAGGCCATATCTTTGCTACTTCACAATATTTCGCAGCCAAACTTGGCAATTTTATTACGTCCTTTTAGGAAATTCCTTTTTGTCTCCTGAATCAAAATCCGGTCTGTTGTGCAAAAGGTCGATTTTTAGGTGGAATATTCGTGTATATTGAGAGTTAATTCCATGTTTATTTCAGTCCTATTTCGCTTATGTAGACGTGATATCAACAAATATCAGCGCTGCAGATGGGTATTTGTTCATCCATTGGGCAGTACCAGAGGATTTGCGGTATTCCTCTACACCTGTTTCATTCGATATGACGGTTTGTAATACGAATTCGACTCCACAAGCATGTACAAATGGAGTAAAGACAATGTGTAAAGCAATATACTATTATAACGGATCCTCCTCCAGCGGTAAGAGTGCTATATTTAAAAAAGAGCGAAATGTCACACCCGTCATTTGCCCATTGTACAATTACAAACTTCTCAATTTTTATAGGTAGCATTCAGTTATATGAAGAAAACTGGAAAAAATATGTTACTGGAGAACATTCGGATGTAAATACAAGTATGACCAGGCCCTTGCTGAAGTCTTGGGACAAACCTAGATACGTATTTGGGTGTGGTATATATTTGGAAACATGTAAAAAAGTTCGTTTCGTACAACCCCTAAAGTATTATGTGCGTATTGGCGATGGCATAGTCGGAAATCAATATGAAAAAGTAGTACTAAATAAAGGTTTGTGCATATTAATGAATATTATACACTTAATGTATGCTCCCGAGGAAACTCACTATTTTCCGAGGTAGTGTACATTATGTGTTTTTTCATATAGGAACAAAAACATACATGTTACACAACAATTTCATTAAAAAAAGAAACCCACTTTACTTTGTTATGACAAGAAGCGGGCAACATTTTTTCACTTGTTTCCCTGGCGGGTAACATTGCATTTAAGTCATGTGACTACGAATGAACCAATCACATTTAGAATACACAGCACCTATATAACAATTGTATTTATTTAATAACTCGTCTGCGTAAAATATGCGAGTGCATGGCAATGGTTTATTTACTTACAAATAAAATGAATTTAAGCGTGCTACGGGCATCAAAAACTAAAGGCCCGTTTGCCTTGCTCTTTTGTTACACGACGTTTGATTGGCTCGTTAGTTTTACGGATCCAATCATATTTCTTAAGGCATTTGCATCCCCCGTTTGACGTCATTACGACAAAGGCCTATTTCCTCTCTGCGATTTTCTTTTGATAGATGCGAACGAGAGAATATTTATGGCAGAAATCTACTTGTTCACATCTATATCAAAATATATTTGTGTCTGAAATCACAAGTCATCTATACTGGTCATGAGATTAATATTTTAGCCTAAATTTGTTTTTTTAAGGTTTTTCATCACCTGAACTGGGCGACGACTACGTTCATTTTATACAGACTAGAGAAAACCCAAACAGTATTACCGCTGTAATTCGTTTCCGTTTTAATATAATTTGCACACGCAATTCTGCACAGAAATTCAGATTTATTCTGTCGACATCAGGAGAGGACATATACAAGGTTAGTTGTGTTCAAAGATTTGTGCATTCTTCCTTCTCTGTAGTACAGACCTCTCGGGTTTGCTCAGCACTCTCGGTATAACAGAAAATTGTACTGCCTATAAAAGCATTTGCAAAGTAGTGTTCGGCGTGCCAATCTCGTTCCTGCAGAACTTCCCTATAAAATTATTACGGCCAATTTGTTGCGAAAACCATATATTTGTATACACGAGATCATACATTAGAATTTTAATTGCTGCATGTGCAACACTGCAATTACTCGCTCCTGGGATTTGAAAATACGTTTCATTTAAGAATAGAACTAAGATAATTTCTTGTTTTAAACGTATATGAGCAAACTCATCCTCCGTCTAAAATCGTTCTTAAATCACCCTCGTACCCAGGGTCTAAACAGACTATCAACCCCCCAAAATACATACAATTATATGTATAAGGTTGAACCCCCAAAATATGTTTTTTAATCAATTTTAAATAGCCGGTCAGACAAAGCGATAAACTTTTCTAAAATAACAAGTGAGCCCCCTACCTACCTACGTTCCAATATGTCACAATTTCGTCATGCAATGTGGCAAGAACAAGTTTTGATTTGCGCCCTAATTGCATGTAAATTAGGATCTACTTTGCTTGCTCTGGCGTTTCAGGCTCGTTCGCTGCGGCTTGCTCACTTGTTTGACATGCTTTTAATTTCTGATACAGTCTGATGACGAGGGTATCTACGATGTCAGACACTCATATGAACCATATACAAAAAGGATAAAAGTTTCCGACCTTATTCCACATTCAAATTATACAGTTCGAGTCATAACGACAACCACTGTCGACATGAAGCCAGAAACCACAACTCGAACCTTTACAACCCCCGAAGGAGGTAGATATACAATTTTTCAAGTAATATATAATAATATTACTTAAAAATAAACATATACATATACACATTTTCAGTGCCAAACCATAGTCCTGAGTTACAGCCAAATTTTCTTGGAGTGTATGATTGTACTCAAAATAAAAGAAATGTGACTGTGAACTGGAAGGTATACAATAATGATTTAAACATACAACTTTCACTGATGCAGATTTTGCACGGGGTTTGCATTATGCATGAATGCACGAAAAGTTAGGTTGTGATGAAATCAGTATATTAGTTCTTGATTTTTTTTTGTGCTTCGTATCAGTTTCCAGATCCGAGGGAACGAAATGGCGTGATAAGGAACGTAACCGTGAAATATTTTACGAATATTTCCAATCCAAAATATATCAATCTGCCCAGAGTAACAACAACCACGATTTTTGGGTTGGATTGTGATACCGAGTATAGTGTACAAGTTCGAGCATGTTACCATGGCAACAAAAATTGCAGCGCGTACAGCAAAATTAGAGTTATCACGGCCCGCCGTAAGTTAAATTTCAAACACTTTAAACGTTTCGCTACTTTTGAAAGAGAGAACCGAAATTAGTCAAGCAGAGAAAGTTTGGTTGCGAAATGTTGTAAAATGCGGAAAATAGGGGCTTCCAAATTTGACGTCTGCTTTTTGCTACGCACGCGGAAATTGTTACCACATTCCGGCAAAAAAATGGTAGCAATGTCCGTACGTATAGCACAAAAGTATACAAATTTGCAAACTTTGGAAGACCGGGTGTCCCAAAAAAAAGTACCTATTTTTAATTCAACAGAACTTGTAAGCGAACTGAAGAATTGCAATCAAATAATCCATATTAAGTGGAGTAATGTCTAACTTAAAGTTTGATATATTACATATGAAGTTTGAACGGGTAGTGTCTGAGATATTCGCGTTTAAAGTCGCAGCAACGTTTTGAAACTTGTCAAAAATCAGGAAAAAATAGCCTATTAAACTTGTTTCAACAATACCGGTTCGTAACATGGTGTCTTGTAACTTATATTTTAGTTTTTTTTTTAAATCGTTTTTCACTTGTTCTTATTCATCTGCAAATTCATGTCCACCAGCAGCAACGCACTTTCTTGCCCGTGTCGGCATGCCATCAAAAGACCTTTGAATCATGTGGGCGTCCAAATTGCGACATGACCTAAGAATCGCCTTGCGAAGTTCTCCCAAGTTTTGAGGTTGTTGGTCATGAGGTTGTTGGTCTGCTGCTTTAAATAGCCCCAGAGGAAGAAATCACACACCGTCAGGTCAGGGGAGCGTGGAGGCCATGGCCAATCGCCGCGTGTACTCATGAGTCGACCAGGAAGTTGCCCCTGTAGATATCGGATTGTTGCGTTTAACAAGCCATTTTTTGCTGATTTTTGACACATTTCAAAACGTTACCGTGTCTTTAAACGCGAATATCTCGGAAACTACTCGCTCAAACTTTATATGCAATATATCAAACTTTAAGTTAGACATTACTCAACTACACATGGATTATTTGATTGTAATTCTTTAGTTCGTTTATAAGTTATGTTGAATTAAATATAGGTACTTTTTTTTGGGACACCCGGTATATTTTTCGTATTTTACAACATTTCGCAACCATACTTTCCAGATTATTATCAGTACAGTTATCACGTAAACATTATATATGCACAATTCACAATGCCTATTGCATGCAGTAAAACCTCTTGATCACATTCTTTTAGATGTCGATATTGATCGCCAAACAGGTGATGATAACAATCGTCTTCGTTTGTGGATAGGTCTTTTCATTGGCGTGCCATTAATCCTTGTACTTTTCATAGCGGTGTCTCTGTACTGTGTTTGCAGGTAGGCAATAATCCATCCGAGCATCGGCAACAGCTCGCTGCGAGTGATTGCGTGTAATTATAAAATCAACCTATAAAAGCATTTTCATTGGATGAGAACCCTCGTAGCGAGCTTGCCATTACGATGAGTGAAAAGAGCTATAACAAATTTCTTCATTCTTCACCGATCGCAATCAATTGGCATCGCCGACGGGCGGCGATATATCGAGACATAATTTGATAGCCTATTTGTGCATTTGTATTTCTGCAATATTTTTAGTTGCATTTTGTCGAGGTTTAGCGGTTTAAGAATTATTTGTTTTTATTCTTTAGGGAAAAAAAGAAATCCCTCGAGCCGGTAAGACATGCATGCCTTATACTTTCGACATCGAATCGTTTTTATAGTCTTTATAAATGAAATGACGACTTTTTAGATGTGACGTATTACTTTTGCCCCAATTAGTTTAAGGGAATAAAACCCATTTATTTCAAATTTAATATTTAGACTAGCAATAATCACAGATTAGTGATGTGCGTTCGGAATGTGTTGATTTCTGCTGACGATCATTAACAATAATGTTAACATGATAACGTCAAGGCTCACAGCGTATGTGATTCAAAAGGTTACCCGCAAAATGAGTAATTTAACAACAGTGATGGCTCTTATGCTTAATTAACAACAAAATGTCAAAATGGAGCGAGCACATGGCCTCCAGTTACTATGACGACACATCAGAACGAGGCAAATCTGACATCGCAAATCTCGATGTGACACGGCTAGGAAGCGTTCTCCTTCGTTGAACGCAATTATGTTATATGAATAAATTTCGATTCATCGTTAGTGCTAAAATCCTTAGCCCCAGGTTAGTTAAACGTGGGTTAAAACTGTGCTGTTCAAAGCAGAGTTAGTTAACCCAGGGTTAAAATATTTAACCTACGATTAAATGTATTTTAAGGACTAAATTGGATATAAGAACGCTTTCGATTGGTCAATAAACGAGCGTCAAAATATTAACTGATGAGGAAATCAGTGTTGTCAATCGAAAAATTATATGCCGTGAGGGCAGGAACGTTGTATTGAACTGCAATTTCTGTGCATGGAATTTTGGAAAGTTCCGAAATGAAAGGCCATTTTGGCTAACACTTTTTTAGGGCTTTTGAGGTTTGCAAAATCGTTTTTAATGTTGAAAATTTTTGTACTGTTGCACAGTGATGTAGCAGGTTTTGACATGGCCAGAAATGCTAGCCGGTAAGCGGTGAGGTGTGTGGGCTCATGCAATACCTTCCCGCAACGAGCAGAAGCGTGAACTGTAAGGTGCCTAATATCAGTAATATATGCTAGGAATATATATACTTTCCCATACGACGATTAAGAATGATTCTTTCTTGAGATGTCTTGAGGTATCTCGAGTTGCCGTCAACTTTTCACTTGTTAAAGATCAATAAAATTGATGATGTTTTGGGACAAACATGACTTCTCAATTGTGCCGGGTTACATAGAAAGCAAATTTTAATGATTCCCCGCTCTTTTCTTATAGACTTAGAGGCGAGTTCATTTTAAGTTCCTAAATAAGCGTTAAATCGAACATGCTTGGCACCATGTTGGCCTACATTTCTGGTCATGAGCACATATATTACGCGACATTTTCACTTCACATACACAAAAACTATATACGCTCTTAAAAAGTTTTAGAGTCATATTTATGTTAATTGTTTTTAAATATCGTGTCTAACAGCTCACAGAGAGTGACATCAACGGGTATGATAAACCAGATGGTAAAGAGTTGTCTGAAGTGGGAGAATATTCGAGGCTAGAGGATGATGCGGAAAACAAATCCGAACAAGCTAGTTCCTAGGCTCACAAGAAACAAGACTGAATTATAAGGAGTAAGGTAATATTGAATCTTGAATATATATTCAGGTGAAATTATAACGACGAAAGTACATCTATAAAACATGCTATTGTTTTGAACTTTACAGACTACAGTATATATATATGGTTTCATTGGACAAATATCTCAGCTTTTCAACATTGAAAATTAACTCTGCTCTTCAAAAATATATATTATATCTCAGTTATGTATAAATATTAGGTTCGCCTAATATGTTATATACGCCCCATAGATTTTAGGTTGGAAATTTGTGAATACCTGCATGATCTTGAAAATCTCACGTTTTTATAAAACTCTGAAAAATTGCTTAAATAACCTTAAAGGAATATGGCAATAAAAATTATTTCTGTTTTGTTGAAAAGAAGATTTACACTTCTTATTAAGCTTTTTTACAAAATTTGTTTATTTTCCTTACTTTGCAAGATATTGGCGATCAAAAACATCGGATATCGAGATATATCCGCCATCTTGTTTTGTAATGAGACTCTAGTTACGTGACGTCAAAAGTAGGGTTGACGCTTAAAAAGTAGCAGTTACTTGTTTTGAGAACTCTTACAATTCAAACATTATCATTAAGACGTTGTTTTAAAATAGACAAAGATAATTTTTATTTCCGTATCCCTTTATAATCACCAAAATGTTTTTAAATCTCTTAGTGTTCGGGGGTTTCGAGTACTTGTATATTTTAACCTTATAAATTTAAAATAACCGTAAGATAAATTATTTTCCATCTTACTATACTTTTTATGTATATAGCTATTACTATGTTTTATGATTAGTATTATGTATTTCTATTATATAGATTTTATTATAGAACATAATGAGAGATTTGCCAGAAGTTATCATTTTCATCCGCCTCATTGTTTGGAATTTTTAAGCTGAACTCGAAATTTAAAAACCAATGTATTCCAGATGATTCCAGAAGTCTTGTATTAGGAAATGACTTGGAGCAAGTAAAAAGTTGAATTTCAGAAGTGCTAAAAGTGATGGAAATGATAACCTGGTTTTGTCGCAGGGATTATAGGCGCTAAATTAGGTTTTGTCGCAGGGATAAAAGGCGCTAAATTAGGTTTTAACTGCATGGCTGTAATTTTTTCAGTTTTTCATTTTTTCACTGAATGTGTGTGGGGGGGGGGGGGGGAGTCCGGAGGACTTCTGTAGTTATTGTATGGATTGGTAGTATAGACAGTGTATACTAAACAAGACGCCTGTTCTGGCGTTAACTCCGGCGCACGTGCCAGTCTTCAATATAGAGCTTCTGAACATAAACAATACAGTTCATATTCGCATTTAGATGCCTTGCGAACCTAAATGTTCGATCGCGAAATTCAGAAGCACATCGTACTTTAAAAAGTATAGAAGTTAAATCGTTCAAGAATGTAAATAAACGGTATGATACATTCGCTTTGTCTTACACTTTGCCTTTGGAATTCGCGCTTATATAGTTATATTAAATCTTCAATCCTGTGCAAACTACGAGTCAAAGCGCCCATACACGACCACATCATCTTGTTAAACGGCGAAATAGCAGCGATATTACTAAAATAGGACCAGAATCTACACGTATTAAATATATTCTTACCCCAATTCAGCATAGACTTAATCGAAAAGCATGAAAAGAACGGTTTATTTGTTCCTCTTGGAGGAATTGCTGTATCATGCGAGCGAAATCGAATCGCGCATCGGAAAATTAGCCAAAGCTGTGCACCACAACTCTTGGGAGAAAAGACTGGGACATAGATAAATCCAATCACATACACATTTTAAATACTAGAATGTTTCGCGCCATTACAGACTTGCGACGACGAAAAATAATAAAAAAAAAAAAATAAAAAAACAAAAAACAAAAACAAAACAAAACCGAGGCGAATTTTCAACTCCGTCGCTGACGCCGGAGTAATAATTTTATTTGTAGCTATATATCGAAGTTAAGTTAGCCAAACTGATATGGATTAATTGTGCATGATTGCGAGATTATTTAATCGTGACATTAAAGAGAATTTTGAATTCAATCTGTTGATTTAAACCTCAAATGGCTTTTTGGTTTAGGCATTTTGAAAACTAGGCAACGTTTAAAAAATGTTTCAAATGCCGTACTCTTTAATTTTGAACACAAGTATCTATAATCTATTGGTGTTTTTATTAAAATCGGGGAGGCACTGTGGGTCCACGGGTTGCGTCACGAGCTTGTTCTTTCCTTGCGATTCGCAAACATTGAGATGAATGAACCATGGTTTATTCATCTCAATGTTCACAACCCACTGAAATTGAAAAACACAAGGCTTTAAAGGCTTTCGTTTTATTGAAGGGGTTATTGCGCATTCACACTTCACAGTGAGTATTGCGTCAGGTATTCCGTATTCGGTGACATTTCAAAGCCCGTTCGCAGGCTATCACGTGCATCGCAAATGCTGAATTAGCAGGACGTTCTGATTGGCTAATGTTGCGTCCAATGTTTCAATTTGTTTCCAAAAGTCTGAACTCTGAAATGTTGTTGCACCATATCGATTCAATATGGCTGATGTAACAGTTCTATATTTATAATAGGCTTTATATAAACATAAAACACCGCGTAAATTTAACTATTTTGTCGGTGATGAACTGGATATAACTCTCCTAACATTCTTCACGACTTTGTGAAGCATTTTATTGAGTAAGTATGACAGTTCCGTCGACGCGTTCTCCAGTAAAAGATTTCTACAGACTTCAGAAGAACATTCACAGCTTTTCAAATGGCGAAGCTAGGATAACATCGTTTGATGATGAACTAACGAGTTTTGAAGTCGAGCTGAATATAAAAGATGGCTACTATCATGATGGTTTGTTTGTGTTCGAAGTAAGACTAGCGAACGACTATCCAATTAAGGTACCCGAAGTTTCATTCAAAAGCCAAATTTTTCATCCTAATATTGGAGATGGCTATGACGAAAGTGTCGTTTGCCTGAATTTGCTCGAAGAGGATTGGCAAGAAACGAACGATTTGGAGGACATTGTACAAGGAATGCTCTTCCTTGTCAAGAACCCGGCCTTGGACGACGCTCTCAATCCGTGTATTTCGTACGACGCGGATGGTCCAGGAGAGCTTGAGGAGTATATGGAGGTGTTCACGAAACAAGTTCGGCAATCCCTTGAAGGAGGCGAGGTCGAAGGTATTGTATTTCAGAGAAATCCTGGACTAGTTCAAAAAGACAACGAGAAGTCGAGAGTGTCAAACGTTGTGAACACTCAGAACAAATCTAAAACGACCAACTCAACAATGGAACTCGAAAGTTCAGAAAGACCAGCCCTGGGTCTGGGTGATAACATGCACCTCCCAGTCTCAATTTTCCAAACTGTGATAAACATGTCTTTGAAAGATGAACTCTACCGTTATGGTCTATACTGGATATATAGAAATTTTACAAAATGTCCCAACCATGGAAAGCAAGTGCACAGCAGAGGCCAGGGTTGTCCAAAGTGGCTCACAAAGCTGGCCAATTCATTGTTTGGTAGAGCAAGGAGGACAGAAAACATGAGCTTCTTTTCAAAACGTTTGAAGATGTTCCAAAGATTCCCAGTTACTTCCAGAACATTGATATGGAGTGCATAGTTGATACTTGTCTTACAAAACAATACTTATAAAGCATTGGAATTCTTGTATATCTTGAAAACAATCTAGTTATGCTTAGGTAATCGTTATTAGATACATATAATCATCAAACAAATATTGTTTTAATAATTTAATTACCATAATACAAGGCTGGATCCAGTATTTTGGCTGACTGATGCGATTATTAAATTATGTGTATAAATATTAACCTATTAGTGAATATTGTAAAAGTTACAGTTTTGTTATATTTTCTATTTAAATTCATAATTCTGTATATGTATGTATTTAAACTCATTAGCTTCAAAATGCTCAGAATGTGGGGGAATGAATGTGTATAGCCACTAAGGCATAACATATTCCCTAAAATAAAAAATTTTGTACTCAAACCTGAGGCCAGTTGTATAAAACAGGACTAGTTACTAACCTGTGTAGTTAAGGACATAATTGGCCAATCAGAGTTGTGTATTTCTGAGCTAACTATTAAAGATGTATCAAATGTGGTATAACAACTGCCTAAATAGACAAAACACTTCTCTGTCTATTTAGGCAGTTGTTTTACAACATTTGATGCTAAGTTGTTTGAAGATGCTGCCATGCTGCTCCTTGGTTATATTAAAATGTAGTTTAAATGTTTTCTATACAACTGGCCCTACCTTTCTTTTTGTGGATACTGGTACTACCATAGTGCTGCAAATTTTTCAGGCAAATTCCGAGCAAAATGATGGTAAACTGCACATGCCCAGCAAGTGCATCAAGAAGTGTTCATGAATGATACTGCTGTGCTTTTTGAAACTAACATTTTCCAGGTATTTGTGTTAAGGTATCAAGCATCGTTTCTATTTTTATAGCGTGGTAGAACGAAGAAAATACCACCACTGGTACAGATTTAATATTAGTGTTAAACCATAAATATTAATATAAAGAGCACTGGAAGTCTGGAACTAGTAAACCAAGTAGTTAAAGATGGAGACTAAAAAGCCTTTCTTTATGTATAATATAATTATTTAAGATTTTAAACATGGCAAATATAGAGCTAGCGCGTGATGTTCAAAATCTTCGAGAAAACATATCCCGTTTATTTAACGGCGAAGCGAGAATTATCGACTTCAACACGGAAGAACCAAGTATTAAAGTAGAACTGTACTTCAAAACTGGCTTCTATAAAGGAGGGACGTTTGTTTTCCACGTAAAGCTTTCGCCGAACTACCCACATGGAGAACGGGTTGTTATATTTCTAACCAAAATCTTCCATCCTGGTGTTGATGAGGAGAAATGTAGCCTTTCTGGCCTAGGTATGTGTTACTAATTACTTTATATATGTTTATGTGTTACTAATTTAGGTAATGTGTTACTAATTGCCAACTTTATTTGGCTGTATTTTCCGTACTTTACAGTACTTCACAGCCAAACTTGGCAATTTTACTACATTTAGTATGCACTTTTTGGAAACTCCTTTTTTCTCGGTCCAACCAAATGTTTGTCTATTATGCTGCATCAATTTTTGGAATATATTTGACATAAAATAGACACTTACATCAAGCCTGACGTAAAAATTAGTATAGAGGTAATCATGTGATGCCAAGTTATAATGTTGTTATACTAATATACTATATATCATTTGATTCTTGCTTGAATGATAGATCTCTCTACATGATGATCTACTTTAGTAGTATGTAGAGGCTATGTATAAAATAGGCTACTTAATTCTGACTGTACATTGCAATTATTTTACAAATTAGATATCAGTTATGGCAGTTTAGAAGAGATTGTTAAGGATGTATACAATCAAATCAGAAACCCAAATTTTCAAGCTATTCAGCATCCACTATTTTATGATGACTTGTTCATCGAAGACCAAAGTGTATTAAGGGCAAAATTTGCTGAAGACGTTCAGATGTCATTAAAAGTTGATGAAATTTTGGCAGAAATGAATGCATTAGGTAAAACAGTGGTGGGACCAAAATAATCATGGTCCTGGAAATGCCAGTGAAGTATCATAATTTTTTGCTATTATTCATGTATTGTTTATGCAGCAGTTTAGTCATACCATGTATACTCCAACTTGTTATAGTTTAATTATTTGAACTGTTTATAATGTTATACCAAATTGAAATTACCTGTTTATCCCAGTATATATGTTATTTCAACATTGATAGAAAATAATTCCAAAGTTTTATATCAAGATTTTTGTCAGGGCCCTAACATATTATTTTCAATGTTAGAAAGCCATAGTTAGAAATCTAATTCAAAAGTTTTAAAAAAAATTAATGCAAGAATGGTATCTGGCATCCAAACCAAATAGAAGAAACAAATTCTGAATTTAAGGTGTAGTGTACAAGGGTTTTAGTGGGGGAATTCAAAATTTTGGAAAATCGGAAAAATTGGATCTGTGTTTATTTATGGTACAAATTCATGATTAAGGAAAGGAAATCTAGAATAGAAGGTATAGAATCTGCGGTTTAAAGAGAAAAACATATAATGAAAGATCTTAAAAATCCTGGTTGTGGAATTAGTTATTCTCCCAAGCAAATCTATTTTTCTTTAATTTAATATATCTATAAACTGTTTAATTGGAGGTTCTTCAATATTGAAGTATATACAACAGGCATTTATAAGATACATATCTTGTAGGAAGATTCCTAGATAACAAGAATATTTAATACCAAGAATATTTAATAATGAAATATAGAAATATTATTTGTCATTTTATATTAAAACTATACGTACCAGAATTTTTTATTCACTTATCGCTTCACGGCTGCTTTTAAAACCTATCAGTTCATTATCGTTGCTTGAGAAAAAAAGTAACTCTCCGATCAAATCTCTGTTACCTTTAGACAGTTTTAACCATGGATTTGGCAGTGTTTTCGACAGGTTTTCTATTCGTATTGAAAAAGAAAGTCGCCATTTTGGATGAAAAATTGGCGCCAAAATATTGCTAAAAACCAGGGCGCTTCGAACAACAATGGCATGATGGTGTTCGAACAACTTCGATTGTGATTGGTTCATTCGTTCACATGACTTTAAATAAATGCAATGTTTCCCGCCAGGGAAACAAGTTAAAAATTGTTGCCTGCATATAAATGAAAAGACGCTGAAATGTATTTATATTTTAGTGCTTTCCGTGAGCTATAATTTATGTTAGGTATTTATAGTATGGGACTATGGGAATTAATCTTGCAGTCTGCCATAATATATATGGTATATAGACCAAGACCACGTCATCTGTGATCAGGGGCGGCGTGGCACTAAAATAGGGACCGGGAATCATAGTGATGAGGGTCCACTTTCCAAAGTAAAAATCCAAATTTTCATGCAAGGGTTAGAACAAGTCAAAATGTAAATTTATATACCTTCAACCGAGCACTGAAATTTCTTAATGTTTCGTAAGGCTTTGTTACTAATTTGGACCCAAAAAATTTTAATTTGGGGCCCATTGTAGCTAAATTTGCAGGGGCCCACCGGGAAATTTCCCGGTCTGCCGGTGGGCCACGCCGCCCCTGTCTGTGATATCAAAAAGTTTTCTTATTACAAAAAACTACAAACTGTGGGCTGTCAGTCCATAGCCTTGAATTTATCTGTCTCAATGACGCTAGACATGATATGTAAGCAAACAAAGACAGTCACCTTGACTTTTTAGGCGCCTTGCTAACTTTCAGCGGGGGGCTTCCTTTGAATAACATACTATACGTGATGTCACCTTGGCCGCTCATGATCTCCGTAAGTTGCAAATTAATGAAACAGACACGGGATAATTTTAGCGTCTTCGGGCAATGAACTGAAAATATCATTTTAATTGGGTTTTCGTAACTGTAATTTGTGCGACGGTCGAATGTTTACTGAATTCCGAGGGAAGTTCCAATATGGGGGATACACCACTCAAAACATATGGCACGCTTGTATGCCAAAACAAATATTTCTTGGGTTACCGGCCTTGTTGATCCTGGGCGATGTTATCAGATCCTACGGAAGTACGGTCCTACCCGTGAAAATACCCCTGGGATGTTTAATGCATGTACCTGTGAAAATACCCCTGGGATGTTTAATTTTCCCTGTGTGTATTTCAGTTGCTTGTTTACGAACGGACATGTGTAATATGCAATTGCTTCATGTCGCTTGTCTGTAGTGACTTGTTTTGTATGACTTGTAGAACAACCAAAGATAGTATAACCTAATTTCTAGCGTTCAAACCAAAATTTTCCTGATAATAAACTCCGTTAATCGTTATGGTGTGTGATGTTTTTGCATTTTTTTTCGTGCTTTCGTGTGCTATAAATTCCTAATTTCTAGTAAACAGTCATCCATCAATAACAGTTCAATTTTGAAATTATAATTAAGTAAAATTTGTAATACATATAAACTTACATTTGCTAGTTAGCCACAGTGTACGCATGCGGTATAATGACAAAAATTTTCTCAGTCATAAAATAATTATTTGAATTCATGATTATTTTTATGAATAATTTTTCCTCTTTTGCTATCTAAAGTCTAAGTCAGCAATATTTTAAAGATGAAGTAAGGTGTTTTTATTTTCACTGCAACATTACAAAGCTTAATTTTGATTGGTTTACATCTATTTTCACCCCAACAAGCAAAGTAGTATGCGAATTTGAAGCTTTATTTAGTATTTGGCAAGAGGACATCCGGATTGTTAAATTTAGAAACGGTGAATTTTTCAATATAATTGGATGTTCGGAAGATATTAGCGCCAACAGAATGACCCTGTCTTTAACGTTAATGATCTTGGCACGTAAATGATCTTTAGCAGCACCAGAATGGCCCTCTCTTTAATTAACGTTGATGATCTTGGCTTCTTTATGCATGCACTGGTCCATATATAGTATATTTTCAGGATTGGATATTATTTTCAGGATATATTTTCAGAATTAGATATAGTATATTCAGGAGATACTGCATCTATATGAATTGATTACCCGTGTTTTTTCAGTACCGTTAGTAACACCAGAATGCCCCCGCTTCTTTATCTATTTGCATAGTCAATATATAATTTATTTCCCGGGCCGTATACAACAAAGAGGGGGGTGCCAGGGGCAGTTGCCCTCCCCTATAAAGAAGACGTATCATATAATTTTTAAATTACTATATTGATTTAAGTGAAGTTATTAGTGCCCACCTATCAAAAATTCCCTGCGCATACGGCCCTGTATATTTTGATATTTTCTTATCCGTGACTAGCTTGTCACAGCCACTGAGCCACGTGTGATTTTTTAATGCGTGCATGTTTCATTTTGGCAAAACAGTTGGCTTTAAAGTTGATTGCATGGATATAAGAATATTCTTCCGTTAGACGTGTGACGTATATATTTTAAAACCTTCCTCTCCTGTAGCAATTCGCAATTAATGTATCAGTTTAAAGGGAGGTAGAAATCAGGACGTATAAAAAACAAACTATTCTTTGCTGGAGGTCTCTGATGAGCCCATGCAGCTAAATTTAATGATTTAACCCATCATCGGGAGATTTGCCAAAAAACCCGCGCGCAACCTTGGCTTTGCCTTTGAAGAAAGCTCGCTCTACCGTAATAAACGTATACGACCAGTTTTTCAACGAATTTTCAGCCAAACCAATCAGAAAGTACCACAGAAAATGATGATCATGATACTATTAAAATCGAGTGAAATTGATGATTTTTAAGTTTTTTTCGCTAGAAGGCAACATGGGAAGGCAATAACGTTGTATTTGTGTGTATATATACGTCAAGACAATTACATAACACCATTTGCACGGAAATTGCGCGTTTATTTATTTTATTATTGTTTTGGTATTCGTTTATTTCGATCAATGATTTTTAACAGAAAAATTATGCGCAGTATGATGTATGGCCTTCGTTAGACAACCTCACAGCACGACGTTTTAGTTGAATCGAATGACCTTGAGTAATAATCTGGGTGCATTTGACCTTAGACAAACGATTTCAATTTTCACATTTGCTATAAATTTCTTTCATGATATTAATACGGTCTGCTGCAATGCCTAGTAATGGCCGCGATGATATTAGTTACATATGTGCCCGTTCGTATACTCTGCGAGAGAAAATCCTATCTCGTTCAGAGCAGTTTTCCAGCTCTGATGGGTGACCTTTGTTTGGATGTGACCATATTTTTCGTTACAGAGTCTTTATCTCGTACCCGCTATTCTCTTGTCTATTTAGACCAGGTTAAATTTGTTTCTGCTATTTTGTCTTCGTGGTTTCCTTTCGGGGTTGTTTTTCACAAGTTTTGATTCAAAATATTGCTAAATAATCTCCAGTTACCATCTTAGTATCAGTATATATATATGATTTCTTATTTTGCCTCCCAAAGCCAACAGCATATTTTTTAAACATTTTTCACTAACGAAAGAATTGTTTTTCCTATAACTGCCCTTATGCACATACCCTTCCAACCCATCACATTTATTCTCTGTTTTCACTGTTACTTTAAAATGTCCTTATATGTTACTAGTGTTATTATAGGCAATTTTTCACTGTAGAAATCAAATCACGAAGTCTTACTCCGATTCTCGATAGCCCAAATTTTGTAACTTTATAGCTTTATATAATTATTCTGTAATTTTAAATAGGTATCAATATGCGTAAAACTAATAATAATAAAATGGCTGGTCGTAAAAAAATTGATTGACCGGAAATAAAAATGATTACAGGAAACGTCACTATTACATAAAAGGCAACAGCGAGACATTCATTGACAAATTCTTATTAAAACGAAACATTCGACGCAAAACTGCCGTACCTTGAAGCGTATAATCACTTGCGCAAATTCGCAACGAGGCCAAGGACATTGCGCTGGTTTACAAGATGATGGAAACACAATTGTTATCGAATTATTCAAGGAATTACTTCAATTTCAATAAGACGGAGGCCAAAGAGGTTCGTTATATATCTCCTTAATTGCGCAGATAGCAAGATTTCACGCGCTGATATAAGTTATATGTATATAAATATAGATCGGGGTGCCTTCGCGTAATATGTACCCCTAGTAAGAAGAAGTAGACTTATCAAACACTAGCATTGTCACTACGTGTCATCCGCTTATGTCTGTTCTATATATACAATGGGATGATTTTATTGCAGGTTGGGAAATGGTTAATCTACACATGTCAATGCAATTCAAACGCTTTCTATACTTGCATTTATGTCATGTTTGCATTAATTGTTGAAAGATTTCATCATTTTAATGTGAATCCTCACAAGCTTTTAGGCGTTTTGGGGCTTTTTGTGGCTTATTAAATAAAGATGTTTTAGTAATGTTGTGACCTAGGAGGAATAGAAGCCTTTGCATATATCAGTATTTGTTTCTCGGGGACACAAAGTAAAGTGGAAGAGTCTGAGATAATCAGCATGCATCGCAAATCGATTCCTTAAGTATCCCCTAAAAAGGCGCGACTACGATTTGCAGCCAGGTGAACGATATGATATTATATGTGTCGATCATTCCTTGCAAGCCGGTGAAAAAGTATATTTGATTGCGTATTAACCGCGCGGCAGTTTCACTCATGTGCAATTTTCATCACATATCCATTGACCTCTAAACATAGATACTGCATGGGCTTAGCGTTAACTAAGCCACGTTGCGTTGTGATATTGAGTTAACGCAAGCATAATATAATATATTAGGTGATATATGAATTGATTCGTTGGCAGGATGCCATTGGGTATACTACATCCGATAGATTACGGATAGAATAATTTATTGTTGGTATGCTTGCATGTTTTTTTATTTATATTAGACCAGACAATAATTTATTGTCTAAATATATATCCCCTTGTACTCCCCATCTACGACGGAAACATATACAATGCTATGGAAAGTAAATATGATTTGAAATTGCTCCATGTTAAGTTTAGGCAAGCTCGATAGCTCTCGATTTTTCCGCATTGAATCAACATTTGCGCACGTTATGCTAATTAGGTTGAGAGCGCATCCACTTTAAGACAGAGATTGTCTGTAAGTAAACAATCGTACTATAAATTCACCTCAAGGCATTGTTTATGTTTTCAGCGTGATATAATCGTTCTTTATTAAGTAATATGATGCATCGTTATATTTACAATATTATTGATCACAGCAAATATCAGGTTTTGATTTGTTGAAAGGCCTATTATTTTGCGAGCTTTCATGTATGCACAACTAAGGCATAAAAATATTTATGCATTTCTCGGCATTTTTCATCAAGACTT